AGCTTTGACCCTTTAGGCGCCTTTCACTTCACACATTCCATAATCAAAATCGAAATCAATAACAAAATTTGCATAAATATTAAATGGCATTTACTTTTATACGCAACTCGCTTGATTGTTGTTTAGATGGGGCTCATTCAGACGGTTCGATGGATGCATTTGTAATTTAATGTGTTTAAAACGAACACTGAAAATATTGAATGTATTGGCAGCACTGGCACGCCCTATGCGGCCGCTAGGTGGCGGCAGCAACAATACAAAAATAAAAATAATAAACCAGGATAAACGTTAAAGCGTTTACACGCTAAAATATACATTTTTAAAAGCAAGCATAATATTATTTTTTAGTGCTGCCGCTGCAAGGTGTAAACTGTGTGTGTGTGTGTTGAGGGTGTGTGTGTTTGGATTATATGGACAGAGCGCAACGGGCGATCCTTGTTGCCGCTGTCGTTGTCCTTGTCGCTGCTGTCGTTCTCGCCAGCGTTTGCTTAATGTCTTCTTTATTATACGAAATTTATCACCGAAACTGAAATTGGCCTGGTTGGCTTGTCGTTGTCGCTTGGTCCTTGCTAAGCACGACTAAGGCACAAGGAACCGGAAAGCTTGCACTTTTTTTCTGCAGCTACTGTATGTCGCAACATAAAGTAACTCACACCCACACACCTACACACTCAAACACACATAGACGTTGCAGTAAAAACATGGCTTATATCCTTTTTGGTGACAAAAGCAAACACAGCAGCATACGTAGACACCGAAAGAGACTGAGGGACACAATCACACACACACACACACACACACATGAAATTAATGTGTGGGTTTTGTGCTAATGAACGGCGCGCGCCTGTGTGTGTGTGTGTGTGTGTCAGTGTGTGCCTGCGCTGTTTTTGAATTATCGCATAATTTTTACCACAAAAACGGTTGGCAACATTTTTTTTAATGTTTGCCTGTAAATTGTCCAAGCAAATTTATACGTTGTACTATATGCCTGCATAAGGATTTAGTGCACAAGAAGTAACTATGCAAATATTTGTGCTTGTTACTCTTTCATTTTTTCCGAGTAGTTTTTTTTTTCGTTTCAGTAACTAAATGTTTTAATTAAACGCGGTAAGCTTTTAATGGAGCTGGGATTGAAAGCGTTTTAAAGTGCTGCAAATAAAACTCAAATCAAGTAGAAAAACTTTAGCGGGCATATTCAATTCAATGTTCGCCTATATCTATTTTTATCTCGCTACGTTTTTTCCCCCTGTAAATGACTTACAATTGAAAAAGTGTTCAAGTGCAGAACAAAACTGTTCAAAATGCGGGCGACCACAAAAGACAAACGGATTTGGCATTGGAGCTGGTTTAGAGTTGAGGTTGGACGCCGGCCACTTTAATGCAAACGAACCAAAAGGGGGGGCTGAGCTATGTGCTCTGTTTTACTCAGCATGGGATTTATTTAAAAATACGAAATCTTTAAGAGTTGCGCCAGTTGAGAACACTTGAAATCGTTATTGAATGCATAACATCTTATGTTAAATTATGCTACGCTATGTTATGCTATATCATGTTATGTTATGGTATGTTCTGTTATGAAAAGTTATGTTATGTTAAGTTATGTTATATTATGTTAAGGTCAGAGATTTTGATTTCTCCCTATTTAGCACCTCGCCCTATCGTTAGCCATTTCTATGGCAGCAAAAAAGTCAAATGGGCTGCAAGTGGGACTTGACGTTTTGTTGAATTTTAACTTTGATGTCGTTTACTTTGGGACAGGGGTCAGTTTGGCTTGCAAAAAGCCAACGCATTTATTTTATTCTATTTTTTAATTTTCTAAAACTGTTGCCAACTGTTTTGGGAAAGGCCAAAAAAGTCAGCCAACCATTAAAAAGTTGCATTACCATTACGTTTGACAAATATTTTTAGTTTCATTCTAATAAGTTGCAAAAGAAATACCTAAATTTTTTAATTGAAGCTTTTACGCACGCCGAAAGCTCATGCTAACTGTCAACAGCTCGAAGCTGCGCAATCGAAAGCTCGTCGCTTATTAAAACCAATCAGCTGGTGTCAGGCAGCAAATCGCTTTGCGTGTGCAGACGCAGCACAGTGTCTTTTGGGCCCAAATGGGGCGTTATTACATAGTTAATATAACACAGTTAATCGGGAAGATTGGAATGCACTACTTCTGTATACAGTGCGAACATAATTCATAAGCAATTTATAAGCACAAAAACACATGTATACTCACGATCTTATATATATTATATATGTTATATTCGTGAGGAATTTTTAAGATTAATGTCAGAGTGTTGAGAACGTTGTAAATGGATAATAATAATTAACGTTAACAATAAGTAAGTTATTATTAGTTTATTGCACCACAATATCGACTGACTGCTGTGGCTATGCTGATTGATTAGGAGCATATATGTATTTATATTTTAAAGAAACAGAAATATATATTTCAATCCCAAAATTAATAAACCCCCACAAGTGTGTACAAATTACTAACTTTCGATATTTTACAGCACTCAAAACTATCGATGTGTGCGCTTACACGAATCACGCACACCTCTACCCAGTGCATGCAAATGTTCTATTATCCGTTCAAATAACGGCGCTTTTCATATGTGATATGCATTGAGATAACATAAGTGGAATGGAGCTGCGCAGCAAGTACAATAAATTGAAAGAGATGCTCAGAGGAGCCGGCGCCTACGAGGAAGGCATGGAAATAGAGGAAATGCGTCAACTGGCACAGGTAATGGAAATGTCAACCTCATCGCACACAGGTGTCGAGTGCTCCAATCTGGAGCGAGCGCTCCTGGTATGTAGCCTAAAGCAAGCAGCTCGAGACGAGTTAATTGAAACCAAAACGTTTGCGCAGGAGAGTGAAATCGATTTTCAAATGATGGTGAACTCCACCATGATCGTGCAGCCAGCGACGACGCCGACGCCCTCCATCGATGTGTTCATTGGCGCAGGCAGCTTTGAACGCGACTGCGAGAGCCCCACAAGCAATCCCGTTCAGCTGCAGGTGCAGGCTGTGGTGCACCACGAGCTGGACTGGAGTCCTCGGGCAGGCACTGTGCGCCCACGAAAACGAGACGCCAGCGAGTCCAACTACGGCCTTGACTCAAAGCGTGCCTTTCAGCCGGTGGAGGAGGAGGAGGAGGCGGAGGAGCCAAATCCGAATGCTACGCCCGAGTCACTGGCCAGCGCTGACTCCGGCGTCAGCTGCGAAGAGGTCGGCTCGTTGTCCAGCATCAGCGAGACATCCACATTGCCATCGATTGGCGAAATGCCGAGTCGCTTTCTGATCAGCACCAGCAGCGCAGCCGTCTCCGACTTCTCAGAGCGCGACGAAGGCAGCCCCATCCACATTAACCCATAAGCCGTACACTTTAAGCCTTCAATTATTTGTTCGGTGCTGCATTTAGCTGAGAATGTAAACAAAACTTGATAATCTATCTAAACGGCATTGACTGGATTGTTTTCCCGCTGAATCCTCGTCTTGGCTATGGCCTCGCCCACCAAGCGATCAATGCGCTTGCGCATATACAGAAACGGCAGCAGATTGACCCGATGGCTGACCAGCGTGGCGGAGATGCTGGTGAAGTATTCGGTCACCTCCACTGGCCGGGCAAGCGGCGAGTCCGGCTTCTTGACGGGCGACTTGTTCAGCGTCAGTGACAGCGACTGCCTGGGACGCTTGGCGACTCGTGCGCCAATTCTTTTCGCCGGCGAGCAGTCGGTGCTGGACTTCGATTTGCGCTGACGACTGCGCGACGTCTTGGCCGCCGGCTGCGGCACAGCTTTGCTCTGGCTCTGGCTCTGACTCTGGCTCTGGCTGGTGCGATTTGCCGAGCGTAGCGATTGGCGTCGTGATGGCGGCGAGAAGTACTCCACGGCAGATGGCTTGCCTGGCGGCGAGTCCTTGAGCCGAGTCGGTCTGCTCGTGTGCGGCTTGTCCGCACTCGAATCCTCCAGCTCGGAGTCCCTAGTTGCTAACTCCGACTCCATTTCTGGCGTGGAATTAACAGATATTGCATCATTCGTTCTGGAATTCTCTTCCATTGGAGAGCTACGTTCGCTGGGTGCCAATCGCTCAGGTCTTGTGGCTGGTTGTGTATCCGCATCTTCCGTATCCATATCTTCGGTGTGATCAACTGCCTCGTTATTTTCAGTTTGTGCTGTGTCCTCGGGCAGTTGCACGTCAGCTACTTTTGGGGAGCCGTCCACTGTCAACTGTTCCGGCTCACGTTCCCTGCGGTTTGTTAAATTCGGTTAATTCGTGCTGCGACTAAATGCGGGGAAACTTACGGAGTGCGAACTATGTAGGAAATATTGTTGGACCAGTCCTCCTCCTCTGCCGTACTATTATTGGTATCCTCCTCGCTAAAGTTGTGTTAAATTATTTTTAAAACAATTCTGCGTGAAAACTTACTCAGCTTCGCTGTCATTATCATAGGAAGACTCGGTGAGTTCCGATGAGGGCGATTCGGCTGTCTTTCTCTCCTGGGAGCTCGGATCCCCCACTGTACACGGTGTGGCTCTAGGGAAAGGACAGAAATATTTCTCAATGAAAAACTAAAAATGAGGTTAGCAAATATTTAAGCAACTCACATTTGTGCTTGGTCATCCGCTTCGCTTAAGTCGTCGTCGTCCCCAACAATGTGTGGCACATTCGGCATTAAAGGCCTGCAATTAAGATATTTTGTCATAAGTGAAAATCTCGAGCCGTTCTACTCACATGTTGATCGCCCTTTTACAAAACTTCTGGATGAAATGGAGACATGTGACAGAATTAAACGTTACTTTTAACCAAGGATTCCGAAAGTGCTGCAAAGCAAAATTGACAAACAGTGCTGCAAAACGATTCAATGATCGTTTTTGAAAAACGTTTTCACTGCGCATATTTGAAATGCTTTTAAGATATCGCATCAAGAATTTAAATGTAGCATAACATTGTTAATAATAATATCGTAACTTATTATAAAGTATAAATTAAAAATGACAAATCAAGCAATTAAAAAATATATAATATATATATGGATAACATAACGTTTCTTTAACCTTCGCAGTAGTCACAGGTCTCAACTCCCTCCTCACAATTGCAATATGTGGCCTCAGGCGCCATATCGGATGCCAGATCATCCTCGCCAATTGTAATGCAACGCACGTTCCGCGGATACTTCACCATGACCAGCGGACGTCCCTCCTCGTCGGTCAGGCCCACATCACAGCCATCGCCCACATTCTGGCGCTGCAGTATGTACTTGGTGAAGCAGCACAGAAATATCTAAAAAGATAGTTTCATTCGGTTAACAACTAGCCTAATACTCGGCGGTTCACTCACCAGGAACTTTAAGGCCATAAGGGCCAGCAGCAGCAGGATGTAGAAGTATCGCCACAGCGATTCCGAAAACATGGCCAGGCATCCGTTCGTGTTGATGGAATCAACTGTGAGCGACGGGAAAGGCGCCCGCTTGTGGCTGTCGTACTCCTCCTGACTCATCGCAAAGTTGGGCGCACAATTGGAGTTATCGGAGATCTTCTTGGTGCAGGCAATTGGAGCTAGGACCGCCTTGGTGCGATACGTCGTGTTGCCCGCCTGAGCCTGTTTGGGCATCCACTCGGCATTCATCCAGTCCTTGTAGTTGTAGACGCCACAGCACTGCTTCCGTAGCTGCAGTCCGTCCCACAGCAGCTTCCACTCCGGGGATGTGTAATACTCGTCAATGCCGCGCAGCAGCGAGTTCTCCGCCGAGTTTTCCAGTACATCGATGTTATAGTATAGATTCCACACGGTGCCAAAGCCCGATGCGATAATTACGCAGGAATAAAATAGCCAAACGGACACCATCAATCGAACGTTGGGCGTGCAGCGTCTCTTCCACAAACGATTCCACAAGGACAAACTGCAAAGGAACGTAACAACCAGCTGGGCGCCCAGAATGTACACGTTGAACAGATAGCTGAATAGCAAGCGGCGATCAATGTCCTCCAGATAGTTGGACAAAATCGTTTGATAAATGGCAGTTACGATTATGATCAGGAACCCGGTGACAGCCTCGAGTATTAGTAGAAGCGCAATATATACGGATGCTTTGCGAAAAGGCTGGCGCATTTGGTCATCTTTGTCAGATGTTGTTTTTTAATATTTTTCAATAGCTACGTGCGGCAAAATCTCGAGTTTCGAATTCTATTTGAGGTGACGTTTATTAGAAAGGCAAGACACAAATATGTAAAGAAGGGGGAAAAAATCAAGAGTTCTTCGCATAGTCGTGGTTTTGGATCATGTATGTAAGCTATCTATCATTCAAATTTATTTAAATTTATTCACAAAATGATATTCGATTCACTTGCTTTAAGATGATAATACGGATGCGTCTCCGTTTTTTAGCAGTGCGATAAATTAATAATTCGATTAAAATATTTCAGTCTGTGAAAAAATATCACAAACGACAATTTAAATATTTAAGCACACACTATGCTTTGCTACATGCTTTCTTATTAAGTCTTTAAACTTCAAGCCACATAAATACACTTTAAGTCCGTTAAGTATTCAATTAAACATTTTCAAATTTCTGTTACAGCTGCGTCTGTTAATTAACATATAGCTTGCAGCCGCACGCTGTTAAACTCAAAATGGCAGGCACAACATTAAGTTGTGAGCACTCTTCAACACTGGCTTAAGCTTTTGATAAGAAGGTCATGTAAGCCGGCTTGAGATAAGCACAATTAGAGACGAACAAAGGCAGCTCAAAATACGGACCGCAAATTAAAACTAATTAAACATCTCCGCTGCGCCATTGTGTAAATATCAAAATGTTCGCCGTGCTGTGTGGAGCCTTATTGATGTTGGCTTTTGAGCCAGGCGCCATTGCTGAACAGAAATTCCAATATGCCATTAAGGAATTTTCAGTGCCGCTGGATCACTTCAGTTTCCTGAGCAACGAGAGCTTCAGCATACGGTACCTGTACAACGATTCCTACGTGGACAAGGCCAATTCCCAGTCGCCCATCTTCTTCTACACGGGCAACGAGGGCGACATCGAGTGGTTCGCGCAGAACAGCGGCTTCATCTGGGAGCTGGCGGCCAAGCAGCGCGCATTGGTCGTGTTTGCGGAGCATCGCTACTACGGCAAGTCGTTGCCCTTTGGAGGCGACACCTTCAACACCAGCAAGCCGGAGCACTTGGCATATTTCACCGTGGAGCAGACACTGGAGGACTATGCTCTGCTGATTACCTTTCTGCGCAACGGGCAACAGCTGCCCGTGGTGGCATTTGGTGGCTCGTATGGCGGCATGCTGGCGGCCTGGTTTCGGATGAAGTATCCGCATATTGTGATTGGCGCACTGGCCGCATCGGCACCGATTTTACAATTTCCCGGCCTGACGCCCTGCGATATCTTTGAGAAGATAACCACCTCGGTCTTTGAGACGGCCTACAATGCCAACTGCAGCGCCAACATTGGCAAATCGTGGAAGGCCTTCGAGTCGCTGGCGGCCACAGATGCCGGCAAGAAACGGCTGGGCGATATGTTTCATCTGTGCGATCCCGTCAAGAACGGCGATGATCTGGACAAGTTTATGGACTATCTCGAGGAGGTCTATGGCAATTTGGCAATGGTCAACTATCCCTATAACTCAACATTTCTGGCCCCGCTGCCCGCGTATCCGGTGCGACAGTTTTGCTTATATCTCAAGGACCTGCAGCCGAACGACACCGAACTGCTGGCCAGCATGGCCAGTGCCCTGGGTGTCTATACAAATTACACGGGTGCCTCCAAGTGCGTGGACTACAAGGATTCCAATTCTGGCGCCAACTACGACAGCCGCGGCTGGGACATACAGACCTGCAATCAAATGGTGATGCCATTCTGTGCCAACAACAGCGACACCATGTACCGCACCAGCACCTGGGACCTGAAGAAGTTCTCCGAGAAGTGCTACACGAAGTTCCATCTCACGCCCAAGCCCTATGACATTGTGCTGCGCTATGGCGGCCGAAATCTGCAGGCTGCCAGCAATATCATCTTCAGCAACGGTCTGCTGGATCCCTGGAGCGGCGGTGGCGTCCTGAGGGCACCAAACAATCAAGTGCATGTTATCATATTGCCGGAGGGTGCCCATCATTTGGATCTGCGCCAAAGCCATCCCTCGGATCCGGCATCCGTTACGGACGCACGAAAGAAGGAGGCGGCCATCATTGAGCAATGGATACGAGACTTTTAAAGTTTAAACTTAAGCACTAACAATTTTGAAGGCAATCTGAACAATTCATGAAATAAAATTAATTATTGTAAAAATAACCAACAGTTGTTACAACAGCTTATTTTTATAATATTTCTTTAATATACATATGCATAAAGGTACAGTTGTTCACAAGAAAGGAAATCTTAAAGTTTACAGAAGCAGCAAAAAACACACAAAATTTAACATTTAAATCAACCTAATTCAAATATATATAGTGTAAACTTAATAAATAAATATATATGTTTTAATATTTTTTGTTTTTTGTTTTTTCAATAACTGCTGCAAAGCATTAAATAATAGAAAAAAATATATATTATAAGGCAAATAGAATAATGTTTATCAAAAAATATTAACAAAAGTTTGATTTTCTTTTAACTGATGGATGGATAACCTGTTCCATTTCTATAGTATACGCAAATTATTCAACATTTTGTTCGTTTGCAGTTTTGCAATTTGTTTTTTTTTTTTCAAGGTTTTTTATGCATTTTATTTATACGCAACATTACAATTTTTGTATTGTGAAAAATTGTTTATAGTTTGGTTTAGCACCGGCATAGGACACTTGCTTCGTTAATATATTCAACGCTCCTTTCGCGCACGTTGCCCCCAGTTAGGGCATTGGCTCTAGTCGGTTAGAGTTTCGATTGTTGTCTATGGTACGAATTTTGGAAATGAGTTCAGGAATGCTTTGAGGTGAGATAGCCCTTGCCGCCGGATCTTTGGGCGAGGGTTGTCACCTGTGGCTGGTGCGCAATATGCAGCTGCTCCCAAGCCGTGGGAGAGAGCTTGGCTTGGGGCAGCTAACCCTCTGGCGGCGTCGGCTGTCTAGCGTCCAGGGCGCCGTCCAAAAGCCAACACGCTGGCCAAGCTGCACAGTCCTGAATTTGGGAGATGGACATGCAGCTGTGCTCGGCGTACGAAGGCTTTTGGCCAGCACTCTGGGCAGTTGGTCTATGTGGGTCATGGTTTGTCTTGAGGTTTGTCTGCTGGCCAGCCTGAGGCAGGGTCAGCTTGTGGCCAGGCCGGGCAAAAATGTTCCACGAGATTTGCCAGATCTGGCCTCAAGCTGCAGCTGCTCTCGGGAGAAACGTGCGCTACTCTGAGCTAATATTTTCGTGTGTGCGTATTTTTTTTCTTTTTTGCTTTCGTTTTTTTTTCTCTTTCAACTTAGTTTTTATATACAAAATGTTGGGCTTTATAATTTGGGGCATAGGTTATGTATAGTTTATATATATATAAATGTTTGCTGTGCAAATATATATGTATAATGTATATATCGTTAATATAAGTTACTTTTATGTTTTGTTAAAGTTTTTCGTTACATGTCGTTAGTTTTCATTTTCATTTTCATTTTCATTTTGATTTTTCAGTTTTTTTTGTTGTGTTTCTTTATAAGTATATGCTCGTCGAGTTGTTGGGGTTGGTTATTCATTATATATTATGTACATATTTATTTCGGTATGTTTGTCTGTAGCTATCAAAAACAAAATACACGGTTTTTTTTTTCATTCAAATTGTGGAAAATTACAAAAATTTACAGGACATAACACACTCGACTCGACGCTAGGTAACATCTTAAATCTTGTACAAGAATTTTTCAATTTTGTATACTGCGGGTTTCTTTCATTCATTAGAGGTTTTTCTTTTTTCTTTTCATATTCGTGTCGGATTCTGTTCTGCGGTTACATTTGCTTATTTGTTTTATTTGGTTTTTACTGTGAATTTATTGCACTAATCCAATGACAACAATTACGTTGGCGGCGGGCCGTGCGGATAGGATAGCATTGGCTCCAGGCTGCGCGCGAATGTGTTGGAGAACATGCACGTATAGTCCTCACCGTGGGGCACCAGTGTTGCCACACCTAAAAGCAGCAGCATGAGCGCCTGTATGGGCAGGGAGGCACGTGCAACGCGTCCGAGGAATCGTGCACCGCGGGCCAGTACCGTGGTATTGATGACATCGCCATCGGCAGCATCGCCATCGGTGCTGGTGCGGCTGTGGAGCAGAGTTCGAGGATTAGAAAAATAATGATATGCATATTGGGTTTATAGAAAACATGCTACATAGTTAGTCAAGTGCAACTAGAGTTTGTACTTGTGCAAATATTTGCTTAGTAATAAAAGAACAAAAAAAATATATGTAAGATAACTAAACTAGACTACGATACGTTGAATTAAAAATTAAACAAATTTTCTATGAATATTTACTTTGCATTTTCTGTGTTGGGTGCGGCGGCCTGCATAGAAGAGGTTGATAATGTAGTATTATCCAAAAGCTAGATATGCCATAAAGTATAATAGAAAGGAAATAAAAGAAATTAAATACAATTCAAAATAAATAAAATAAAAATTCTTTTTGCATTTGTCAATTCAAATTCGCGCATCACGCTCTAAATAAATGATTGTATTTAAAATATATATAGATATAAATATTTGTACAGCCAATTTTCTTTTTTCATATATAGTTCACTTACTTTGGTGCGCTCAAAATAAATTAAAAATCAAATTGTTTTTCTTTTTCTTTTTTGGATTTTCGGGACAAATTCTCGTTTAATTGCAATACATTTTGTATACTCAAGATCCTTGCACTTACCTCATTCGACAACAATTGCAGCGGCACGCCCAGATTGTCGCCCTCGTAGCCGAGCACGGCGCCCAGCTTGACAATGTAAATGCCGGAGAGACGACGCAGCGATTGCAGCCGGAGGCGCAGATCTGTCAACCTGGAAAGGGTTCTAGAATATTTAAAACATATGCCGGCGGCTCTTGGGGTTGTCAGTTGTGATGAAGTGTTAGAATGGGCGGACGAATCAAATTTTGAGAACCAAACGAAAAAAAAATATAAAGTAATACACAAATCAAATACGCAACAAAATAAACACAGCAAAACACAAAATTCAAAAGCGAGAAAATTTTGCAAAATAGGTTTTACAAGAAAGCAAACTAAGTCTCTAACTAATAAAATATGTGAACTAAGTTTTTGTTTTTTTTTTTTTTTGGAGCAAAACTACATTGGGAAAGATACGTGATGGTGTAGTAGGCCGAAAAGAAGATGTTCAGAGGAACATTTTTAGTACAATTTTGTTGTAGTCAAGTAATGCGAACAAATGTTTGAAATGAAATCAGAGGGCAAGCCAAAGAAAATGCCGAATTCGAAAGTAAATTTAAATAAAATCGAACAAGATGAGTAAGAAAAAGGATATCTTTACGGAAAGAGTGGAATTTGTTGAGTGTGGATTTATACAAATATTGAAGATAAATATATTTTTGATAATTTATATGAATTGGGTTTCAAAAAATAGCCCATTCAATTTGTATAACATTTTTAATCAGATTGTAGAAAGATTTTATAGTTCAATTTAAGAAGAAAAAACTTGATCGCTTATTTCAGAAAATTTCTACAATTGGGGGAATAAATCGTTAACTTCTATAATAGGCAGAAAATTAAATGATTTTATATAATTCGAATATTTATTTTTGATTGTAGCATAAATAAATTATATTCGCCTCATAAGGAGATTATTAAAAGTTGTTTCTATAGATTAGAGTTTTACGTGTAGAAGAATAAAATTCGTAATAAAGTTAAGGAAAATTGAAGAGAATGAAAATGTTTGCACATAATATATAAATATTATATGCAACACAAATATTTATAAATAATTAAATTTCTACTGAGAAAAACATATTTTACTACATAACCAATCGGAAACTATAAACGCCGCCCAACTACCTCGTTGCTCCTGCTGCTGCCCCTGCCCTGCCCCTCTCGCGTTATATTGCCCCCTCTATGAGCACATCTATCTAGAAAGCAGAAGCGGCATCCGCGCATTTATTTCGTTCCGCCCTCGGCACTGGCGCCAGCTGCACTTACCTTTCATAGGTATGCTGTGACTGCTCCTCGGATCCCTCGACAGCGCGCAGCAGCTGATCGGCGGCATCCTGCAGGCTGACAACGCGCGGCTCACAGCGCTCCAGTTCGGCGCGCAGATCCTTGAACTTGTTGAACTTGGCCTCAAGCACGCTGCGCTCCTCGGTGAGATCCACGGGCTCGGAGGCCTTTATGTTCTGTTCGGTGCGCTGCAGCCACTCGACCAGCTCGTCGATGGTCTGATGGAACTCGCTGTTGCCCATGAGCGCCGTCTGGAGCAGACCCTGCCATTTGGTGGCATTGATGCAAACATTATTCCAGCGCTCGTTGTCCGCCTCGAGGCGTGCGCGCAGCTGTCGCGCCTTCTCCGTGTCCATGGTGTGTGTGGCCAGATGATCGCCAACCACATTCAACGATGAGATGATCGACTTGTGACTCTCCAGATCCAGCAAGAACTCACGATGATCCTGTGTCACATCCTCGAGCAGTTCAATATTCGAGGGCGGTCCCGTCTGGGCCTTCTGTATGCTCTCGGCAAACTGCAGCCACTGCTCCAGACGCCACAGATCGTTGTCAATCTGCTGCCAATTGCGTTGCGTGCAGAGCGGACACGTTAGGCGGCCGACCTCACTGTTTTATGGAAGGGATAAATAAAGAAAACGATTAGCCATGCTCTAAATATAGACTGGAATATATATTAGGTATGTAAGCTTGCTGGATCTGGGCAAAGTCTGTGGCACGACTTTGAACAGAGCTGACGTCCAGGCAAGCTCCAAGCTGCTCGCTGTGCTCCACCCCTGGAGACTGGCAGCCTATTGAGAAGAGGAACTGCCAGCTTTTGTCTGGTGGATGAACACACACAGAACAATAAACAGAGGTCACACGTGGCAGATTAGGAGCTTGCCTGGCCGTTCTATTGTGGTCAGTGCACAGGTAGAGGTAAATAGGGTAGAGATAGAGATAATCTCCAGCTGTTAACACTTACTGTATGCATGTGTATTTGTAGGCAGCAGGTAGCAGGCACCTGCTGGACAGAGCCATCATGAATGCGCAGGTTCGAGTGAAGCATGTGTGTGCGTGTGTATTGTGTGTGTGTGAGTGTGAGCGGGGCAAATAGCGAGACATAAAGCAATAAAACAATTTGTTAGCCAAATACCATTTAAATACGCCCAAAAACACAAGAAAGTGGTTAGAATACTTGCAAACTTATTGAATGTCAATCAATGTCAATCACTGCACATTCTACAGTGGTCTCTTGTTAAATGAGAACTTGCAAAACCACGTCAATAATTGAAATCGATTTGTTATCTAATTTTAGAATAAAAAGCCGATTGCTCTTAAATGTCTGATTAAAGAAATATTGAAATATTTTTCAAAAACTTTAAATTGTGACGAATTTATAGATATAGATGCGTTCTCATCTTCGAGCGACCACTGTAGCAGCCATACTTTTCTTTTAATCTATATACATTTCTTTTAAACTATTTCTCCGCAAATGTCTTATGGATTTTTCTGATTTTTAAGAAGTGAATAAAGCGAAATTCTTTTCCATTTAGATACAGGAATAAAAAAGGGATTCATGAAAACAATACAAAAGGCTGATTTGAAATAAAATTGTATAAATTAATGTAATTAATTGAACAAAATTCGTAATTAACAAATCAGAAAATGCGAAATTCAATGAAGTAAAAATGAAAACTAATCTTCCGCAGCACTGTGTCCAGTTGGAAGTGAGCTCGGCATAGATTTGACTGGACCAAAACTGGACCCAGGCCAGAAACGGAAGGAAATGGAACAGATCTGTATAGGCTAATCCCCACACGAGCCAATAAGAACCTCGAAGAGGATATAAACGGATATAGCCGGAATCGATCTACACGCGCAGTTTGCAAGTATGTAGCATAATTAGTTGAAGGAATAGGCTAGAAAGCTAGATAGGGATTGGGATAAGGGCGCCTACCTTGCATTCTGATCGTGCTGTTGGCGCGCCTTCCACTGCGACTGCAGCGTATCGAAGCGCAGCGCCAGCTCTGACACGGTGTCCACCTGGGCCGATTGATTGTCCGCATGGCATTCGGTCAACAGCAAATGGCTGAGATGCTTGATGAGCTCCGTGGATGACTGGGCGTTGCCTAATAACTTGGCAATCTTTTGCGGACCCGGCTTGCGCGTCTTATCGACAATGGTGCGCTGCAGCTCCTCCAGATTGTTCTGGCACTCGACAATGGCCGTCTTCAGTTCCATGATGTACGCATCCTTGGCCGTTATGGATGTTTCCCGCTGCAGCTGCGCCTGGCGCAGCTTGCGCTGCGACAACGTATCTACCTGGACGCTGGCATGCGCCTCACTGACTGCCGCCGCGCCCTCTTTGGTGGCACGGGCCAGCCAGCTGGTCTTGAGAATCACCAGATTCTTCTGCACCGTCTGCCAGAGGGTCGTGTACTCGGCAACCAGTTTGAGCAGCTGCTTCAGCTGCAGCGGCTGCTGTTTGTTGCGCAACTCGGCCTCCTTGCCCAGTGCATCGGCCTGCTGTACCTGCTGCTCGGCCAGCTGAAGCTTGCGCTCCAGTCCGTCCAAGCGTTGCAGCACCACCGCTGGCTCCACCGTGGCCGCCTGCTGGTCCTCGGCACTGGGCACCTGCTCGAGCGCCTTTTGTATGCTTGTCAGCGATTTGCTCAGCTCCAGCTGGGCCGTGTTGAAGTCGCGCATCAGCTTGGCATCCTTGTCAATGGCATCCAGCAGGGCGTGGCAGCGTGGCGTCAACAGACGCCACTTGCTTAGCATCACCTTGGTGGGCATCGTCAGCTTCTGTATGTTCTCGGGCTCGACGCCAGGGCTCATTGCTAGGCGGGCATACGTCTGTTCCAGCTGGCGCAGACGGACAGACTCGGCTTCCAGTTCGGCCAGCTTGGCGCGCAAGGCCTGCTGGCGCTCGTCCATCTTCTGTTTGTTCACGTATTTCTGGTCGCGCTCAAAGGCAGAGAGTTGGGTTTCCTGTTTGGCCATCCAAGATTTTTGCTCTGTGGTCATTTTGATCAGCTCCTGAAGCGCATTCCATGTGGCCAGGATGCGAGCCTTACGGTCCGCCGACTGGCTGCACACGTTCTTCCAGCGTTGCTCCAGGTTCTGCGCCGATGAGGCCAGCCCGGTGGTGTTCACCTGTGTGCGCCAGCTGTCCGCATCGCTGAGCAGCATTTCGACCAGGTTAAGTACCTCGCCCACATTGCTGCTATGATGCTCGATGGAACGCTGGATTTGCTCGTGTTCGCTCAGCTTGGCCTTGATCACGTTGGGCGTGTAGTTCTCGAAGCTGATCGGCTTGTCCAGCTGCGACTCCACATCGAAGAGCCAGGCACGTATGAGTGCTATGCGCTCCTCCAGTCGCAACAGTGTTTGCTTCAGTTCGCCAATCTTTGTGGCGCGCTGCTTGCACAGGAACTTGAGGCGATTCCAGCGATCGATGAGCGCATCGCTCTGCTGCTGCACCTGGTTGCGCACCTCCTGCGCCTGGGGCGTGGCATCCGCATAGAGAGCCAGCAGTTCCCGGCTGGTGGAGAGCAGCCATTCGCGCTCCTTGTCGCGCAGCTGGAGTTCGCCATTGATTTGCTGCTCCAGCTGTTTGGCTGCCTGTTCCGGGTTGGCCATGGTCGCCACATCGGCATCGCGCTCCACACGCTCCTCGAGGGTGCGCAGCCACTGCGTGATGCGCTCGTAACGCACCTGGTAGTTGGAGAGCAGCGACAGCCGCTCCTCGATGGCATTGATGAGCACGGCCAGCTGATAGTCGAGATCGGCATGCTGCTGCCAGAGCAGGAAACTGCGCTGGCGTATGGCTTTCATGTCGTGCGGGCTAATGCACTCCTTCAGCTCCTCCTGGCTGACCGTCAGACCCTCCAGTGCGGGCGTCTGTGCGCCCAGTTGGACACGTTGCGCTCTCAGCGCAACCAGACGCTGCTCAATCTCAGTTGGCGTCGTGGGCAGTGCATCACCCGAGCTGCTGTCCAGCAGCTCCTGTGCCTTGGCAAACTCCGTCTGCAATTGCTGCACACGCTGCTCGTACGATTCGCCGAGCTGCTTGATGCGCTTGAGGAAGTTCTGCCAGGTCTCGAGGGCGGCACGCAAATTGCTTATACGCTGATTGATGCTCGCCTGCTCCATGCGCATCGCGGTAGCCAGCGCATCGTCGCAGTACTGGAGCAGCTCCTGCTGTTGGGCCTTCAGGGCGGCGCTCTGCTGCTCGCCACGTGTCAGCTGCAGCAGCAATGCGTCCAGGCGCGCCTTCAGGTGGGGCACGCGCTTCAGATGAATGTAGCGCAGCTGCAGTGCATTGCGTTCCGCCTCGCGCTGACGCAGCCAGTCGAGCAGAGCGGCCAATTGTTGCCGGTAGGCATTCCAGCCGCTGACACGGCGCTCCAGCTCCTCATTGCGCTGCATAATGCGCGAGAGGGTCTCGTTGTGCAGATTGGTCAGCGCCTTGTACTGCTCCGATAGCTCCGATTCGAGCGGCGTCTCGGCGAGCACGCTCTGCTGCGAGATGAGCAGGTTCTGGTGTATGGCACACAGCTGCTGCTGCTCGCGCAGGCTGCTGTAATCCTCGGGTATGGCACAGGCAAGGAACGACTGCACATGCTGCAAGTACTGACGCCACAAACGCAACGCCTCCGAGCTGTTCTGGGTGCGCGCCAGACGCGTGGACAAGCGATGGTACTCCTGGAACGTATCCTGGAATATCTTCTGCCACATCGCCAGCACCTCCAGTATGCTGTCATCGGCAACAGCGGCAGCGGCAGCGCCACTCGGCGCCAGCTCATTGTTGTTCTGCTGGCGTTCACGCAGCTGACGCAGCTGCTCCTCGGTGCGGGCCAGCGTCTGCAGATGGGCTCGCAGCGCGGCCAGCTGCTCCTCGCTCTCCTTGGGCGTTTTCGGCTCGCCGCGCGCAATATCCTATGAGTAAGCGAATAAGATTTATTATTATTATTATTTGCTATATACATATATATATATATTTAACAGGTGGCAGCCAGTGCAACGTTTTGTGCATGTCTAATTGGCCTGACCCTAATAGCCACAATGTGGTCTCCAGTTACAGTTGGCAATGCACGGCTTCACAGCGGGCAGCGGCACGTTTCAAACGAAAGTTACCGACTCACAGATACTCTGTAGCCAGTGCATGGCAGAGGGAGCAGAAACAAGTTTTCATATTTTCATATATTAAGTTTGGCTATAAAATTGACTTATCCTCAGTGCTCCTGTGAATCCAGAACTGAGACTCTTAAATCGTAGCTGGGACAGACCCTTGCGCTGCAGCCAATATGCCGTGTATGTGTTCCTTACGAGGTACGAGGTATAGAAAACGTTGCAACTCTTTCCGCCAACTGGCAATGACCTCATGCAAACAGACAAAAAAAACACGCGCGCGCGCTGTTCAACTGTCTGGCCACACATGGGCTGGGCTTGGCGGGGGGGCGGGCGGTAAGCAGGTGGGCTAAGGTGGCGGACACAAGAGACGCGAATGGTTGTGGCATGTGAATTTCAAATGGTTGGCACAGTGGAGCGGGAAGGCTCCAAGCGTACAAAACTGACGGGTTATTAGAAAACGAAATGCCTGCTCGAGTTATTAAATAATAAATGGACAAAAAAAATGTTCCCATAAAAACATGATTTCGTTTTTTTCGATATGCATATCCGAAATGATTTCTATTAATTCTGGCCAAGGGACAGCTTTGTTAAATATTTATGAGCGCGCGGGGTCAATAAAAAATTAAATATGCCTGCACTCGAACCCATATTTAAGCCCATTGGCAATCAATAAAGACCATTGTACGGGCCACTGTGACGCTCGACGCCGCTGGAACTAACAGAAATACATATAGACACATGGGAGCGAAAGTTTTTCAACTTTTAACCCACTTAAAATAGCATGTCCTTCATATTGTATTAACAACAACTACAACTACAACAACAACAAGTGTCCGCCTGCTTTTTTTTTCTCTCTGGTTCTTGTTTGTTGTGGTTGTTGTTGTCATTGTGAGCACTGTGGGAATTTCCGCACGCCAGCTCTAACATATGCTAATCATCATCATGGCTCTAATCGATACATGTTTTGTTTAGACCGAATTCAGTTTGTGGCCTGCACTCACCTGCTGCACATTGTTGAAGTAAACCTTGGCCTGTGTCACCTCCTTGTCGAGCTCCTTGCGCTCCTTATCCTGTGTCTCGGCCACATTCGCCAGCGTCGTTATCGCATCCTTGCATTCGGCCAAACGCTGGCCCAGCGCATCCAGTTCGCCCTGCATTAGCGAAGAGGCATCCAGACCCACATCGGCGGCTATCTTGGCCACAATGTCGCGCAGCTCCAGAAGACGATCATTCTGTGTGCTCAGATTGTCTTGACAGACCTGGCAAAGGCAGACACAATAAATTAGCTTAAGTTTTGATATAGACTAGGGGTAGCATTTTGTCTAGTATATAGATTATTTTAGTTTGAATGCAAATGCCACCGATTTATAATTAGCTCGATCAAAGTACATTTAGCTTAAGCCGGCCGGGTCAGTTAGTTAGCCCTAGTTAGGAGCACGCATGCTGCTTATCAATTGTCTTGGCTCGTTCCCGAACTGAATGCATTTCTATTTGTAATTAATGTGTCGAGCAAATGCCGAGCACCGTGCACCGTGCACCGCGTGCCGAGTACACTTTCAATTTCAATTTAGAAAAGAGGTCACCCGCTGGGCCCTGCCGCGTCGCTGGCCATCAAAGAGCTATTTTAATATATAACTGGCTGCACGCATTAACCAATTTAAAGAGCACGCGTCCGGCCCTACCGAATGCCCTATGATATCATCTATGAAATATTCAGCTATGCTCCGCTTTATCAGAAACAAGCAAACAAACGTTGACATTGAAATCCAACAGCAGCGACTTAAAAAATATTTTTACATTTATCTACAGCTTCGGACAAGCTGAAGGCATGCTCCGGCAATCTTACAATCACATATGTACATATGTACATATGTATTGCATATATGTATTATATGTGGCCATATAGTATGTAGTATGCGGTCTTCCTATAATTTCGTGTGTTTTCATTTATTATTGTCTGAACAGATAAAGCAGCTATATAAACACAGAGCTTACGCTCTGGGTTGATAAACTTCGCCATGTGAAGTGACAGTTGGGCTACCTAGGCACAAAAATAATTACAATGCTGCGCTGCTTGGGCCTCTCTAATGACCCTAATGATCAATAAACATGCATAAATAACAAAACTATGTGTTAATATTTAAGTCAAATAAACTGAGTATCGAAAAGAAGTCGCCACAAGAAAACACATTTAGCTGACAATTGCCGAAGACCGAATACCCTAGCATTAAATAATATGAAGCTGTAAGATAAACTCATGTGAATCTTTCTATATAGTTATATGATATAGTGGCCCAATGTTAGGATCTTGATAATATATTGGACGCAAATAAAGTATGGAAGCAAGTTAAGTATTTTGAAAAATTAAAAAGACAAAAATAAGCTAGATTTCGAAGAATCTCTCATGCGACAGTTATATAGTAAAGTTTTTTAAATCGAATTTGTTTCCTATATAAAGGCTGAAGGATATATTGATCATATATTAGACGCAAACGAAGCTAGTAAAATATTTTGTAAAATTAAAAAAAGATCAAATAAAAATCTAGATTTTGACCAATCTCTCATATAAGTTCAGGTCCGGCTGACCTTGAAGCAATAATACAAATCTTTGCCAAGTTCCATTAGGAATTGTAAATAGGAAACTATAAGCAAACTGGACTATATATATATATATATGTTTTATGGTGTCGAAAATGTCTGCTACAATAAGTTACATATTTGCTTCGAAAGCTAAGCTATCCACTGCGAGAGTATTACAACTTTTGGGCCGTCTGTAAGTTTGTCTTTCTGTCTGGGGGTGTCAAGCAAAATAATTTATGACACAACCCAACAATATACATATGTACATGCATGTACACATGTGTACACAAAAGTTGGCTCACAGAGGCAGAGCCCTATTTCCTATTTCCATGTTCTATTGCCAGCGATTACAGCGACGCGCCCGAAAATTGATTGGGCCGAGCGTAACGGCTGAAAATCAATGTAATTACAGTCTGGTCCGGTTGCAATTAAACGTCGTTGATTTTCCTGCTTTTTTTTTGCCGCCAAAATCGTAACGTTAGCAGCGACTCAGGTGCACCACCCAACCACCAATTACAATTAGCTTTAGGCACTTACCTTGGCATGTTGCATGGCATCCAAGGGCTGCTCGAAGGACTTGACGCTGTCCATTTGCTGGTCGATGCAGCTCTTGACCGCTGCCGAGGCGTTCCGATATTTGTCCCAGAGCTCGACGGCCCGCTGATAGCGTGTGCAAAGCTGTTGCAGATTCTCGGTGGTATCATTCCAGGCGACTACCGCATCCTGCACGGACGATTCAATTTGCTCGACAATTTGCACATCGCAACTCTCGATTAACGGTTTGGCGGCGCCCTTGAGCTCGTCCAAGAGCTGCTCGCGACTGTGCAGATCGCCCGCAAGTCCCTGAGAGAGCGTAAACAAACAAAAACAGTTAATAAAAAAAAAAACGCTCGCAGCGACAATTTAAGCGACACGCGCGCGTTTCGAAGTTAAAGTCAACTGCCGCAAAGCAAACGAAATGAAACGAAACGCAAAGCAAAGCAAATGCAATGCGCGAAAGCTTTTTCGAAGAGCGCTTTAGTATAAGAGCTTTGTGGTAGCTTTGTTTTGTTTCGAACTATTTCGAATTAGCATTCGTGAAAAACGGCTCCGAAATATTTGAGTGTGCGCGCCCAACTGAACGCAGGCAGAAAACGCGCGCGGTTTTTATAGCCATTTCGGGCAGATAGGCTAGCAAATGCTGATAAGAAGGGCTCGCAAAAAAGATGCAAGTTGCAGGTAGCCAGTTCAGTTGTTTTGACTGCCCGAATATGGCCAAAATAATCATAAATGAGTCAATAAAAGAGGACATGGAAAACTTACCTCTAATCTTTCGGTGGCCTTACGCAGCCGTTCGTAGTCGACCTGGCCGTGCACGCGTATCAGTTCCATCATAAAGTCCGTCTCCTGGACAGAGTCATGCACCAGTTCCAGCTGACGTTCGTAGCGTAGCCATAAGGCCAAACGATTACGTAGTATGGCCATAATATTGGTGCACTTGCTCTCGAGGAAGGCATGGTCATCCTGCAGCTGGGAAATGTCCCGTTCCAGCTTCACCGGCGACACGGACATCTTCAGCCGCATGGGCAGCGTGTGCAGCATTTGGCGTAAGCGCATTATCTCCTGCCAGCTGGCAACGAGCTCCTCGCCCGCACCCTGGCAGTCGGCAACGGCTTTCTCTATGATATCCGCGCCTTGACGTTCGGCAGATTCGCATTCATCCAATATAACAGAGATTTTGGCCTGATGCTTGCGCTGGTTGCTGATGCCCTCGTGTATGGCCTGCAGCTGATCTCGCAACACGGAGGCAAACTCCAGCTCTTCGGAAATTTGTGTGGTTATTTTGTGCGAGAGTGCAAAGAGTTCGCCCACTTTTTCTGGTTCAATTGCCGGCTCCTGGAGTCCAATGCGGCCCAGTTCGTTGCCAATGAAGCCAACGCGTGTGCGCAGCACCTGGACACGTTCAATGTACAAGCAGAGCTCCTCCTCGTTTTTGATAACGCCCTTCATGCTGGTCATGGTCAGATAGATTTCCTGAAGCTCGCGCTCCACCAGCTTGAGTTTCTCATCAGCGGGCATATCCTCCGAGGACAGGCACTCCACAATGTTGTGCTGTATCAGCTCAATGGCCTGGGCCACCGCTTGCCAGCGATCCTCGAGTTGCGCATGGAACTGGCGTTGGAGCATTTCGTCGGCCAGTGGTATGACTTGGAGGGATTTCTCTAGACTGTGACCCGCATCGTTGCGTATGTTATTATGCAGCTCGAAGCGCGCCTTTATCTCCCAGAATTGCCGCATATGGGGTATGGGCTCCTCTGTGGGTTGTGTGGGTATTTGGATTTGGCGCAGTTCCTGCTCCGCTTCGCGTACAAACGCTTCCATTTTCTCTGTCTGCTGTTCGTACTGCACCCAGATCTCCTTGAAGACCAGCAGGCGATGCAAGTAGAGCGCCACCTCCTCGCGCAGCTTGAGCAGCACAATGAGGGCATCATTCGATTCCTCAACCAAATTGGGAGCCTGCACCAGCAGCTGCATTTTGTTGGCAATGCCCGAGAGCTGGGTCATCTTGACATAATGATGCGAGATGTCATTGCTAAGGGATTGATAGAGCGTCGCATACTGATCGTAATCGGCGGAGGTCACCGCCGACAGATCTGGCACGCGTTGCTGTGCCACCTGCAACCACTGCAGCTCATCGCGCATGCCCTTCTCCAGCACTGTCCAGCGCGAGGCGGCTTGCACCAGCTTTGAGGAACGCTCCGAAGCACGCTCCAGCAGCTGGGTGGCTTTCTGGTAGAGCTGCTTGTGCAGCTCCGAGTGCTTCTCGCGCGTCTCGCTATCAATGTTCTCCTCGAGCGACTCTAGCATGGCGCGACAGTGGCTCAGATTGACAAAGAATTTGCGCTGTTTTTGCACCTCGTTGTTGAGCAGCTCCAGGGAACTTGACACAATGGGGCTCTCCATCATTTTGTCGGCCAGCACAGTGATATTCGTGAACTCCTTGAGCGTCTGCTCGTACTCCTCGGCCAGTGACTGCAGCTGGAGTAGACGATCACGCTCTGCCTCGATGTTGTTGCCAATATTCTTGCTGTTCTCGAAGGCGTTGTACACATTCTGTGGAATTTTCTTATTTGGGAAGTCGCGCTGGAAGTAGCGGGCAGTCTGCATCAGTTGACCCAACTGCTGCTGGCCTGCCGTATGCTCCCGGTCCAGCTCATCGAGAAGTGCCAGCTTTTGGGAGAGCGGATGCTCCCCGCTGAGAGCCTGGTCGTACCGTTGTTGCAGGAAATCCAACGATGTAGAAACTTCTCTGTAGAGCAGCTCAAAGTTGTGCCACTTGTCCAGATCCTTGCTATCCTGGGCCTGACTATGTTGGGTCACCTGCTCCACAGCATCGATGTGCTCTTTGAGCGTGTCCACATATTGCAGCAGCTCCGACTGTGTTGGCTTATCCGTTTGGACGAGCTCTGACTCGAGCTGGTTGACATTCGCTTTGATTGTGTGCAGTTCCTCGTTCAGCTGATTGTAGTTGTCCAGCTTCTGTTCCGAGGGACCTTCATTGGAGTTTTGCCGTATGAGATACACGCGATACTCGATGGTTTCCAGCCAGGTGGACACCTTTTCAATGACTGTTATGACTGTGGTGTGTATAATCGTCTTATCTCCACTGTTTATTGCCACATCCAAGTTCTGTAATCCTTCGGAGACCTCCAGCATGCGCTGTTCGGTGGGCACCTGCTTGATCTGCTCGGATAGTGTGGCCAGGTGAAGGACATCGCTCAGTGGTGTTGACTGCTGTGGCGTCGCCTGCTTCAGTTGCCTTATGCGACTCCCAATTGCCTCCTTGGTCTCTGCCCAGGTCAGCTTCGATTGCTGTTCGTGTTGTTGTTGTTTACCAGGATACAGCTGCAAGATCTCGCTCTTGATGAGCGCTTCAGAGGAATCCATCGGTGTGCTGTCCACAGTCGAGCTGGTCGTTGTCGTTAGCCATATATTTTCTTCGTTCAGATTATCTGGACCCGGCGTAATGGGCACCACCAGCTCCTCTGTTGGCGAAGCAACCTCCTCAATCGTCACCGAAGATGTGGGTCCACTGCGTGGCTTGCCTTGCTGTTGCGAGGCAATGCTTACTTTGTTCTGTTCGAGAATATGTACCGGCAAATCAGGATATTCATCGTAGACTGTAGTCTTTGTGATTTGCAATTGCACACGCTGTGGCCTTTGCGGATCAGCTTCGGTGGGCTCAAAGTCGGCTACTGGCGGCAGATGTGGCACCTCTTCGATTGTCTGATTGGTGGAGAGTACTATTCCAGATTCAGTCAGCAGTTCGGGTGCAATTTCTACGGTCACACTGATTTGTGGATCCGCCTCTGGCGTTGGCTCCGGCACAGACTTGCCCTTCTGTTTCTTTTTGTCCTTTTTGTCCTTTTTCATTTTCTTTTCTGGCTTAGGCAGCTGCATGGTTTGAGTGTACTCATATAGCGTGGGCTCCACTGTAGATGCATCGGAATCGGCCGGTATGGCCACTGTGGTTTTCACCTCCAGCTCGTAGGGCTCTGAAGTAGATGTGGCGGTCAAGGAATTGTCTTCAAGCGAAATTGGCTGTGGCTCCTCACGTGGCGTGGTCTGCACCAGAACATCGCTCACATCTACGGCTTCTGGCCTGCTCAATTCCGTTGGCTCTGGCGTTGCTGTTTGCATGTGAGTCTCCTTGGTGGTGGTAACCTCTGTGACGGTAGACTGTTCCTTTGTGGGCACAGGCAAGTCGATGGTCATGTCTTTAACCAAATCCTTAACAAGTGGCTGGACCACGTGGTCGCTACTTGATTCAGCTAGGCGCGGCGATTCCTTGGGCGTGGTTTGCAGCTCCTTTTCGGTTGTTGCCGTTACAATGGTTTGGCTAGAAATTTCGACGGTTTGCCGGGGTTGACCATTCTCGTCGGTTTGAATTTCTGTGCTAAATGTTTCGACGGGCTCAGGTTGGTCGTCGCCGCGTGGTGTTGTCTGAGCTTCGGTTTCGGTAATTTCCACAATGATCGTTTGCGATTCGGTCTCCTGGTTATCCGGACGTACATCTAGGCTAGTTTGTACTGCTGTTTCATCCAGCTCGGGTTTATGCTGTGGTGATGTCTGCGAAGATTTAATATCCTGTTCAGCAGTTGTTGGCGTGGGCGCACGCGGACTCGTTTGCTGCTCTTCATCTTCAAGTGCTGCCAGCTCGACAACCTCCGTGGGTATAACCAGTTCCGTAATTGGAGTACGTGATTGCTCTGTGGGTGAGGGTATAATCGAATCTTCAACCACCTTGACGGTTTGACCCATATCCATGCTCGACAAGTCACTCTCTTCGCTAATCTGCACAATCGATTCGTAGCAAACTTTGTCTGCCGATTTCGGATTGATGGTGTCACTACGTGGCGAGCTCTCGGGTGAGAGCGGCGCATGCGATGCCTCTACTGGCTCCGGCTCTGGTTCTGGTAATTGTTCACTCTTCGATTTTTCCTCATCTCTTCTCTTCTTTTTCTTTCGACTTCGCTTCGTGGACGCGTCTTCGTCGTGTTCCAGGGGCGCTGCGACAGTCTCCACAATACTCATGGTCACCTTAGCGGGTGACATGCCAATGGATTCAACAAGCTCTGAGGCCGCTCCCATGGCCACCTTGAGTACACCAGCTCCAGTGGCTTCCACAGAAGGCGCTGTAATCTGGTAAGTCTTGCGTGGCGACGCTGAGGCGGCTGCCTCTTCAGAAATGAATAGCTGGGTGGCCACACGTATATCCTTTTGAGGTATATCGGACTGTTTATCGGCGATGTTAATGGGTGGCACTTCTGTGACAGTTTCTTCAATCGCTACCGTTTGTGGTTGTGCTTGCTCGGCTGGTACTGTTATATCAGCTTTTGGTTCGGTTTGAGCTTGTGCTTGTTCAGCTGCTAGGAAGCTTTCTACATCAGTTTTGGGTTTAACCACTGGCTGCTCCGGTGTTGTATCAGTCTTTTGTGGTGTCTGCTCAGATTCGGATTTGATGCTAACAGCTGTTGGTGACGCTGGCTCAAATGCATACGATTCCAGGGAGACAGAGTTGCCAGTTTCAGGACTTATTGGCCAAATGGTTTCCACGGGCATTGATGTCTCTGTGCTGACAGCAGCTGGCGCTGCCAGATCTTCGGCATGCTCCGAGAAATCGATGTTTGTGGTTTGCAAATGATGTTCCAGTGGCCAAATTTCCTTGATGTCTTCCACCACAGGCAGACTCTCTATTGTTGTAGCTGTGATTGTCGTTGTTGTGGTAGGTACAGGTGCTGTAGGTACAGTTACTGCCGCTGCTGCAACATTAACGGGACTGATTGGGGCAACATTTACGATTTCTTCAATGTCTACTTGTGGTGCTGGCAATTCTACAGGTGCTGCTTTTGTCGTTTCTGTTGTAATTGCAGTTGTTGTTGTTGTTGGTGGTGGTGTCTGTTTATCGAGTGGTTGTTCTTGTTGTGTGGTTGTGGTGGTGGTGTTGGAGATGTTGATAGACTCAATATCAAATACCTGTTGCTGCGGTTCTACTGTCTGTGATGACAGATCCGTTGCAACTTCTTCGATGACCACGCCTGGCTCTTGCATCATACGCTGGAATTCCTCTTCGCTCACCACTTTTCCATTCACCGTGCGTACAATATTGACATCGATATGTGGCATAGTTTGCTCCTCAGTCACCTCAATCTCCTCGGGCTCCTCAACCACTTCCTCAGTCACATGCTCCTTGCCATCAATGATGACCACACGTTTGATTATCTTTCGGGTCTTACGTATTATCTTACGGGTCACCTGCTGCATTACAGCTTGTATTCTGGTACCCTGACTATCTGGTGTAGACTGTCCAGCTGCCGCTCGGAATGGCTGCATTTTGCCATCCGCATCGGAGCATAACAGCTGCTCATACTGTTCAATCACAGGCTCTGTCTCGAACTCACTGACCGTCACAGTCTCTGGCTGGGAGCCATCCAACAGGGTGCCACGCGTTTGCTGCGTTACAACGGTGCGGTAAGTACTCTGTTGTGGATCAGCAATCGTGTCTGTGGTCTTCACATTCTCCAAATTTATCTGGCCTGTTGACTGCACTTCGATATTGCCATCGGCATCACTTACTGTCTCAATGGAACTAATCTGTTGCTGTTGCACAATTTGCTGACGCACCCGGGTGACCTTTTTCAAGACAATATGCTTGGTGCCATCGGCGCCCACAACCACCTCGGTAGTGGTTTCGTCTGGTTCGACAAATGTAGTTTCGAAAGCCTGCGGCACATTCTTAAGTATCAGCTCGGTGGCACGATCCACATCGCCTTTGGGTTGTTGATGGTAACGCGCCTCTATCTGCACATCCTCGGTCTGTTCCGGTACATTTTCATTCAGCTGGGTGTCAATCTGTATTGTCTCCTGACCATGCTGTACGGTTTGAGTGACCATTATGTTTTCCGTGGGTGGACGCTCCTTGAGTGTTTGCAGTGCTACCTCGGCGGTTTCTATGGCCAACACGGGTTGCGGTTCCCGGAAGCTAGTCTGCGCCTCCACATTGCTCGTGGCGATCTGCGGCTGAGGCTGTTGCAAGCTCAGCGATGTCTGTGTTTCCACATAAACGCCCGCGGGCTTGATCTCCTCCTCAGGCATTGAGCTGGAGTCTAGAGTGTTTTCATTGGACTCTATGGATTCAGGCGCTGCACTTGCAGCAATTGGTGCCTGTATTAGGGCATCCGCCAGCACGCGCTGCCGCTGGGCATCTTCGCTCTTGGCCTTGCGCAGATCCACGATGCGTTTCTCAATGGTAAAGATTCGCGTGGTCGCAACGGTGATCTGTTCACGTAATATGATTAGAATGCTCTGCAGTTGCTCCATCAGCGTATCGGCCAATGGGGCGACGTCGGGATGAGCCTGAAGCTCTCGTGTTTGGTCGACCAAATCATCCATGGACTGTTGCCGCTCCTTTAGAGTGCGCAGCAATTGCTGACTACGCTCCACCTGAGTCTTGAGCACGTGCTCATCGGTGCTGCTGTCCGTTGTGGGCTCGAACGAGGCCAATTCAGCGGAAACCTCATTGATCCAGCGTTCCAGCTCCAATAAATGCCGCTGGTACTCGTCGATCTCCTGCTCACGCTTCTTCTGTCCATGCATGGCGTTCTGAAACAAGAATTGTTTGATCTTAGCAGGTGCTATATATATATATATATATATTGATAGATTATACTCACGGCTATCATGGTAATGCCTTGCTGTGTGCGCCTCAGCAGCAGATCGATGCGATCTGCGGTCTCGTTAAGCAATCGCTCTGTGCCAGGATCTGTGGGCAATGCCTTTGCTTGATCCTTGAGATGTAGCGCTTCCTTCTCATGTACTTGCAGATTGCTTTGGATTAGCTGCACATCAAGCAGAAAAACGCATTTAACAAACGTTTGCCAAAATGACAAAAAACAAGAATTGAATTGAATGTACACCTACTATATGTAAGTAAATAAATAGTAAGACGTCAAAGGGTTCGACTACTATATAGTAAAATCATTTAAGACGAGATGTAATTGTATATCAAAACTAGGCTAATCAAAAAACTTCTATCGGTAATACATACGATATAATAATATGTACGATTATTTATGGAATGATGCGAATGTGTTATTTAATTTGTGTGACACACGCCAGCATCCATTAATCGTTTCTTAATTTGCAAAAATACAAAACTACGGCTATATACAGTGTCAGTATGGATTATTATCTAATATTATTCAAAAGAATGCCAGGTAAATGGTAAATACGTGCTTTAGATTCAGTTTAAGTAGCTTCTAAATTACCTTCAATCCTTGTAGCATGCCCTCCAAGCTGCTGTGGCTCATATTTCCAATGCCATCCTCGACGGTTGATAGCGATTGTAGCAGTTCTTCGAGTTCTTGCGTGATTATATCCTGTATATATTTTTTGTTTGTTTTTTTTTTTTTGTAAAATATGTGTGCAATGTGTTGGGGAATATTAATAAACATGTTAATAAGAATAAACATTGCGTTTTGCATCAAATAACTAGTTAACATTGTAAATATTTGTTGGCGGCTTTTATACACGCACAAAACATATTTACATGATGAGCAAAGTTTGTATAACATTTTGTTGTTTTTGAATGGATGCAAACGCACAGCCATACATATGGGTAGGCAATGCATAATAATTGTTTTGATATATATCTCTATATTTATATTTAAGTAGTATATATTTAGCATAAACATAACTGCATTTCACGTAACGCATGCGTATATGTCAATAAAAATCTTAAGGTATATGATCGGCGGCATATTATGAGTATATGGCGAAAAGGACAGCGGATAGACAAAAGCACCAAATGCGAAAGTTCCTAGCAAAGGGCTGTAACTTGATTGAAACAATATGAAAAAGTCTTCACACTCTGATTTTGGAAAGGAATATGAAAATTATGGTAAGCAAGGAAATAACTAGGAAATATCTTAAAGCTATTTTTAAACATGTTTCGTATTGCAAGCTTAATAAAGTATACAAATCAAGCTACAGCCGAGCATGTTCGACTGGCAATTACCCTGTACCCCACTCCTGTAACTGCAAGTTAAGTTAGCTAAGTTAGCTATCTATTTAAAATTGGCCTTGCTAGTATGTAGTATTGCCTTAGCTAAATGCACTCGCAGTTGTTTGATATTTGTAACTTTGTCTAACTATGCTTACTATACATGTTACACGGTACACAATAGAAATCTATACCCTTGCCTTTTACTATCGAACAAATTTTTTCGATCGCTATAAGAAATTTTGATACCTGCAGAGCACACTTAAGGATATGCTTACAGAAATTATTTACATTTTGCAATTTTATAAAATTTACTTTGGCTTATAACGAAGCGTGTTAACAAACTTGATCTGTCTGTGCATATATCATATTTTGTATCGTTCCAAAATAGTCACATTCTTAAAACCGGACCGATAATAACAAATATATACATATTTACTCTTACGATACTCGGAATGTCTCCAGCTACCACGTACTTACAGCATTTAATGAAACCATTTATAAACTCATTGGGGTACAGGGTAAAAAAAAATGTATATATAAATGTTCTTACTGATGGTTTTTTTTGTCCGTAATGCTATGACAAGTTCATTTAGACTAGATATACAATTTTCTGCACTAGCACTCACATATATGATTTCTTTTTCTTGGCAGGCCTTTAAACAAAGTTTTTCAATGCACTAATTGAAAGCTTAAGAATTTGGTTTTGATTTAGCAAACTATTTGACTGAAATGTACATTTCGCATTGAACTCACGATCTAAACTAAAAATTGGAATGCAAGACTAGGACCGAGTGACTGGCGCACTGAGGTATTTTTGAGCAAGTAATACGGTCTGCATTGCATGGATCTGTAAATTATTTATAGCGAAAACTAAGCACACACTGGGGGAAACTGCAGCAAAACAAACAGGAAAATTGCTTAACATTTGGCGAGAGCTGCAGGGCGGCAGACAGGAAGGCAATGAACTCATAAGTATACGATTTGTGGTACATAAAAACGGGCATGTTCTGCTAGAAAACTGTGTGCACGCACTTTTAGGCAGCACTGTGTGCAAGTGCGAAGAATATGTGCATTTGCGTGAGTGTGTCTGTTTGAGTGTGTGCGTGTGCCTATACGAAAATAAAACTGTGCAAATATATATATATTTAAAATAGATTACAATACATTAAGACGTGCAAGTTGGTTAATATTTATTTTATTTTGTTAAGTTTGACTTTAGTACGTATATAATGCTACTAAGTATTAGTAGTTACTGCATTTTACAATAGGTTAAGATCAATTAGTAAGGAACATTTGGTAACGCAATCAAACAACTAGTCTAAGTAGATAGAAGAGCGTGTATATAAACTCATAATATTACGATTAATCTTATATATATAGATAGATGAATGCAATTAGCGAAACGACACGTACAATACAAAGATAATAAACAAAAAAATCTTAAGAAAATAAAAATGAAAATCATAGGAAAACATAAGATATTGCAGGATATATAAGAATTAACAATTGAGAATTACGTTAGTATATTATATTATATATGTGTGTATTTTTTTTTTTTTGAATTTTTTTGTTATGTTATTGTTTGGGCCCGCCATGCGCCAAGGCCAACAAAGAGTTGCAACCCATGGTCGACCTTACTGCGGGCCATTGCCAGGGTGCGTTTCTGTTGCTGGTGGCAGCAATGTGCAGCATGTGCTGCTGCTGGCAGGGCCGCAACAACAACAACAAGTTGAGCGATTGCCGTATAAAAGCCATGAACAAATACCAAAACCACACAAAAAAGCTGCAAATATTAAAATTATGAATAACTGAAGGCTCAATGTGATTTTCACCTTCTGGCGTTGTTGTTGCAAATCGTTGCTAGTTGTTGTTGTTGTTGTCGTAGTCGTTGTGTTGCTGCTGCCAGGTGTTGCTGCTGCCGTTTCACTGGTTGTTGTTGTTGTTACCGTTGTAGTTGTTACTACAGTGCGCTTCACGATATTTGTGTTGTCATTTGTCGGAGCAGACCCAAGGTCTGGCTCACCGTGTTCGCTGCTTTCTGTTGTTGTTGTTGTCGTTGTCATTTCGGCAACTGTTGCTGGTGTGCTGGCAGCAACCGAAGGCGACTCAACAGCAGCAGTTGCTGTGAGCTCTTGCGGCTCCGGCTGCTGCACGGGCTGGGCTGCTATTGTCTCCACGGATGTTGTCGGTGTTGTTGTCTGGGCCGTAAGCTTATTAATTACGGCTGCTGCAACTGGCAGAATCGCGCTCGTCGCTGCCAGTGTTGTCGTTTTTGTTGCTGTTGCCGCCGCATTGGCAGCCGCGTTCAGCGTGTGAGTTGTGGCGCTCGCCAATTGGATTAGTGCATTTGCAACGTTAGCTGAGTTTGTAGTAGCATTGGATGGTGTGGGACTTGTTTCGGGTGTAGTAGTAGTTGGGGACGTGTCTGGTTTAGATGGCACAGAGGGTGCCAGCTCTGGGGTTTTAGTTTCGGTTAGAACATCCTTAGACTCTACTGTTGTTGGTGCCAATTCTAGTTTAATCTGAGGTTCAGCTTCTAAAGCCAAGTAAGTACTTTGGTCCCGCCAGTGACCTACGCCGCCTGGCAAATCGGTTGACATGTACTCTGAGGAGCAGCTCTGATTGGGTTCGAATTGAGCTGCGTCGTGTTCGGGTGTCGGTGTTGCATTGCCACTGCTACCACTACCAGGATCGCGGTCGTTCGGTTTATCGTCGTCGTCATGCGGCTTACGAATTTCAGGCACAGTCAGTTTATCTCCATCATCATCGTCATCGTCGTCGTCGTCATCGTCATCGTCATCATCGTTGTGTTCGTCCTTTTTGTCTGGTTTGTTGATATCATCGTCGGGTTTCGTGTCTTTGTCAAGTTTTGTATCAATGTCCGCCACATCAGCACGTTTCAGTCGGTCGATGCTACTCTCGAATAAATCTGCATCGATGCTGCGCATTTGCCAGTCATCCAGGTACAGGTTTAGACGCAACTGATCGAGACTACTGACAGGTGCTGTTGCCGGCACTTCTACGTTAGGAATGCTTACAATTGACGATGCTTCTGGTTCAGTCTTATCTACAACGTGATCAGTTATCAATTTGCTTGATTCTGTAATCGTGGTCGTTTTCACTACAGTTTCAGTAATGATGTCAGTCTTATGCTTATCGTCCTGAGTTTCCTGAGTTTTCTCTGTATCCGTATCCGTCTTGGTCGAGTCGCTGGTAATTGTCTTAAATAGTCCGTAAGCATCTTCAGCCGTTGGCCTATACTTCGGGAAGTTGTCCTGACTGAGATGCCAGAGTAGTTCACTTGGTTTGCGAGCTAAGGATATGGACGCTAAGGGTGTTGAATTCGATTCCAACGAGCTATCAACGAGTATTACTTTCTCTATTTCAGGTTTGGGTTTGACTATCGTTATTTCCTCAACTTCAGTTACTATTTCAGCTGTAGGTTGAATCAGCGTTTTCTCTGAAACAATTTCCTCAGCCTTAGCTTGTGGCATTTCCACAGGCGACACTTCCTCAACTCTGGTATCTACTTTGGGTTCAACAGGCTTTTCTATCTTCAATAAATGCAACTGACTAATGGTATCATTGGGAATGGGACGCAAAAGCGTTTCTCTATCAAGGTACAAATTGTAAGCAAGAATTTCCGAGTTAATTTCGGGCATTGCTTCGGGTTCAATTATCACATAATCATTTATAAATGTTTCCTCCTTGGGTAACTCTGTTATCTCCACAGCATCAATTTCCTTGGGTTTATTCTGCTTTAATAGTTGATACTGCGTTTCCGCATTGTTATATTTGGGATATTGTAGATTTGAGTCAAGCTGTAGGTTTTTCCTTAGAATATCCAAACTGCTGGGAGCAGCTGGCTCTACAGACTTAACGCTTGTTTCCGTGGATTCGGGCTCAACTGTCAGCTCATTTGAATGAGTTGTCACTACGGTTGATACGTACGAAGTTGGTTGTTCCTCAGTGGGTTTCACATCTTTGTGTGTTGTGACTGTTGTTGTAACGTAGGTTGTATTGGTTATTGTAGTTGTCGTTGTTTCCTGATTCTCAAGATCTTGTTGCTGTTTAGGATCTTGGAAGTCTGTTGTTTTGCTAACAACCATAGTGGACCATGCAGGCACATCAACAGCCTCTTCCTTGATAGCTGGCGACGGGAATACCTTTGTTTCAGTTTGAACAATAGCAGACCACGTCGTTGGCTGATCTGTTGGAGACTGTACTGCAACTTCTGCAAGGGTATTATCTATGGGTATTTCAACTGTAATTGGAGCATCCTCCTTAATTTCGTCTGGAATGGGTTCGACGACTTCATCAGTAGTTGTTACTGCTTTTTGACCAGGTTTCAATGTGGCAGACCAGTAGGATGTCTCGCATATAAATGCGTCACTGGAATTTGGTTCTTCCGTAGGTTTAAATGGAGCCAAAGGTGCCTGTTCAATAGTTTGTTCAATATTATCGACGGAAACTACTGGAGTTTCTGGTGGCTCAACGGTGTCTACATGTTTCAACACAGTTTCGATTGATGTTGGCGAAGGCTTGTCTTCAAATATTGCTTCTGTGGTAGTGATCTCTTCAACAGATTTGAATGGAGCTAAAGGTGTTTGCTCCATAATTTCAACTGTATCAAGTGGTGCAACAGCTGTTTCCAAATCTTCGGAAGGAGTTTTACGTTGTTCCGAAATAGCTTCAATTGTTTTCTCAACTAAAGTAACTGTGGTTTTGAGTTCCTCAGTAATTTCGAATGGAGCCAAAAGTGTTGTTTCGGTGATTGGCTGGACTATATCAACTGAAATAACAGGAATTTGCTCCTTTTGCTCAACAGACACGACATCCGCTGGTATGGCCTTTTCCTCAATTAAGGTCACGGTCGTAGTGGATTCTTCAGTAGTTGTAAATGGAGCCAACGGTGTCTGCTCAGTAATGGGCTCTGCTAAATCAACTGATGCAATAGCGATCGGCTCAGGTTTTGGAGCATTTTCCACCTTCTCACTAGATTCAACAGTTTCTTTCATTGGTTCGGGTTTCAGGGGCTCTTGAGGAGTTGGGTCTTGTCTATGCTCTGGTACCTTAGACTTTTGCGTACTTTCCTTTTCAGCATTTATAAAATCAACAATACCACTTGCAGGTTTCTTCTTCGGTTTTTGTTTTGGTTTCTTAGTTTTTGGTTCCGTCTCTAATGTAAGTGGTATACTGACTGTGTTATCTTTCTTTGGATGCTTCTCTACGCTGTCGACAATTTTATCTGTAGATTCAATTTGAAGGAGACGAATTTGCTGTGCTGGTTCTGGAACATTATGTGCAGCGATTGCTGCCCATGACATACCCGATGTGATCGGTATTGGAGCGGGAGTAGTTTGGCTATGGTCTTCCTCTGTTGGAGTAGTTGGAATAATTATATTTTTGGCCGGTTCTATTACACTAACATGATCAGCATAAATTTGTGAAGGCTTCGTTGGTTTGTTTTCTTTTGGTTTTTTAGATTTTTTCTTTTGTGGCTTTTCTCCCACATTGGAACTTTGCGACTGTTGTGAACGTGATCGAGAACGAATTCGTTTCTTTGAAGTTATTTCGAGGAAACCTTGCTCATCTTGTGGCTTGACCTGTTCTTCGGTTTTACTTACTTCGGTCACTTGTATAATCGGTCGACTGATTGTGCGAGAATGTCTTTCAATGATTGGTTCTGTATTGATATTAGTTTCTTTTGAAACAACAGAAGACCATGCCGGTATATCCGTATCCACTTCTTCATCCATGATTTCCTTCCATGACAATGTTGATGGCTTATCAGAATATTCAACTGGTTCATCTTCGAATCTACCAACAGACGCAGGAATAACAGGATCTGGGAACTCCTCAACGCAGACAATAGACGAACCTTGTGGTCGTTCGACGGCTAAATTTTTATGTTCTTTTTCAATGTTCTCAATGCTACTTAGACGTTTAGGCTCAGTATCCTGGTAGCGAATGTTTGTGTTGTTTTCGTAACCAGTCTTTTTAAGGACTTCAGCATAAGTTTCGGATAGGGACCATACAGAGGGCTTCGTTTTTGGCAATTGAATATTAAAATCAGGTGTTGTGATTTCAACCGTTTCGCGATGCTGAACCAATGCAGGCTCTGGCTCTATTTTGGGCCTTACTTCATGAACAACAGTAGTTTCTTCAATAGTTGGTTTGGGCTCATTCTCCACTTTGATGGACTTCTTTTCCTTTTTGTGCTTTTGCTTCATCGTATTGTGATCCGTATTTGGTGTCAACTTTTGCTCGTTGTGGATAAATTCCTGTATGATATGGGACGACGGTACATCGATTGATTCCGATACCATTGATGACCACGACTGAGTTTGAGATGGTGTTTCATCAGTAACGATAGCAGGCTCTTTTATTACACTAGTCAGTTCCTCGACAACCGCTTTGGAAACTTGTTCTGGTTTTGGTCTTTCGGCCTTTTGTGGTCTTTCTAGTACTTCTGGTAATTTTTGTTGTTCGTGGGAAATAAGCTCTTGTGATGTTGGGAGAATATCAACCGCTTGTGAAACGATCGACGACCATGACAAGGTATTTGGAGCATTCTCTAATACTATAGAAGATTCCGTTCTTTCGTCAATTTTAGGTGCTTCGGTTTTTGTAGGCATGTGGGGAACTATTTCTGAAGCGGGCACTGCCTTGGAAGGCTTCTTCTCCTTTTTCGACTTTTGCTTTTTGGGTTTATCGTTCTTGGGGACTGGAATGTTCTCCTCTTTATGAACGGAGTCTTGTACCTCGGGAATGGAGTCAACTGTTTCTGGCAAAACCTCAGTCTGATGAGTTGTAGTTGTAATTGTTTGTAAAACAATAGATGACCAGGACTGAGGTTGAGATGGCGTATCTACCATAGATTCGAATGTTTCCGGTTCCTTCTGTTTCTCCAGTTCTTTGACAAGGGTAGTTTCCTCAACAGCTGGTACAGCCTCATGTTGGGGCTGTGGCGACTTCTTTTCCTTTTTAGACTTTTGTTTCTTAGGCTCGTCGTTTACAACGGTTGAGAATTTCTGTTCCTTTTGAATGAAATCCTTTATGGTGTCATGTGTCGAGGGAACTGGTTCAGTTATTATTTCACTTTGTGCTGTTTCAGTAATTGTGTGAGGTTCCTCAACCGCATGTGAAACAATTGATGACCAAGATTGAGTTAAAGAATCCGTATCTACAACACTATCTACCGATTTTGTATCAATTATTTCTTTAGGCTCAACAACAGTCGTCTTTTCCACAATATGATCTTGGTGGTGATCTTGGGGCAATTCCTTTTCCTTCTTTGACTTTCGCTTCTTAGGCTTATCATTTACAGGAACTGGGATATTCTCGTCCTTGCAAATCAAATCTTCGACATCAGGAGCAGAGGAAACTACTTCTGGATTTATTTCAGAATGATGAATTGTAGTTGTTATTGTTTGTGATACAATTGATGACCACGACTGAGATTGAGATGGCGTATCTACTATAACTTCGATTGCTTCCGGTTCCTTCTGTTTTTCCAACTCTGGGACAAGGACAGTTTCTACAACAATTGGTTCAACTTCCTTTTCTGTCTGAGGTGATTTCTTTTCCTTTTTCGACTTTTGTTTCTTAGGTTTGTCATTCACAACAGTTGAGAATTTCTGTTCCTTGTGAATGAAATCCTGTATGTTGTCATGGGTGGAAGGAGCTGGTTCAGCAATTATTTCAGTTCGCACAGTTTCAGTAATTGTTACAGGAACCTCGACCGTTTGTGAAACTATTGATGACCACGATAGAGTTGGAGCTTCGGTATCTACAACACGCTCTGTTGATTTCGGTTCGACTACATCTTCGGTTTCCTCAACAACAACTGATTTTTCTTCAATTGATGCATGATGATCTTCGACCTGCGGCAACTTCTTCTCCTTCTTTGACTTTTGTTTCTTAGATTTCTCTTTAACGGGAACTGGGATATCTTCCACCTTCAGGACGACTTCTTTCACTTCAGGAACTGAAGGGGCTTCGGGCTTCAATCCTGTATGATGAGTTTCTGTAACTGTTGTCTGGGACACAATTGAAGACCATGACTGAGTTTGTGATGGAGTCTCTATTATGGTTTCGACTGGTTCTGATTGACTCTGCTTTTCTAGTTCTTTGACAGGAGTTGATTCCACATTAACGGATTCAGCGACATGTTCCGCCTTATGCGCCCTCTCCTTCTTGGACTTTTGTTTCTTGGAAATGTCATTCACAGAGGTTGAGAAGCTCTGCTCTGTACGAATGAAGTCTTGTATGTCAAACGTTGAAGGAACCGATTGAGGTTTTATTTCACCTAAATCAGTTTCAGTAATAGCTGGAGGAGCTTCAACCGTATTTGCAATATTTTCTGCTGATTTTGGCTGATCGACTTTTTGTGGCTCTTCAACAACTATTGCTTTCTCCACAATTGGTTCTCGCTGATTTTCGTCTCGCAGCAATTTCTTCTCCTCCTTTGACTTTTGCTTCTTTGGTTTAACATTATCAGAAGTAAAGATGTTTTGTTCTTTGGGAATCGAGTCTTGCACATCACGAATGGAGGAAATTGTTTCAGGTTTAATATCGGTATGATGAGTTGTAGTTGTTATTGTTTGTGAAACAATTGATGACCACGACTGAGATTGGGATGGCGTATCTACAACAAGTTCAGTTGTTTCCGGTTCCTTCTGTTTCTCCAGTTCTGGGACAAGGACAGTTTCTACAACCATTGGTTCAACTTCCTTTTCTGTCTGACGGGATTTCTTTTCCTTTTTCAACTTTTGTTTCTTAGGCTTGTCGTTCACAACAGTTGAGAAGTTCTGTTCCTTGTGAATGAAATCCTGTATGTTGTCATGGGTGGAAGGAGCTGGTTCAGCAATTATTGCAGTTCGCACAGTTTCAGTAATTGTTACAGGAACCTCGACCGTTTGTGAAACTATTGATGACCAAGAAAGAGTTGGACCTTCGGTATCTACAACACGCTCTATTGATTTCGATTCGACTACATCTTCGGTTTCCTCAACAACAACTGATTTTTCTTCAATTGATGCATGATGATCTTCGACCTGTGGCAACTTCTTCTCCTTCTTTGACTTTTGTTTCTTAGATTTCTCTTTAACAGGAACTGGGATATCTTCCACCTTCAGGACGACTTCTTTCACTTCAGGAACTGAAGGAGTATGTTGGGGCTTCGATCCTGTATGATGAGTTTCTGTAACTGTTGTCTGGGACACAATTGAAGACCATGACTGAGTTTGTGATGGAATTTCTACTGTAGTTTCGACTGGTTCTGGTTGGCTCTGTTTATCCAGTTCTTTGACAGGAGCTGTTTTAGCAACATGTTCCTTTGCAAGCGACTCCTCCTTGGGCTTTTGTTTGTTAGGATTGTCATTCACAGAGGTGGAGAAGTTTTGCTCCATATGGATGAAGTCCTTTATTTCTTGCGCGGATGGAACTGCACCAACATTTATTATTTCACTAGGATTAGATTCTGGTATTAATGGAGAAACTTCAACAGTTTGAGAAATACTTGTTGACCACGATGGAGCTGACGATTGAGTTTCTTCTATGTTATCGGCTAACTTTGGCTTGATTACTTCTTGTTTTTCCTCAACAACATTAGTTTTTTCCACAGCTGGTTCTGGTTGAGGTTCGATCTGCGACAGCTTCTTGTCCTTCTTTGATTTGGGTTTCTTGGTTTTGTCATTTACAATGGTTGAGAAACTCTGTTCTTTGTGAATAAATTCCTGTATATGATCAGAGGAGGGAACAACATCAGCTACTAAGTCAGTAGGACTTTCGATTATTTTGGGAGAAACGTCCACAGTCTGAGAAACAATTGAGGACCATGACTGCGGTTGGGGTGGCGAAACTTCTACATTATCAGTGTGCTCCAGTTTTTCCACCCCTGGCAGATTATGAACTTCTTCAACTGGTGATTTTGGAACATTTTGAGGCTTGGAAGGTTTCTTTTCCTTTTTGGAACTGTGTTTTTTGGGCTTGTCATTAAGATCGGAGAGCGTATTCTGTTCAGGGTTGAAAGTTGAGGTTGAGGAGACAGTTTCGAATTCAGTTACAGTTTGTGTTACAATTGATGACCACAATTGAGTCTGAGATGAAATATCTTCCTCAGGAGTCGTTTGAGCCTCTGAAATATCTACATGAGTGACAGGCTCCAATACAACAGTTTTTGATGATGATTTCTTCGTCTTCTTTGCCTTTTGTTTTTTATTTTTATCGTTAACTGTGGGCGACACTTGTTCTTGAGTACAATCCTCTGCATTGTCAGATGGAGGCAATTCTGGTAGGCCTTCAGTTGGTGGTAGCTCTATAGCCTTAACAGGTTCGGGGCCCTTTTTGGTAATTTTGGTGAAAGGCTCTTCGGCTCCTTGGCGAACTATAGACGACCAAGAGGCAAGACTACCCGGTTGTGGATGTTCAGGAATTATGTAAACCTCATCGTCAATAATTTCTGACCATTTTTGCGGCTTGGTTTCCTGCTTTTGCTCTTCTGTTTTTAGCTTTGTGGTTGAATGAGAAACATTTACAATCACCTCACTTTCGGGTTTCTTTACGTTTTCAACAACTGCCTTGTTCTTATTTTTGTCTTTCTTTGCTTTGGGTTTTTTAGCAACCTGTTCAACCACTTCAGAAATTGGAACAGGTGCTGTGGTTTGGGTACTAATATCCGTAACTTTTTCAACGTTTTTCTTTTCACCATCTATGAAATTAATTGTGTGCTTAAGTACATTTGCATACGATGAATTTTGATCCCACACGCTGATGGCTGGAGTTGAAGTGAGAGCAGGCAACATAATAGAAGCAGGTTCGTTTGGTTCAGCAAGTTTTTCTTCGGGCTCCACAGAAATTTCTTGAAGCTGGATTTCACTGACCCTCTCTTTAACAGGCGATTCTACAACCTTTTCAGGATCAACATGTTGAACAACATCTGTCTCATTATGTGATGTACCGGGCTCTGATTCTACGGGCAGTCCAGCGTATGTTGGTTTCTTGGGCTCCTCTGGTTTCTTCTCAGGTTCCACAGCCTTTGACACCACCGGTACAACAGATTCGCTTACAGTTTCCTTGACAGTAGTTGTTGTTGTGACTGTAACAGTTGTCTTGGTGTCTTCTGACACAGAAGATTCAAGAACCTTTTCCGGCTCAATGAATGTTTCTGTTGTTGTTATTGTAATGGGTTCAGGAACAGGTGCCTTTTCAACTGGGGCTTCCTTGGTTGGTTCTTCTTCCTCGTCTGAGAAAGTCATTGGCTCGTCCATGACGTCCATCCAGGCAGTGCTTGACTCATCTACTGGCAGCCCAGCATATGCTAGTTTCTTGGGCTCCTCGGGTTTCTTCTCGGGTTCCACAGCCTTTGGCTCAACTGGTAGTACAGATTCGCTGACAGTTTCCTTCACAGTAGTTGTTGTTGTGACTGTAACAGTTGTCTTGGTGTCTTCTGACACAGAAGATTCAAGAACCTTTTCGGGCTCAGTGAATGTTTCTGTAGTTATTATTGTAATGGGTTCAGGAACAGGTTCCGTTTCAACTGGGGCTTCCTTGGTTTGTTCTTCTTCATCAGAGAATGTCATTGGCTCGTCCATGACGTCCATCCAGGCATTGCTTGACTCATCTACTGGCAGCCCAGCATATGCTGGTTTCTTGGGCTCCTCGGGTTTCTTCTCGGGTTCCACAGCCTTTGGCTCAACTGGTAGTACAGATTCGCTGACAGTTTCCTTGACAGTAGTTGTTGTTGTGACTGTAACCGTTGTCTTGGTGTCGTCTGACACCGAAGATTCAACCTTTTCAGGCTCAATGACTGTCTCTGTAGTTGATGTTATAACGGGTTCAGGAATAGGTACCTTTTCAACTGGGGCTTCCTTGGCTGGTTCTTCTTCATCAGAGAATGTCATTGGTTCGTCCATGACGTCCATCCAGGCAGTGCTTGACTCATCTACGGGCAGACCAGCATATGCTGGTTTCTTGGGCTCCTCGGGTTTCTTCTCGGGTTCCACAGCCCTTGGCTCAACTGGTAGTACAGATTCGCTGACAGTTTCCTTGACAGTAGTTGTTGTTGTGACTGTAACAGTTGTCTTGGTGTCTTCTGACACAGAAGATTCAAGAACCTTTTCTGGCTCAATGAATGTTTCTGTTGTTGTTATTGTAATGGGTTCAAGAACAGGTGCCTTTTCAACTGGGGCTTCCTTGGTTGGTTCTTCTTCCTCGTCTGAGAAAGTCATTGGCTCGTCCATGACGTCCATCCAGGCAGTGCTTGACTCATCTACGGGCAGCCCAGCATATGCTGGTTTCTTGGGCTCCTCGGGTTTCTGTTCCGGTTCCACAGCCTTTGGCTCAACTGGTAGTACAGATTCGCTGACAGTTTCCTTCACAGTAGTTGTTGTTGTGACTGTAACAGTTGTCTTGGTGTCTTCTGACACAGAAGATTCAAGAATCTTTTCGGGCTCTGTGAATGTTTCTGTAGTTGTTATTGTAATGGGTTCAGGAACAGGTTCCGTTTCAACTGGGGCTTCCTTGGTTGATTCTTCCTCGTCTGAGAAAGTCATTGGCTCGTCCATGACGTCCATCCAGGCAGTGCTTGACTCATCTACTGGCAGCCCAGCATATGCTGGTTTCTTGGGCTCCTCGGGTTTCATCTCGGCTTCCACAGCCTTTGGCTCAACTGGTAGTACAGATTCGCTGACAGTTTCCTTCACAGTAGTTGTTGTTGTGACTGTAACCGTTGTCTTGGTATCGTCTGACACCGAAGATTCAACCTTTTCAGGCTCAACGACTGTCTCTGCAGTTGATGTTGTAACGGGTTCAGGAATAGGTACCTTTTCAACTGGGGCTTCCTTGGATGGTTCTTCTTCATCAGAGAATGTCATTGGTTCGTCCATGACGTCCATCCAGGCAGTGCTTGACTCATCTACTGGCAGCCCAGCATATGCTGGTTTCTTGGGCTCCTTGTGTTCCACAGCCTTTGGCTCAACTGGTAGTACAGATTCGCTGACAGTTTCCTTGAAAGTAGTTGTTGTTGTGACTGTAACAGTTGTCTTGGTGTCTTCTGACACAGAAGATTCAAGAACCTTTTCTGGCTCAGTGAATGTTTCTGTTGTTGTTATTGTAGTGGGTTCAGGAATAGGTGCCTTTTCAACTGGGGCTTCCTTGGTTGGTTCTTCTTCCTCGTCTGAGAAAGTCATTGGCTCGTCCATGACGTCCATCCAGGCAGTGCTAGACTCATCTACGGGCAGGCCAGCGTAAGCTGGTTTCTTGTGCTCCTCGGGTTTCTTCTCCGGTTCCACAGATTTTGCCTCTACTGGTACTATAGATTCGCTAACAGTTTCCTTCACAGTAGTTGTTGTTGTGACTGTAACAGTTGTATTGGTGTCTTCTGACACAGAAGATTCCATGACTGTCTCTGTAGTTGATGTTGTAACTGGCTCAGGTGCCTTTTCCACTGGGGCTTCCTTGGATGGTTCTTTTTCTTCGTCAGAGAATGTCATTGGCTCGTCCATGACGTCCATCCAGGCGGAGCTTGACTCATCAACGGGCAGGCCAGCATACGCTGGTTTCTTGGGCTCCTCGAGTTTCTTCTCGGGTTCCACAACCTGAGGCTCTACAGGTGGTATAGATTCGCAGACAGTTTCCTTCACAGTAGTTGTTGTTGTTGTGACTGTTATAGCTGTTGTTGTGTCTTCAGGAATAGACGAGACGAGAACCATTTCAGGTTCAGTTGAATGTCGTTGAATGTCGCTTGATGTTTCTGGTACTGCAGATTTGTTGACCGCTTCCCTAGGTTTTTTGGAAACAGCCGAAGGCTTTTGGGTGGGCTCCTCCTTTAGAGAAATATCAGATTTCATTTCTTGGATGGTGTCGATTATTTTATTAATGTTCGCTTCATCTCCATTTTCAGCAAGGAGAGGAATTTCCACTTCTTCTTCAATTAATTCTTTCCAGGATTTGTGCTCGACAACAAAATCATCAGCACCGTCATCAATCATATCAGCCCACGACTTATGTGTTTTGTCTTCGAGGTTGTCAGGAATGCCGGCTGATGGGAATTCAGAAACTAACTGAGGCTCCACAGATATTTCTGCCTTTTTAACAGCAACTGACTTTGGAATCACCTTCTCCGTTTCTATAAAGTCAATAGTTTTCTGGCTTACAACTGAAGCCCAAGAGCCGGTGTGTTGATCTTGGTGACGAGTGTTTTCCTTTGCTGATGCCTTTTTCTTTTCAGTACGATCTACTTTCACATGGTGTCTTACAGGCTCTGCTAACTTTTGTTTAACCTCCTGCTTTTCCTTGGGTGGCAAATCAGTCATTTTATCTATTTGACTGGCGATCTTGGCCCAAGTTGTCACCTCGCTTTCATGAGTTGGAGATGATGACGTCTCAATGACATCACTGTCATCAGATGTTGAGACAACATTACTTTCCACCTTTCTAGACTTAGGCTCGGTCGTTTTCTTTTCATCTGTTTCGGTCCTAAATACTTTCTTGGGAGCCTTACGTTCTTTCCGCGACTTAAGTTCTGGTTTTGGTTCCTCTTTCGCAATGGCAGTTGGCTTTTTGCGGGAGGCTATGTCATCTACGAAATCACCAGGCTTTTTAAGCAAAGCTGCCCAAGAAAACGTATCAGTAGTACTTGCCGCCGGCTTTTCAACAATTGTCTGCTTTTCTGGTTCACTTTCGATTGGAACCTCTTTCTTAAGAGTTGATTTAGATATGGTTTCCTCTTTTTCTGGTACTTGTTGTTTTTTAGGCTCGATTCGTTCTATCTTCTTTTGTTGCCGACTCTTGCGTGGTTTTTCTTGTTCATGACGATCTGGTTCTACTTTTTCCGTTGAAGTTGTCAATGCAGTCTTAATATGGGTCACAGTTGTGTCAACCCACTCCCCTGGTCTTTTTACAAGCGAAGCCCACGAAAAGCCGCTGGTTTCGGGCTCCTGAGATTTTTGGGGTTCCAGATTTTCCTCTGGTTTTTTCATTGTCTCCGCTTTTATTATTGTCTTTGTATGAGTCAAAGTCGTTGGTAATTCAGGTTCATTCTTTTCATCCTCAGAAGTGGTCGAAGTTTGATCTTGAATCGGTTTCTTTGATTTTTTAGATTTCTTTGTTTTGGTAGGTTTTCGTTCTGGTTTCTCTTCCTTTTTGGGTTTCTTGTCATCTGGTATAGTGTCTGGATGCAATGCTTTCTTTTGGACTAGTGTGTTATCGGTCCATTCACCAGGTCTTTGAACTAAAGCAGACCAGCTCATTTCAGATGTTTTTACAACGTCCTGCTCGTCAGATGATGGTTCCTTGGAGCTTGTGGTGGCAGGCTTTGAGGAGCCAGTGCTCAAACTTTCTTGGATATATTCCGCAGGCTTCTGTTTTTCTTGATTTTGCTTCTTCTTATGCTCCTTTGGCTTATCAGTCTTTGGCAAGGACTTAACTACGTCTTGTTTTGGTCCTTGTACAATTACAGGCTTTTCAGAAGCTTGTGTCTCACTACTATCGCTTGAGCTAAACAAAACATCTGCGTAGGACTTTCCGTCTCGATTACTTTCCCACACACTTGGCTCAACTGTCTGATCTGAATCTAAAACAAATGTCGGCGGAACTGGAGGAATAATTGGATCTTCTTGAGTCTCTTCAGCCGGTTTCTTTGGACGCTTAGCTGGTTTTACTTTCTTCGGCTTCTTTGTAACTGGGATCGATTGCTCTGCTCTACTTCGTGGAATGAATTCGTTATAAACTCTCTCATTGGCAAGGAATGTGTGTGTTTGATCGGCATATGCATGCCTAAGATAGGAAGGCGTAAACTCCGGAGCATCGGCAGATAACGTTGACGTGAAAACAATACTTCCTGAGCTTGGGGCGGATTCCTCCAAGACGCTAGACCATGTATCAATTGGCCCCTCAAGTGTCAAGCTGGAATAGACTGGACTCTTTTCAGGTTCACTGTGTTTCTCTTGAGCTTCACTGAACGTTTCCTTTACAGTAGTTGTTGTTGTGACTGTAACTGTTGTCTTGGTGTCTTCTGACACAGAAGATTCAAGAACCCTTTCTGGTTCAGTGAATGTTTCTGTTGTTGTTATTGCAATGGGTTCAGGAATAGGTGCCGTCTCAACTAGGGCTACCTTGCTTGGTTCTTCTTCTTCGTCAGAGAAAGTCATTGGCTCGTCCATGACGTCCATCCAGGCAGTGCTTGACTCATCTACGGGCAGGCCAGCATATGCCGGTTTCTTGGGCTCCTCGGGTTTCTTCTCGGGTGCCACAGCCTTTGGCTCAACTGGTAGTACAGATTCGCTGACAGTTTCATTCACAGTAGTTGTTGTTGTGACTGTAACAGTTGTCTTGGTGTCGTCTGACACCGTAGATTCAAGAACCTTTTCGGGCTCAGTGAATGTTTCTGTAGTTGTTATTGTAATGGGTTCAGAAACAGCTTCCGTTTCAACTGGGGCTTCCTTGGTTTGTTCTTCTTCGTCAGAGAATGTCATTGGTTCGTCCATGACGTCCATCCAGGCAGTGCTTGACTCATCTACGGGCAGACCAGCATATGCTGGTTTCTTAGGCTCCTCGGGTTTCTTCTCGGGTTCCACAGCCTTTGGCTCAACTGGTAGTACAGATTCGCTGACAGTTTCCTTCACAGTAGTTGTTGTTGTGACTGTAACCGTTGTAACGGGTTCAGGAATAGGTACCTTTTCAACTGGGGCTTCCTTGGCTGGTTCTTCTTCATCAGAGAATATCATTGGTTCGTCCATGACGTCCATCCAGGCAGTGCTTGACTCATCTACTGGCAGCCCAGCGTATGCTGGTTTCTTGGGCTCCTCGGGTTTCACAGCCTTTGGCTCAACTGGTAGTACAGATTCGCTGACAGTTTCCTTCACAGTAGTTGTTGTTGTGACTGTAACAGTTGTCTTGGTGTCTTCTGACACAGAAGATTCAAGAACCTTTTCGGGCTCAATGAATGTTTCTGTTGTTGTTATTGTAATGGGTTCAAGAACAGGTGCCTTTTCAACTGGGGCTTCCTTGGTTGGTTCTTCTTCCTCGTCTGAGAAAGTCATTGGCTCGTCCATGACGTCCATCCAGGCAGTGCTTGACTCATCTACTGGCAGCCCAGCGTATGCTGGTTTCTTGGGCTCCTCGGGTTTCACAGCCTTTGGCTCAACTGGTAGTACAGATTCGCTGACAGTTTCCTTCACAGTAGTTGTTGTTGTGACTGTAACAGTTGTCTTGGTGTCTTCTGACACAGAAGATTCAAGAACCTTTTCGGGCTCAATGAATGTTTCTGTTGTTGTTATTGTAATGGGTTCAAGAACAGGTGCCTTTTCAACTGGGGCTTCCTTGGTTGGTTCTTCTTCCTCGTCTGAGAAAGTCATTGGCTCGTCCATGACGTCCATCCAGGCAGTGCTTGACTCATCTACTGGCAGCCCAGCATATGCTGGTTTCTTGGGCTCCTCGGGTTTCTTCTCGGGTTCCACAGCCCTTGGCTCAACTGGTAGTACAGATTCGCTGACAGTTTCCTTCACAGTAGTTGTTGTTGTGACTGTAACAGTTGTCTTGGTGTCTTCTGACACAGAAGATTCAAGAACCTTTTCTGGCTCAATGATTGTTTCTGTTGTTGTTATTGTAATGGGTTCAAGAACAGGTGCCTTTTCAACTGGGGCTTCCTTGGTTGGTTCTTCTTCCTCGTCTGAGAAAGTCATTGGCTCGTCCATGACGTCCATCCAGGCAGTGCTTGACTCATCTACGGGCAGCCCAGCATATGCTGGTTTCTTGGGCTCCTCGGGTTTCTGTTCCGGTTCCACAGCCTTTGGCTCAACTGGTAGTACAGATTCGCTGACAGTTTCCTTGACAGTAGTTGTTGTTGTGACTGTAACTGTTGTCTTGGTATCTTCTGATACGGAAGATTCAAGAACCTTTTCAGGCTCAACGACTGTTTTTGTAGTAGCGCGTTCAGGAACGGTAGTTGTTTTAACATTGTTGATATTAGTTGACGGTCCTATTGGAACCTCGCTTAATTCGACTATTGTTGCTTCAAATGTTTCAGGAGCAGTCGGTGTTGGGATTTCTTCATATTTGTTTAGGTTTTGTCTGTATAGATTTTCGGCGTAGCTTTGGCCTATAGTGTTATATTTTGGAACTTCAAAGTTGTAGACAGAAGGAATATCATCAATATTTTGTTTTTGAGGTGCAAACTCATTAGAAGTATCCACAGTTGTGGTAATGGCTGTTGTTGGGGAACTTTGAATTGGTAAAATCTCTTCAGTGCGCGGTATGTGCTCTTCAACGTTTGAGAGTGGCTTATCACTTGGTGTAAGCAATGATGTCTCTTCGGATTTCGTTTTGTATATGTGATAATAACCCTCAGCATTATTATATAAACGTATATCGTACTTAGGTATTTCATATACTTTTTCAGTTGAAATTGGTTTCAGATTTTCGGGAGAGGTAGCCACCACAGTTTCTGTAATAACAGATTCAACCGTACTCACAACCGGTAGAGTCTCAACAGTCTGGTTCTCTTCATTGGATGGCGTAGGTAAGGGAGTTTCTACACTCACAGGCTTAGAATTGATTATGTGATATTGACTCTCAGCAATGTTAAATTGAGATAAATTGTATTTGGGAATTTCATATACTTTTTCAGTGGGTAATTGTTTTAGATTTTCGGAAGAGGTACCCACCACAGTTTCCGTAATAACAGAATCAACCGTACTCACAACCGGTAAAGTCTCAACAGTCTGGTTCTCTTCATTGGATGACGCAGGTAAGAGAGTTTCTACATTCACGGGCTTAGAATTAATTATGTGATATTGACTCTCAGCAATATTAAATTGAGATAAATTGTATTTGGGAATTTCATAAATCTTTTCAGCTGGAGTAGGAGTTTGTATATTAGTGATATTTGAAGTGCTTACCGTGTTAACCACAAATGCTTCGGCAGTTAATGCGCTTGGCTTGGCAGGAGCAATTTGTTTAGCAATATTAGTAGGGACTGGGGATAACTGAGCTTCACATGGAATATCAATTTGCGTTTCTACTTGAGTATTTTGAGGAGGAATTTCAGGCGTTTCTTGCATTTTCTCATGGTAAAGTATTTCAGCCTTGGCGTGCCCAGTGGTATTTGCTTTCGAAATCAATGATAGATCTTGACAAATATTCTGCACTAATTGCGCTGGATTATCGTTGGATGTAGGTGTTTGGATTAAAGATTGTTTATCTACATTAGTAATTGCAATTGTATCATTACCTTTACTTTCTTCAACGAGAACCTGAATTGTTTCTTGCTTAATGAACTCTTCGGGAATCGCGGGTCGTTTTTTCTTATCTTTCTTTGACAGTTTCTTTTGAATGTCTTCGAACAGTTTTTGCTCTTCTGGACTTAAGTCAGATGGGGGTTCACTACTCTTTTCTACTGCCTTCGGCTTATCAACCTGCTCTGTCGTATCTGCCATAGCAACTTGTTCTTCCTGTTCCTGTTTCAAAGAATCTGAAATGCTAACCTCAACCGCTTCAACTATTTCTGGCTTGGAGTCTGTAAACTCAACTATGGAAGTCGCACTAGTTTCGGCCGTTCTCTGCAAGGACTCTACGTTTTCAGTCACAGTCTCAGTAACGCGCAGACTAACCTCCGGAAAATCTAGGTGCATTTTCACGATAGGAGTCTTTAGCTTCTCTTCATGAGTAATTAAAGAAATTTTCTGAACAGTGCCTGGTGGATAGGCTCCGTCAATGCCTTCCCCAACGAAAAGAACATTTGTGCCATCTTCGGTTTCGAAGCTACGTCGTTGTGTCGTTGTAAGGATTGTATTTTTGGTAGTTGTCGTAGTTGTAGTGGCAATGCGGTCTGTTTCAGTTACCCCGTTCGACGAAGTATGTTCTGTGTTAACAGTCGGTAGTTCAGTTGTCTTAATATCTACAACCTTAACACCAGATTTGCCTGCTGTGTCCTTAATACCCAACTCAATATTGACACCAACATTAGCAACTTTAGTTTCGGTGCTTGTCGTGACAACTGGTGAAGCTGCCTCCGACCTTGTACCCGAAGATACAATGGGACTTGTTGATCTTTGATCGGGCATTTCAATACTAGATGTAACAATAACATCGCTAGGTGTGTCGCTTTCAGTCAAAACTATACGTCCGTCATTTGTAATGCGCTTTGTTATACGCATTGTACGAATTGTCGTTGTCTTGATTATAGCCCCATCAATTTGACTAGATGTAGTTGAAGTTTCACTGGGTATTTCTGATATTGTTGGAGAGGACTCGCGCACAGTGATTGGCTCACTTGTTGTGCTGCTCTCTGTTGTTGTTTCGCCATCTTCGTTCATTTTCTTCACAATTTTCGTCGTACGCACGGTTGTTGTTTTAGTTACACCACCAGCTTCCTCATTAATTGGTTCAGCAGCAACCAGCGTGGGCTCAACGGGTTTCTGATTATCTTGAATTTCGCTAATGCTCTGATTATCAACATTTTGTGCCACCTTCTTAACAATCTTAGTCGTTCTCGTGATTGTTGTTTTAACCACATCACTTCCAACATTGTCATCGAGAGGTTCAGATACTAATGCCTCAGTTATTATAACATCTTGTTGAGGTTCATTTTGGACTGTAGCAAGGTCTTGAATCTCTTCAGTTAGGTTGGGCTCAGCCGCTACTGGAGCTTCCTTCTGCTTATTGTGCTTCTTTGATTTACGCGACTTTTTCTCGGGTACAGGCTCTGCAGTTTGCTTTTCAGAGGCTATGAAATCAAGCGTGGTTGACTTTATATTGTTACTCTTCACCGCTTCTGTAGGCTTCGGCGTTATGAGTAGTAGCTCAGCAGATGGTTCGGGTTCGGGAGCTGCAGGCTCATTTGCACTCTCAACTGTTGTCTTATTTACGGCCTTCGTAGTTCGCGTGGTTATAGTTTTCGTAATACCCTCACTATTTGATTCGGTGGTAACCGATTCGGCTACTATTGGTGCCTCCTGAATAATGGTTTCAACTGTTTCCAAGGCTGGCTCTGATGTACTACTGTTATCACTGGTAGTGTCAGAGTCTTGCGTAATTTTCTTGATTATTTTCGTTGTACGCACAATTGTTGTTTTTAGCACCGAATCGTCATCAGCTTGTATAGCCTCTACAGATGATTTTGTTTCGGGTGAAATCTCCACATCACCAACGGGTTCGGTGACAGGTTCTTTTTCAGCGTCAGCCTTAGCATTCTTGATCGTGCGTATGGTCGTGGTTTTAGTTGTCTTAACTACACCTTCATCGCTAACCTCACGACTATTCATTTCGGACTTCTCTACTTTGGGCTGTTCTGCAGCTTCCTCGGCAAGTTCATAGGAATCCAGCGAAGGTACATCCGAATACGTTGACGTGGACATTTCCTGACTATCTTGTTGGTTGATCTTTTTCACGATTTTAGTTGTACGTATGACGGTGGTTTTGATAAGACTGCCATCATCGCTGATAACAGATCCATCGGATGACTGAGTTTGTTTCTCGTCGGTTGTAATTGCACTTGTTGTATTCAGGGGCTCTGTGGTTTCTAGTGGTGCTTGTGGCTCGATAATTTCGGCTACGTTTTGCACAATGGGACTTGCAGGTTTTTCTATGATTTCCTCGCTTTCGGATTTCTTTTGTTTCTTCTTCTTATCCTTTCTGCTGGGCTTTTGTGGTTTCTGCTCGGGTTCAACCGCGACAACCGGTTCCTTTTTATCCTTACGCGGTGGCTTTTGTGGCTCGGAAATAATTACTTTCTCGGCTTCGCTTACAATTTCTTCAACAGCGTGATGTGCAGCATCGAGGATAGCTTCTTGTGATCCAGCCGGCTGATCCAGTTCGGTAACGTTCCTAGTAGTGAGCACTGTAGTCGGAAGCAATGTTATGTCTCGTTCCACTTCGGGCTCATCCTCATATACTTCTTCGACAACTTCCTCTCCATCGGCGGTAATGCGCTTAAGGATACGCTTCGTCTTGGTTATTGTAGTTTTCGTAATGGAACCGCCCTGAACAACAGTTGTATCCTGAGCTGAAGTTATTCCAGGAACGATAATGCTGCCAGGCACTGTACTTGTTGTTTCCATTAAAGGCAGGTCGAATTGCTCTACGGATATATTTTCTTCGGGCAAATCATCGATTACATCTTCCTCAACAATTTCCTCTCTACCATCGACAATGCGCTTCACTATGCGCTTGGTAATATGCTTTGTTATGGTCCTGGTAGTAATTGTAGTGGTGCCGCTTTCTGTGGAAATCGTGTTGGTAGAGGTTGTTACTACAGGTTCGCTTTCTAGTATTGATTCATCCGTTTCGATACTTGATACTGTAGTTGGCTCGAATGTTTGAGTAGATCTATAAACAGTCTCCTCAGGCTCCACAACAAGAGGTTCAGTAAAGGTAACATGCTGAACAATATCGATTTTATTTGATTCGTCTGCCTTCACTTCGGGTTGCGCCGTAATTGTTTGCTTCTCCGTAACCTTTGAACGTTTTCCATCTTTCTTTGTTGGAGAATTGATTTTAGAAGCAGTTTCAGCTGTTGGTTTTACAATCTCTTCAACAACGCTTTCTTTCACGACTTCGATAACAGGCTCAATCTTAGTAATTGTTGTTTCGACAACTGGTTCTTCAATGGGTAAAACCTCCGTCTGCTTAGTGACTTCAACAAGAGGTTCCACTGTGTTTTTTACGACAGTCGTAGTTTCCACAATATTTGTAGATTGCTTTTTATCTTTTTTAGCTGGAGAGAAAACAGCAGGACTTGGATCAGCACTAGGTTCCACTACACGTACATCTTCTGTTGATTTAATAACTTCTTCGATAGGCTTAACTGTTTTCTCGGAGGTCTCGAAAGTTGTGGTCTCCGTTTCAACAATAGTTGTTGCCTTTTCATATTTTTCAGCTGAAGTGGGCGCAGTTGGAGTTTGATCAGAAGTGGGTTCAACGATCGATGATGCTTCTGTCGGTTTCACGACGTCCTTGACAGGCTCAACTGTTTTATCGGGTATCGTAGTGGTCGTGCTTTCGACATTATTTATCTTCTTTTTACCCTTTTTAGTTGGAGTAGACACAGCGGGAGTTGGAACAGCAGTGGGTGCCATAACAATGTCTGGGTGTTTAATGACGTCTTTGATAGGCTCAACTGCGTTCTTAGAAGTTGTAGTAGTTGTAGTTTCCACAATAGTTGTTGTCTTGCTTCCATCAGTTTTAGATGGAACCGATACAGTTGGCGAGGAATCATCAGTAGGTTCTACTACATGTTCGGCTGGATTGATCACTGATCCAATAAAATCCACTGTTTTCTTCCAAACACTCGCAGTTTCTACAGGAGCTTTAGGTTTCTTTTTGTCCTTCCTTGATGGAGCAGTAACAATGGGAGCTATATCAACAATTGGCTGTTCAATAGGAACAGTTTCCTCTTTAGTGGCCTTCACAATTGGCTCCACCGATTTCGTCGTAATAGTTGTCGTCTCGACTACAGTCGTAGACTTCTTTTTATCCTTCTTATTAGACGCTTGGTCATTGGGTTCAATTGCGATGGGATTCTCCTTTTGTTTGACGGATTCAACCACCGGGTTGGCTGTTCTCTTTGTGGTTGTTGTCGTTTCCACAACATTTGCAGTTTGCCTTTCCTCCTTAACTGGAGAAGCTACCCTGACCGGCTCAACAATCTGTTTGTTTGAAATCGTTGTTTCCGAAGAGTTTTCAGATGAATGCTTGCTCTTTTTAGATTTTCTGGTTTTTGGTTCCGGCTTGTGCATCTCCTCGACGAAAATTACCTTTGATGCAGGCACACTCTCCACATGACTGTGCGCCCCACCATTTGTTTCTGGAGATTTGTGTTTTCTACCTGTTTTGTGATCTTTCCTGCTGCTTACCTTAATGGGCAATGGCTCAGGCTGTGGTTCATGTCGCTGTCGTTTTGGCTTCGGCATCTTTGCCTCAGAGTTTTCATCGGACTTTTCCGTCCACCTACCGTGCTGGTTCTTAATCACCGTAGTGCTTGTTGTATGCTTTGTGGTGGTGGTTGTTGGTGCATGTTCAGCATTGCGAATTTGCGACATGGGTGCCGCTACACGTACTGGAATCTGTTGCTGTTGACTGGATGGCTGGAAAACTGGATGTGATCTATGCTGTTGGCCAAAGAGCACTTCGGCATAGGTGCTGCCAGTACTGTTATCTTGTTGTTGCTGATACACATTTTGAATCGGCTGTTGCACTCGGGGACGGACGACGAAACTATCTGGAGCTGCGACAATCGTTTGTGCTATCACAGTTGGCTGTATCGGTTGCGAGATAATCGTTTCCTCCACATATCTTGTTGTGGTTACGGTCTGATGTGGCTGTTGTTGCTGTTGTAGTTGAGGCTGTGGTTGAGATACTTCAACGGGTATCGTCTCAATCGCATCGACATCAAACTGACCAAAGGTAATGTCGGGACGTGGCTCATTCATTTCAAACTCTTGCGGCTCCACAGGTCGCAGCATTTGCACATGTTCCTCAATGAACACCACCTGTGGTGGTGGCACCTGTTCCTGAGTATTATGTGGCGTTACAATAGTTGCCTGTATTTGTTGGGTGCACGTGGTCAGAGGCTCCGCACTTTGTTGCACCATCGATGCGAGAGTAGTTACCACACGATCAAGCACGCTATTACCTGTTGTCGATGTGGTTGTCGGATTTACATCCGTGCGGTATGGCTCCAGCAGATAAGCCTGATCAACAATTTCTGGTTGATAGACAGGCACGTATTGATTTATTTCCGTTTGCCGCTGCTGCTGCTGCTGTTGCTGCTGCTCTTGGGCATATTCCTGCGTGTACTCTTGCGGCTGTTGGGCATAATAGATCTGTGAGGACTCCGTTGTGTATACCGTGGGGTAAGTCTCCGCTTGAGCAACTGGCTGATAAGCTAGCAGCTGGTACTGCGTTGTTGTTGGTGGTACCGCCACAGGCTGATATTGTATGGGATACTGCATCTGCATGATCTGATCATAATAATTTTGGGGCTGTGGCTCGCCACTTTGCTCCGCAACATAGCCCCACTGGCCGCTATCGGCCACATTCTCATACATTGTCTGATATAGCTGTGGATCTGGCTGCAAGTAGGTGGCGGTGATCTCCTCCGCACTCATGGGCACCTCATAGTTGGGCAGCTGCGGCTGCGGCTGCGGCTGCTTCTGATCAAGTTGAGCATAGCTAAGCTCCGTGTTGGGCTCACCAATGAACTGCTCCAGCTGCGGTTGATGCTGCTCCGGTTCGGATTGTGGCACATAAATGTTGGCCGCTGCAGCGCTAGCATCTACCACATCCTGTATGGTTAGATCCGTATGCGGCTGAGCCGCTTGCCGCGCCAGCTCTTCGGCCTGCAAACGCTCCAATTCCATGCCACGCAAAACCTCCGCATAAGATGTGGAACCCGGCACCCACATGGGGCTACGTGAACGCGCGCGATCCTCGTGTGGCAGATAAAGATGTTGGTGTTGGTGTTGATATTGTTGCTGCTGTTGTGGTTGGGATTGCTGTTCCAGTTGTGTCGTTGTATCCACCTGTATTGTGGTTTGTGGTTCGCGTCTGCGTCTGGGCGAACGTCCACGGCGTTCGGGACGCGGTGGCTGCAATTTCTTACCCGTGTTCAAATGCTGCTGATTACGCTCCATTTCAATAAACTGACTGTTCGGATTGCTGACGATGCTAGCAACTGGTTGATCCACTGTTGTGGTGCTGCTGGTCGTTTCAATTTTCAATTGGGTGGCACCGACAACCGGCATCAATGATGCATCCTCATAGTCTGACGTGGCATTGGTGCTGCTGGGTGGTGAAACACGTTGATTCCGCTGATAAAGCACTGTGGTCAGTGGTTCCTCTTGCGTTTGCTCATCCTCGTGCGTGCGTACGGTGGTTGTCATTGTAGATGTTGTTGTTGTCTTTGTTGTGATTTGCGTTTGCTGCTGGTTTGAGTTCGTTTGTGGTGGTTGTGGTTGTTGTTGTTGCCTTGTCGTTGTCGTTGTCAGGGTCGTGGTCGTGTCGGGTTTTTCTTGCTTTTCGTGTCTGGGGTTCGTCGCCGTTTCATTACCGCTTACCGGACTCGCATGTCCTGATAACACTTCAGCATAGGTTAGACCTACTGCCGTTGGCTTCATAAGCAACGAGACAGTCGATGAAGTGGTTACCACTGAATGTGGATCCAGAGCATAGGATTGGGCGGCGGATGCGTCGTAGTTTTGCTGCATGCCATCGATTGATTGTCGCATTGCCTATGCGTTCAGTAACGGGCGAGAGAGATAGAGAGTGTGTGGGTGTGTGTTTGTGTGTGGGAGAGAGAGAAAGAGATTGGGGGAAGATTTGCCAAAAAACGGTTAGCTTTCATTTGTTTGAAAGAACATGGGCCTAACAACTACCTAATAAACTGTCTAAGACTGGCTTTCCCTAGTCAAAAAATACTCTTTTTTTGGGGTTTCATTTTAAAAATATATAGTTTAATATTTAATCTTTCTTTTTTTTTGTAAATTTTCTTAAGCATGTGGGTCATGTACGTTATATATATATATAATATAATATAATAGTTACGGCGGCTCTGGCATGTTTAGCTGCTGCCCCTGCCGCATTGGGAGACTGTTGCAGTGGCAGCCGTAAACGCCGTGGAACGCCGCGGTGGCTGCTTAGCTTTTGCTTTGGTTTTCAATTTCATTTCTTTGGCGATCTAGTGCTAGTATATATGGTATATATATATATGCATACATCGGTATATATACACATATATAATTATGACTTATAAGTACTGTTTTTGCCATAGCTTGCGGCATCTCTAAATCTCTAGCTTAGCATCGTCCGGCGTGCCGCGATGTATTAACAATTTGATGCGCTCATTGCGTGCGGTTATTTTCGAATGCAAATTTTTGACACGTTCACGACATGCCTATATCGATATATATGTATATATATATATAAAAATATTGAGGGGTGATATTGTTTATGCGTATGGTGCATTTTTGTAGAGAGAGAGAGAGAGAGAAAGAAATGTTTGGCGAAGAAGTAGAAGGTCAGCATATAATCATAATTTTGATATTTGTAGGCAGCGAGCATAAATACGCCATAAGATAAAGCAACCAGATACCAAGTATATATATATATATATTATATATATTTTTTATGTATTTGTAGAAGTACGCAATACCCATGTGTATGTATGTAATTATGTGTATGTGTGCGTGTATGTGTGAGTGTTACATAAAGGATATATAGCAGCAGCAGCATCGAGAGGGGTTTGTTGAGGGTTAGTCACAGGTTTAGTTTAGCAAAAGGCACAAGAGGCAAGCGAGCAAAGCCCAAGAACCCGGTTAGAGATATAAGCATGTAGTTTAAATATTAGTAAGAACAATTAATTTTATGTTTATGTAGTGTTTAAAATTTTAATCGTTTTTTTTTTTTAGCGCAACGACACCAGATTTGTTTTTCAATAAGAATGTACGAAGAGAAAAGATAAAAAGAAATACAATTGTCAAAAAAAAATAAAATATATAAGTCAAATTAAAACCGTAACCATACTGTGTAACTAAAAGATAACTGAGAGAGCGCTATTACGGTAGAGAGTAAGAGAGTAAAGAGAGAGAGCTGTGATCTCGAGCGGCTTAATGTGAAAATGTCTGCCCGGCCATAAAGCTAACTAATTAAAGTAAAATATTAAAAAGAAAATCATAATTGATAAATGTCTAAGCGTTAAGCATAATGTGTTTTCTTTTTCTTGTTTTTTTTTTGTGCCAGAGAATGTGATGTGATGTGATTTGATTTTAGATGTTATGAATGTACTTTTCTTTTTTTATAAATGTGCCGCCATATTGAAGATATGCTTTAATTGTACTTGTGAAAGGTGAATGAAAATAAGTTCTCATAGCAAGAGTTGCCCCAACATGTAGCTACTGTCAATAAAGGAAAAACCGAAAAAATTTCTTTGGATATCAAATTGTTTAAATTGACTTTATAATTTGCCACTTACCGCCGACACTGCAATTCGCAATGTAAACTTAAAACGAAATTTGTTTAAAATTAATATAAACTATGCAATTATAGGCCTGCTTGTTCGCATACATATATAAAACAAATATATAAACTGTGAGATATTTATTTGCGTTAATCCGGCATTGCTAAAAATAGCCGACTGAATAATGGGCTGGAGAAAAAATGTTAGAATTTCGGAAATATGCTTCTGTTTTTTTTTTTTTTTTTTCGGTGGGCTACCCCCGGCAACAAGAACTTATTTGTATTCTCTAGCATATATATATATATATGCTTTTTTTTCAGCACGTGACAATGAATCGAAATCGGAATTGGACTTTTGTTTTACAGACACAACAAAATGTTTGAGTTCTTGACATGGCAGACATAACAATAATGGGCATCAAAGGCATATATATTATGCATGATATGGTATGAAAGCATTCTATATGGATGAGAAGTACTACAATTAAGGCGGATGTGTTTTTCGATGTAGGATGAGCTGCACGGTTGGTATGACATGATTTTTTGTTCGCAAATTATAAGAACACAAAAAAGAGAGCACAAATATGAAGAGTGTAGATGTGTGTGTGTGTGTTTGTATGTGAATGTGGATGTATGTGTGTGCGTGAAATGAATGGCATAAATCGAATTCGAAAATAATAAAAACGTAAGAATAATTTGACTTTTGAGCAAGAACGTAACGAAAAAGAAACTTATATGCCGCATAGAAAAAAAAGAAAGAAAGAAATTAAATAAAAATTAAGTATACTAAAAGTATAAAATGCGCACTTGAAAAACATAAGGAAATGAAAAGAATTAATTGAAAATTGAAAACAAAATGAAAAAGAATGAAAATAAATTAATATAGAACTAAATACGCAGCCACCGTGCAACTTTGGTTTATATATTTTTATTCCGGACCTACCCGCACAATTCTTTAGCGTTCGTTTTAAATAAATTGTATTATTTTTAAAGTATATTTTTTTTATATTGAATATTGAATTTGGATTCAATGTGGTCTATGGTTACTTGAGGGTTAATAACTTTATGGGCCAACAAACTGGTTGTTCTGTCAACTGTTGCATAGCACAAAATAATACAAAATTGAATCGTTCAATATATAAGTAGCATGAATATGATGAAGGGGGATATACTAGATCGAAACTCGGGGCATAATCGTACTTCAGCTTAGCTTAACAGTTGCTGTTATTTACGAGCTACTATTGAAAGATATGCATATATGTATGTATATATATTAAATGGATATATCGAGACAATCCTAAACTGATTGATCATATTCCTGCTCAACTGGCACTTGCTGCTAGCTAGCACCTACTAACTGCTCTAACTGAAGGATGTGCTCTACACAAGAAATCAGATTCAGTTTTACTTTGGACAGTACGTACCTGTTGCTCGGCTAATGCGCGCTCACGATCGTGCGGCAAGTACGTGGGCGCCATGACCAGACGCAGCTGCTGCTCCTCCTGTATAATACGCTGGCGCAGCGTTTGCATTTGCTGTTGATAGACATCGATTTGGGCTAGCGTCTGCTCGAGACTCTGAGATTTGGCTTTGACCAGTTCGCCCAGACCATCGAGCACGCGCACCAAATCATCAACATTCTCGCTCAGGCGCGGATCACCGCCCATGCCGTTGCGGAAGTGTACCTAAAAGATGTGTTCAGCATGGAAACGCATTCCGGATTAGCTATGCAAATGGGTCACTTACCTCCAGTTTTTCAATAGACAATCTCAGTTTGGTTTTTTGCACATTTATGTCGGCCAGAGTCTTTTCACAGTAGCCCAATTGATCGCGCAGCGGCTTCTTTTGCTGTGGCGAGGAGTCCAATGTTTGTTTGGTCTTCTCATGCCAGGCGCGTATGTCCTTGATCTTGCGCTCGCATTGATCCCACTCCTCGCAGGCCTCCTGCAGCAGTGAGTTCTGTGTGGTACAAACAAAAATGAAAAAACAAAAAAGAAAAGGGGTTTAGATGCATAGTTTGGGTTGTCGGGTTGGCGGCGGGTTTACCCTCTCCAGCAGCACTGCTTCCACGGCTATCTTCGCATCCTCGGCCTGCTGCAGCTTATCCTTGAGATCGCCCACGGTCGTCACTTGACCAATGTGTTCCAGTTCCTTATCCATTTCGCTCAAATGCTTCACAATCGGTTTAATACTCTTCACAGCCGCCGCATAGTCGTTCAGTTTGGTTCGGGCCTCGGGCAGGGTGCGCAGCTCGATGGTTTGATCAATGAACGTGCGCTTATCCGCCACCCAGGACATGACAATCTGATACAGATTCATGAACCGTGTCCAGGCATCGAGGCTGTCGCCAACAGCCTGCTTCTTCTCATCCAACCAGCCACGAACTTGGGCTAGCTGCGCGGCCAGCTGATCAATGGTCGATTGCACCAGCGTCTTCTCCTCGCTGTTGCGACAGTTCTCAATGATCAGCTGACCGTTGGTCTTGACCAGCGTGAATCGTTCATAGATGGCGCCAATTTCCTGATTGATGCGCTGCAGCAGCTCCTTCATTTGTGTCGGCTCCAGTGTGCGCTCCTGCACCTGGACCTCGGCCTGCAGCAGCCAGCGTTGGATCTCATCCACACCGGCCAAATAGTCGGTGCGCACGGTCTTGGCGCGCTTGAAATCCTTCTCTTTGGTCTCCATGGCCACCTGTACGCGTTCCGCTAACAGTTCAAGTGCGGTAAATTCCTGGGCAATATCGCTGGGCAGCTGATTCTGTTTGGTCTGATAGAGCGCTTGGGTTTGCGCAATCAGCGCACGACTCTCCTCGCCGGCCTGCTGCACCTGGCTATTGAGTGTGATGAGGACCTGTTCCGTTTGGGCAATATGCTCGTCGTAGACGTGTACCGACTGCAGTTGTTCGTGTAGTGCGTTCAATTTGTCCTGCAGCTGTGAGATGCGGCGGAACACTTGCTCGATCTCCTCGAGATCCTTGCTAACCTGTTGGTCCTTATCGCGTAGCGTATCGTTCAATCTGCAAGGATTCAAATAGAAAAAGAGAACAAAAAGTTTGCCCGGGGCGTATTAGTCAATGACGTATCTACAAAGTAGCTGCCTATAATATAGATATAATATGTAAACAGTTTGTGTGTCTTTGTGTGAAAACCACGCGGTTCGTCTTTTGCTCTAGAATAGAATTCAGCTACGCGTGCTGCACACAATATATATTAAATTTATATATAATTATCTTCTATGTATATATATGTACGAGAACATATATTATAGAAAAGCTCTTTTCAAATAATCAGCAAATGGCTGAAGTTTTTCAATATTTTTGCTGGGGCTATTCAGAATTTTATATATCCACTGGGCTGGCAGTTGTTGGCCTCGAGGCGCTGCGAAGATTTCCGTGAAAATTAATGCTGCCGTTTGGCTACAAGAGAGTTTACTAAATGAATAGCAATGCCGAAAATTTTGACTACAAGGCATGAAAATATTACGAATTCGAAAACGTGTACGAATTCGAAATTCTATTTGATATATGGCACATGATTCGACAAATGCCTTGGGAGAGCGTGCTCTGCTTTTCAGATTTTCGAAAAGATTTTCTTATTTCTTTTCTTTCAAATTCGTAGATCTTTCAAATCTGTTATTATTATTGCTGTTAGTATTATTTATGTTGTACACGCCGCTGGCCTGCTTAACGGCTGCGTTTATTTTTGATGTAGACATTTATATTTAAACTTGTATTTATGTTTATTTATTCGCCAAGTCCAACCGAAACTTGGTCAAAGCAGACGAACTGCAGCTGACGTCATCGGACATGCTGCATTGCAAATGACTCAGTGAACAATCTCTATTTGCCTTCTACTTAACGTATCTTTTCTGCCTCATTCCAGATCGTAACCCTCATCTGGCACACGGCTCATATGAAGCGCCATGTGGGCGCTTAAATAATTTCAACAAGTGTTTTCTCTCTCTGGGCAAAAGTTGTTGAAGGCAGCAATTAAAAATAGGAAAGCAGTTTAGGTAGTGAGTGCACAAACTGAATGGCCGCGCGTTGAAGGACGCCGTCGCCTGATGCCCTTTACAGCAACAACAATAAGAATTAAAACGGAAGAGCAACGCGCCTTGAGGAGGCCAAGTCAATACAATTGGCTGTCGGCCAATTGAGGCTGTATACAAATATTCGAAAAAGTTTTTAGCACATTAATTGTGAAACAAGAGCAAAATATATTAGAGCTCAGACTGCTCAACTGGTAAATACCCCGTACAGCAGCTTGTGGCAAAAGCAAGGCCAAGAACAAAATATCGAAAATAAAACTGACCTGCCATATGGGAGAACCATCCAACACAAAAGAGTGAAAGGAAGGGAATGGATAAAGAATCAATTAAACTGCAAGTTCATAAAGCATAAAGCTCTTTTGATAAACTCTCGTAAAGTCTGAAATAGACTTTTGCTGTTAAAACGAAAAGAAAATCAATTTGGAAGTACCAAAATAAACAAACTAGAGCAGCGTCTGGTTTGTAAGAGTTCAAGTTATTCAAGTTATTGAACCAGAGTACAAAGTTAAGCTGAGATGTCTGTTGATCTCCATGAGGAATTTGTAGCAGAAAAACGTTTTACACAATTTGATGCACTTGCTCTCTCTTAAAAAAATGTCATCAAAAAAGAACAAATCCCATTTAACTTATTTGGCATAATTTCATGCCCCTTTTCTAACGGTTGCAGGGTATATAAAATATTCTAATAAATTCAACGACGAAATAGAAATCGTTAGAAAATAAAATACAATTTTTTGTAGTATTTTTTTTGTTTTGCTTCGCTGTTTGTTTTTTCCTGCTGCTATTTTGAGAGCCGTTTGCCATTTTACTACTATACAAATTAACGCATTAAATTTAGCAGATATTTTAAATTTAAATGGCAAACTATGCTAGAAATGCGAGCGCCAAAAGTGAAAAGCGAAAGCAACAGCGACGCGTGTTCTTATAAATACGTATGTTTAGACAAAAATAATAAAGAAATCGCACACAGTTTGATCAATTATTGTAATTGAATGTTTTTCGATAAGAATTTTGAGCGATTTTCGCATGATGTAAGCTATTTTTGATACGCGGACGACGTCATCAAATCAGAGACACGCGCCGCAAAAGCAAATACTCTCAATAAAAACAGCGACAGAAAGAAAAAAAAAACGAATAGCAAACAAAAACAACAACAACAACACCTGGCGACCTCGCCAAAGACCGGACCCGAGGCCCGGACCCAACCCCGGTACATAGCCGGCCCGAGATTGAGGCTGTTTTTTGCATACTCTTTAGCCGTCCTCGATGACTTAATCATGGCAAACGGCGGGCCAACGTTTAAATAAAAGTGTATTTAATAAACATTCACCTTTTGCTTTTGACGACGTCTTTTTGGAGAGTGCGTGTTAGCAATTAGCATTCGCCTCTTTCTCTTTTCCTCTTTCTCTGTCTCTATTTCTCTAGCTTCTCTACTTTGTGTGCTGCTGTCTTTTATTGTTTTTGGCCAGTTGTTAGCGACAACAGTCGCACCTCCTGACTGCGGAGGCAGACGTGTGCTTAACAATTGTTAATTGTTGTGCTTATTTGTTGTGTTTTTTTTTTTCTCTTTTGCTTAAGACTTGAATTTCTTGCGAAATTCAGCAGCTAAAAAGTTTACTCTTTTAATTGCGTATACGCCTGGTAATCCACAAAGCGGCGTTTTCAAGTGCAGCGCATGAAAGAACATAGAAAGAAGAACATGACGTATATTATTTCATTTTGAACGCTGCTTTAAACAGCTGCATAGTTATTTGAGTTGAATACTTTACTGTTTTTCTCTTTGGGCTGTTGCTTCTTTGTGTTTTTGCTGCTTCTATTTCTACTGCTTCTTAATTAAATTATTTTATTTGATTTAAAAATATGCGTCTATATATATATATTTTATGCTCGGGCGGTCGCTTCTTCGTATTTAGTTTCCAGCCATCCAGTTAAAAAAAACACGTCCGCTTGCAACTAACTCTAAATAAAAACTAAAATATTCTCAGCGCAGAAAATTGCCAAAAACGTTTCAGCTCTGCCGCCGTCTCAGTCGGCGTACGTGCGAGCGATCATCGTTAACAGCGGAATGCGAGACGGAAATAAAAGAACGAAAACTGCTGTTACCGCAACTCACCACAGCCACACACACACACACAGCTACGCACTCGCCAGCGAGTGAGAGGGAGAGAGAGAGAGAGACAGGCGAGAGAAGCACTACAACTTTGTATAATTGAATAAGTTTGTATATGCGCTTGGCATTGAACATGAGGCGAAACGTTTAGCAAAAGTTTGCCTTACTCATTAGCCAGGCAAAATTCGCCGCTGATTTCAGCTGCCAAATATGCGAAAATCCCCGATATCAAAAACTGAAATTCATAACTGCACTCGCATATATATATGCATACATATATAAAAAATATATATATACACATATATAATGCATGCAAGCAATGATAAAGTAAAAACAAATCATTTTTGCCGGTTAAGATAAGAGGGTTTCGTAAAAACGCCGGCTATAAATGACAGCGAACGAGAGAGAGAAAGAGAGAGAGAGAGAGACGGCGTACACAGCGAAACGCAATGGCATTTGGAACAGCCAACAGCATGTCAGTTAACAGCGCAATGTTAACAGTGTGAGCGCCGGCCAAGGCAAACAAAAAATACAAAATAAATTTATAATTACGCGATTACCTCATTTGGGCAACGTTTTTGCTCTATTGTTGTTGTTGTCGCTTGATTGTTTTCTCTTCTCTCTTTTTTTTTGTGCAAAGTGACAAATTGTCAATGCAAATGCTTAGCTTCGTTTTTATTGTATGCGTGTATTTCTAGTTGTATTTTGATTCTATTATATTTTTTTCTAAGCCTGCGAAGAATGTCTGATTTATAAACAATTTTTGAGTGTTTGCACTGCAACAATTTAGCCGTAATGCTCTGCTTATTAGTTTTTTTAAATTTGTTTACATCTTTTGCACGTTTTCCTACTCGAACAATGCCGATGAAGTCAGCAATACAATATCCGTCTGTTTACTTGTTTTCATTAGCCTGTTGCTTTTTTGTACCATTTTTTTTCCGTCTCCTTTGTATATAAAGACTCTTAATTCAACAATTGCTATAGGCTATTATTGAAAGCGAATATTTAAATGAAAGCATATGTGCTCTCTTATATTTTTAATAATTCTTCAAATTGCGCTAATGAATAAATGTTTATCTAGAATATAAATAAATATTATAATCGCCTGGAAAGACACGAAAATACTTTTTAAATGCAAAAGGATTACGCAACTTTACGTATTATTTGGGTTTTTTTTTTTTTTTGAAAGTTGATTAGATTTTTGCATGTTTGCCGGCCGAAAGTAAATCTCAAGTATAAATGCATCAAAATTTGCGTCGCAGTTAAGGAATAAAAATATAATATATGTACATAGTTGGGAATATATAATTGTCGATGACCAAACATTGGGGTATTAGATCATTTTTGGTTCGATGATGGCATTGTCAATTTATTTGAGGCACAAAAATGACGAAGTGAGAAATTATTTAAATCGCAGCATGTAAATTGGGGAAACAGAACAAAACAGAGATAGTTTACAAGCGAGACTTGGAAGAGAGTATCTCAACTGTTTACTGTGCGAACTTTGTTCTCGAATATATAAAAAGTTAATTTATGTTTGCAACAGTCACAAACACTTGCCCCTAAATTGAATTTACTGCTAAAGATAAAGTCGAAAACACATTGAAACTTACTTTACAACCATTTCAGAAGCAATAATTCAAGCTTAACATAATGTAGGTATATATATAATACCTTTCCATAATTAGATCGAAATGCATTAAATTCTAATGGTTTCATCTGCTTGCACGGAAAATACGCAACTAGAGCAAGACTTGAATATAAAGTATATCTATTAACAGTATTTAATTCGTTATTCTGTATTTAATAGGAATTATAGATTCTAATCGCATAATGTATATTTATTTTTGATCTATAAAGTTTGGTAAATATCTCCTTCTATTAATTTAAAAAGGGTTTTATGACTAAAATTCCCGGTGTTAGGGTATAATAATAATTACGATTAAGTACACTTGACCAACAGCTGTTTTACGTTTACTAACACCGCTCCATTTACCCAACATTAACGGTAATTTTAACGTTAATGCAAATGTTAATTAAATGCATAACATCTGTCAGACACATTAACTTTATGTGCAAGTGTTGTGACCCTTAATATATGAAATCAACTGTATTTTTTTGTTGTCAGAATTGTTACTTTCTAAATTTTTAACGTTTTATCCAGTGATAATAAAGATTTGCCTAAAGATTTGCAAATACAGGATACTCGACCCTTAACCCTTATTACAACCTATAATACAATTAGGTTTCTGATCTAAGCGCTTGCATTGTCAGACCAGAGGCCTAGCTAGTACCTCAGATTAATGTATTCGATCAGATAACGTTATAAAAATATTATCGCACGACTTTTCGGAAACAACGCAAGAGATTTGGCTAAAGACATTAGGAAAAACAAAAAGAAATCAACAGCTGCTGCTCTCGTTTTTCATGAAAAGTGCAGACCGTGCCTGTCAGCCAAATAGCCGGATGAAACAAATGTGTATAAAAATAAAATACAAATACAAAATTGACGCTGAAAATACTTATAAACACATGTCTTGGGTGAAAATTTGTGTCAGTGCTGCATTAAGAAAGGCCGCGGCATGTTTTCTTTTTAGGTTTTACTTATTTTTTTTTTCATCTTTTCTTTTCTTTTTTATTATTTTTCTCATACTTTTTTTCTTGCCAAGCAAAATGTTTACGTGATCGCCGACCACACACATATGTTAATACGCGTCGTGGTGAATTTCAACCACAATTAGCAGAGAACTGCTGCTGTTAAGGCGCTGTTAAGCACAATGTTGCTGGCAGGGCGCAAATGTTGCCGTCGGCATGTTGCCGATGGGAAGCGAAATTCGCTATGCAAATGTCTGCATGTGTGTGTTTGCATATGTGTAGATAGTGAAAAAAGGCAATTGACAAATTGGCAACGTTTTGTTTTTTATTTCTATTTTTTTGTTTCTTGTGACAAGCGCCGTTCAAAAGAATTTCCGCAAAAAACAATCAAGTTTTTTAGCCTCTTATCAACAAGGGGTCTATATAAATATATCAGGGCTGCAAGCGCAGCAAAATTTGTCGTTGGTTCGGTTTACGGTTCGATTTAGACAAAATCCTTTAGGTTCGTGTACATGGTTTTCACAGACATGAACATGGTATTGATTAAGAAGTTGATTGTCGTTTATTATTTTAATTAAATTAGAATTCCGGCCCTAGAACACTTGGGCTCAAAGCTAATTTCTAGCCCTAACAGAATACTAGTTGTGTAAACTTTGGAACATAGGGAACTCTTGAAGAGCCAAGCTCTATAAGAACTGGTTCAAAGTTCTAGAAACTTTTGAAGAACTGGAAACACAGCTGTAGATACTTTGGAACAACCCATAGAAAACTCTCAAATACCCATTTAGAAGCTCCAACCAGAGTTATGGACAGTTAGATCATAGAGAAATCTCGACACTATATAACAACTAAGCCTCACATTGGTAGAAACTTTAAATATACCTGATCGAAAACTCTATATAAGAATTGTAGAAGATGTGTCGGACCAACAACTTAACCTATAATTTAAGCGACGCGCTGAATAGTAAAACATTGAAAGCGCCAACTTTTGTCTATTATCGTAAATGTCTTCGAGAGGCGAACCAGCTGATAAGGTGTAACGCTTTGGCACAGTTAGCTGTTATCAGAGGGCGGCATGCCCACCGACTGTTGATATGGCCCGTTTATTAATACATTTGTCTGGGTAAAAATACTTATGGCCAGCACTCTAGTGCAATGTGTTGAACTTTACTTTTCCCAGAACTCCCATTTTAATGATGCCTCAGAAAACAAGACTTATGTAAGCCCCAAGTCGAGCCGCAAGCCGAGCGTAACCGTTGCAATGACGTCAGTTGGCAGACAGATAGAGAGAAAGAGAGGGAGGGACAGAGAGAGTTGAGCATGAAATTTCGAGGGCTAAGCTGCTCAGCCGAAGCCGAACGCAACGCTCACTGATGTCACAAGCGCAGAAACAGGCTGTGATAAAAGCCGAAAAAGTCTGGGCAACATGAGTGCTGCTCTTCAAACTAAGTATGCTCTTGTGTTACCTAAACTAGAACCCGTTTAAATGCTGCGAGATAGTATTGCCTGTCAATTGGCAATAAACAAATAAAATAAAAACTAGTTAATTAACATTAAACGCAAATCAATTATAGAAACGTTTATTTATGCAGCGAACGAAGCGAAATCGATTTCCGGCGTTAACATTCCGATAAATTGACCAAACGTCACGCACAGTTTCACCTAGTGTCTAAATATATAATGAAAGAGCGGCACTTGTTTTAGTTTTTTAGTATATACATTGAGTGTATAATATATTAGATGGTACTTTCATCAAATTAAGCTGTCAGTTTTGCAAACATTTTACTTATTTTTTTGTTAAGCTTCTGAAATAACTTTCCAAGTCCAACGCAAGAAAGTTGAACTTTCGTCTGTAAAACCTCAATGCCCACTTTCCACGCAAGCACGTGGATTGTGCGCAAAACGTGAAATACAAAACGTTTTCATGTGCGAGAAGTTAAGTATTATATTGATCTCTAAATGCTTTAACGGCGATCGCATGAAAAGTAAAAGTTTGATAGGAACGTATTCGATTCACCTTTGCGAATGATATTTTCACGCACGTTTTATGTTTAATGCCAATTTATTGATCATATCTCATAGGTACCATAATTACCCAATTACCCACCAGTTGAACTCTTCAAAGCCCCTCAAAAAAATAGGTATATAACATCGATAAATATGAATAATTTACAGCCCAAACGCACAAATTACGAAAATAAATTCTTAATTCCACCCATTTTCCACTCTTTTGATTGTCATTTTGTAAGGCGCATTGGATAATATCTTTATGTATATATTTATAAATTATGTTGACTCTTTTTTGGGTACTCACTTTGATTGCTGTTCGACTAACTTATCCACTTTGGCCTGTATGGCCTCCGCCGAGGGTTTGTGTACTTCCCCAAGGAATGTGAGGATGGATTTTGAGAGCGCCTCGATTTCTTTATGTGATGATTTAAGTTCATTTGATTCTTCACGCAGTTCCTGCACAAAAATAAAGTATACACTCTAATTAGCAGAGCCAACAAAAAAGCAGCAAAGTACGCTCAAAATTGTTATTTTTTCTCAATCGAACGCAAACAAAACAAATAAAATTTACTCTGCGTTTTAATTCAATTCCAGTTTTTTTTTGGGCCGCTCAAAACGATCGAAGGTTAACAACATAAAAATAAGAAACGTGGAATTGACTTAAAAGCTAAATTTCGTATGAGGTTTATGTGTAGAAAAAAAGAGCATAGACAACATAAAATATTTGCGGCAGGCACAGCACAAATAAAAATGTAAATTAAATAAAAAATACTCAGAGATAAATGTGTATTTCAATAGCTACATAATGGGGAACTGTTATTTTTTTTTTAATTTTTTAAAGATGTTTTTTGAGAATTTGTGCGTATAGAGAGATCTGTATATGGCGCTTGTATGACAGCATTGTTATATGTAATATTGGATGCCAATTGATTTTTATATAAATTATTCATTATATATTATTTCAATCTAGAATTCAATTATTTAACTTCATCAATTCAAATTGTAAACTGAACTTCAATTATTATGAATATTCTAATATTGTGTATCAATTTCCAGTTAAATCTGGAACCCAATTCAATATATGAATATTAATAAAAAATCTATTGGAATTGTCTTTTCAAGTATTAACTAATTAATTCATAATCAGTTCTTCTCTTATGTATTTATTTAATAATTATGCCATGTTTAACTTTGGTTAAATGCTTCGCTTTAAATAACTTGAGCTATATTTAGCTTGAATATTGATAAGTATTTCTCTTTACATTTAACGCAATCAACAGAACTTATCGCACGCTATGAAGTCATGCCAAGCGACAAAAAAAAAAAAAACAAAAAAAAAAAACAACAAATCAGTCACATTGTTGATAACAAAAACAAAACTCGTAAAGATGCTTCTAAATGCTATTTGCGTAAACAATTCCCCACAGTTGTATAACAGGGCAACAACAATTTGCATATAACTAATGTTAAGCTGTAATTAACTGCGAACAGATCATTAAATTAAGAAGTAGGAAAAAATGTCCAAAAGAAATTGAAAGTTGAAATGTTGACTTTTGTTTTTGGCTTTACATAGTCAATCAATAACAGCTTGGACAGCTGTTAAAGAGCGGGAGAGCCAAAGGTCTGCTTTAGTAAGAGAGCGCAAGCTCTCTGACAACTTGGCGTGACCATGAACTTGGCGGCGGCATAGTGTTTAGATATGTACAAATGTATATAAACATATACTACATACATATATACATATATGCGGGCAACAGTGTGCGTGCATATATGAAGTCAGACATTGGGGAAGGCAACTAAATGAATGAATGAATCTACTAGGTATTAGTTGCATGTATACACACCTATACACACACATGTGCGCATAATAAAAATAATAATAAATCAATTAAGCTAGGCCTGGCCCAATGAGCTCATGTGCCCAAAGACAGGCTCAGCAACATATTTACAGTAATGGCACACTTGACAGTGCACTGTTAAGTGTGTCTGTTAACTCACCTGAATGGCATTCTTTGTATCTTCCAAATGACGTCGCGACCTTACAGTTGGATCGACATTTCGGAACTTATCCTCCAAGCGACCTAATGCTTTCTCCCAGCCGTGCAAGCCGTTCTCAAAGCTATCCCAATGCTCGGCCAACTGTTGCAACTTGTCGCGCCTCTGCTCCAGGCTATGCACCAGGTCCTGCCAGTCACGGTTTAGGGCAGCGTTATCCTGCTCAATCAGTTGGCGATTCCGTGCGTCCGCTTGGCGTATGAGCGATTGCGCCTGCTGATTCACTAGCGACAGGTCACTGTTTTGGCTCTGCAACAACAACAAGACCAACAACAAAGATAACAATAACAACAGCGGTTTAACAGGAAATGTTAAAATATTTCAATTTTGATTTGCGGCAGCAGATTTACATATATACACAGGTTGCCTCGTTGGATTTGCACAATATAAACTTATGTATTAGAAATGATATAGGTATATAAGGAAAGTATATGTAAATATATATATATACATTTATATATATAGAAGTAAATATATATAAATATATGTATGCATGTATAAAGCTGTGTAAGTGTATATTTGTTTGCTTTTTGTTTATTGTCTTTTTTTCTTTTCGAATATATTGAGTGATTACTGTAACGCCGACTGCGGTTTTACATAAAGTTTTGTTTTTCTTTTGACATTTTGTCGCTCAACTTTGACATATGCGTATGCGTGTGTGCATGTGGCATATGGATTTCGAGTATCTTCGAATTTCTCACCTCGACACACGCGTTCGTACGTATCCACTGTAGTAGCACTTGAAAGTATCTTTTGTTTTTCTTTTATAAAAAACTATATACATATATGTATATTGTATTTCTTTAACGGATTTTTCTGCTCTTCTATTTCTTGTTTGTTGATGACGTTAGCTTTAAATACGTTTGCTGTCTGTTTTGTCTGCTTCTTCTTCTCTCTGTCTCTCGCTCTCTTTCAATTTGCGCTTTTCAAGCACATGGCATTTTTATTAGAACGTTCGAAAGAAGCAACTTATTCAAATTCACAAAAACAAATATAACACAATTTTTTATATTCAGCTTTTGCCTTTTAATTGCTTTTGCTTTTGCTTTTGCTTTTGATTTTGCTTTTGTCGCTGTTTCTTCACTTTATAAGCCGCATAAAACACAGGCAACCGCTCAGTTAAACGTCTCAACTAGAAGTGAATTTCACAAAAAAGCATGGCATATGCCCAAGCACGAGTTAGAACCAACTAAGAGAGCCCGCTTGTGGCAGAGCGACAGCCTGCTAAAGAGCGCGACTAAAAATGAGAGAAAGAGAGAGAGAGAGAGGGTTGCTACTGTGCGGCCAATCGCAAAAAAACATGTCGAGCGAACACGTTTTCATGTGCACAATGAGCTGAGAGAGGGGGCAGGTCGGTGTGATGGCTTCGCCGGCCTTAGGCGTGGGCAGTGTCAAGCAATAATTTGCTCTTGACTGCGTCACACAGCTCACCAATACACACACACAATATCACGCATACGCCACCATCACTATCTCAACTGGCCACAAGCCGGCATGCCAATAGGCAAACAGCAACAACAAAACAGCTGTCCACTGAGAGCCGAAAACGAACAGCGCTCTTAAAGCTCGCTCAGCGCTTGGCCAACAAAAAAAAAGTTGCTAAACATGTGTTTGTTGATGCCGCACAACGTGGTTGCCAAAAGGGCTGGGCATAGGGCATAGCGCATGATTGCATATTGTAATTAAACCTTTCAACTTTGAATAATAAAAAAGAAAACTACGTATTTTTTTGTATTTTTAGAACTAATAAACTATCTTAATGAAGGTTTTTAATTGCCTTATATACACTTTGTTTATAGTGATTGCGCAGCCCTAGCGACAAACTTGTTTATTCTCTGCGGATTTGCGGATGATGTCATGAGCTCAACTAAAACAGCTGGCCTTAAAGCATATGTACATATATGTATGTATATGTGCTTGAGCTATGTTGGGGCAACAGCTATGTTTGACAGTCTGAATAGTCGTTGATAAGCTTAACAAGTGCAGGTTAAAAGATTAACTCATTAATAAGTTTTCAAGGTGAAAGCCGCAGCCGCAGACATAACGAAAGTAAACAACTATTCAAAGTGTGCTCAAATCTAAGAGCAAGAGCAAGAGAGAAAGAGGGCGACACAAAAGAGCGCACAAGAGAGCTTCAGTTTAAGAGCAAACAATGCAGTTAAAGTTTATATTGCTTTTGCCGGCCGGCAAATCGTACGCGGAGCCACAGACTGCATGCACTCTGCGTGAAAGTCATCTGCAGATACATTCGAAAACAAATGCTGCAGATACATATTCCTGTTTTACAGTTTTATGAAAGATATGCGTTGTGTCACATTCATTTAAACAGGTCTTAGCTGGCCATGGACATTTAAACGTAAATATGTATACGAAGGTTGCAAATTCATACAATAAAGGGTTTAAAAGTGACTTTAAATCCGATTAATTGCCAGGGCTTTAAATAATTCTGACTCATTTGATAAATATTACATTATTATACAGAGCTGATGTAATATTATGTAATAATTCATTCTCAGTTACAATCTCTATTTAAAAAAGCCGTAAAAGCTAAAAAGCTGAAATTTGCACTGTGTTTACCTTATGTGATGATGCATCAATTTGACATCTTAATCTGGCATCATTATTCTTGGTCAAATTTCGTGTGCAAATTTTACCCTCAAATATCCTATATAAGCATAGGTCTAATTTTCCCACCCCCATAACTTGGTCAAATCTCATCAGATTTGCACGAGGTTTGGCTCGTCCTTCGTGGTTCATGGTTTGGCCAGATCAATTTGGCATCTTAAGCTCAAAACATTATTCTTTTTTTGTCAAAATTTGAATGCAATATTTGACATATTTACCATTTTATAATAAAACCAAGGGATGGTATGTTATTTTTATACAATAATGTATCTAAAATTGTCATATTAAAAAAAAAAATTGTTTGACCTATGTATACATTTTTTATGGTTTTTAAATATGTCCTTTAAGCTCTGAATGCTATAAAAAAAATCTCTCTGCACGAAAACTCCAATAAACTGATAATAATAATGATATCCTGACCTAACTTCCTTGTAGACGCTTAATTGCATAAGCTTGACACTTTTATAATATAAGCTCCCATATTGTATATAAAAATTTATCCTCCCTTTATACTCTCTCGTTTTTGCTGATTTATTAAGCTGAACTCTGTGAGTTCGAACTTAATATATAATATTCTGTTCATAACAAACTTAAAAAAATACCTAAAACTTTTTTAAAACTCCCGAAATATCGGAAAATAAATGAATAGGCATCTTAAAGATACTCTTGATGATTCATTGATATATCAGATATTATTAACTAGCATTGAAGTTAATTAGTTTATTATGTTCTTGCTCTAACGACTTCCCAAAGTATACATATCTTTTGTTATGCAAACATTTGGGCAACGCTTCGTATATGGGGCTATAGCAGATTCAAATATTTTACGACCATTTGATTAACTCACCTGTACATTGCCAATGGCATGCGACAACTTCTGAATATTAAAGTGCAGGCCAGCCAGATTCTGGACGGGCTCATCGTTGAACTTGGTGCGCTCAATGGTGGCCTTGACGCGATCGATGGACTGTTGATATTCGCGCCAGCGTTCCGCTTCCTTATCCAGTTCGCTTTGCTGGGTCTTGGCATTGGCCAAGGTGTTGGCCAGCTTGTTCTGGAACTGTGTTAGCTCGGCCGACAGCTCGGACTGCTCGTAGCTTTTGAGCGAGGACCAAATCTTGTCGGATGCCTCCTGGATTTGCTTGTGCACCAGATTGCGTATGGGCGCTTCGTTGCCAAAGAAGATCTTGTGCTCGTCCAGATCGTGCATCAGATGCTCGTAGTCAATGCCATGCTGGCTGTTCTGCAAACGCAGCTCAGCCTCGTGCACCCAATCGTTGAACTTGGCCACCAGCTGCATATACTCTAGACGCGAGTCGCGATTGTTCTTCAAATACTTTTCGCGCTCCTCCAGCTCATGGGGCAGCGAGGCGACCAGTGAACGACCCTCGGAGAGCATTTCCAGCAGTGAGCTGGGCATGCCCACATCCGTTTTGACGCTCTCGTTGATTCGATTGAACTTTTGCAGTTGGGCATCGATATCCTTGCTCAGGGCGTGATGCTTCTGGAGTTCGCGCTCCACGGACTCGGGATCGCGATCGAGCAGGGGCCGGGACTTGGCAATGCCTTCATTGTTGTGCAGCCAGTCGAGTATTTCGCTCAGATCAGCGGCCATCTTCTTGTGGGATTCGAGCTGTAGCTGATGCTTCTGGCGCTGCGATTCCACGGCCTTGCGTAGATTCTGCAGCTGATTCTTCAAGGATTGCAGCTGCTCGGTGATGCTGTTCTTATCCGCAGCATTGCCCTCGGAGGCAATCTTCTGACCCTTATCGTTGGCCGACGCCAAGAGGCCCTCGCATTCCTGTATCTTGACGATAACATCGTCATATTTATTGATCTTATCCTCGAGGCTGTCTGGCGAGTTCTCTATGTCGATGATGACATCTGTGTACTTCATAATGAAGGCAATTATCTCATTGATCAGCGCAATAAATTGCTCGCGCAGCATCAGCAGCTGGCGCAGATGCGCCAACTGATCCTCAATCAATTTAATCATATCGTCCTGCTGTGTCAGAATGCTCTGCAATTCGGGCAGATCATCCATTTGCATGTCGCCCATTTTGTGTTTGGTATCCTTCAGCTCCTTCAGTATGCCCTCATAGGCGCCCAGCAGATCCTGCACATCCTCGATTCGGGAGCCAATGGGTCGGTTCAGTTCGCGCATACGCTGCTGTATGTTGCCCAGGAATTGACTGCACTCGGCGAGTCTGTTCTTGGCATCCTTGTACTTCTTGATGTGATCACCCAGCACATTGACGCGATCATCGATGGTCTGCTTGATGCGTCCATAGCGATCCTTCATGTTCTTGATGTCGTCGTTGAGCTTCAGCTTGTCCGCATTGCTCAGCGTGGGCAAAATGCTCTTGCCCTGCTCGGACACATCGTTGATCAGTCCACCCATATTATCGGCATTCTGCAGCAGCTTCTTGTAGTGGGCCAGCTGCTCCTCGAGCACTGGCAGGCTGGTGGTGCGCAGTTCACTTTCGGTTGCGGTTTCCATTTCGTTCAGCCAGTCGCCCATCTTTTTCATTGAGTCCTCAAAGGCCTTGCGACCCTGCAGCAGATCATCCAGGGACTTGCCACGCTTGCCGCTCTCATCCTTGAGCGTCTGATAGTCGGCGGCAATTTCATCCAGAATTTGTTGCAACGCCGCCTTGTCCGCATCGCCACAATCCTTCATGATGTTTGCCGCTTGGCGCTGTACATCGCTGAGAACGCTGTCATTGAATTGCTTGGCATCATCATCGTATTTCTTATTCTCCGCGATTTTCTTCTCAATCTCAGCGGAGGTGAGGGGATGATACACGGGCAATTTGCGCACCTCAGAGATTTTGGCCTTCAGCCATTGACGCGCCTTGTCCAGATCGTTCTCCAGCGCTTTGCGTGCCTTGCTCGCCTCCAGGGCGCGATCCAGTTCAGCCTTTAGCACTCCAGACAAATTGCGATTCTCGCTATTTAGGTTACGCAACGCCGACTCCAGTTGGGCATATTCCGCCGATTCCAGTTCGGGCTGCATGTTGGCTATGCGCTTGTCCAGCACATCGGCCAGCGATTGCTTTGCCTCCGCGTCCTTCATCAGGCTCTTGATCTTTTGCTGGCGCGCCTCGGCATCTTTGGGCGAATAGCCCAGTGCGGCTGGCGCTTGCAGCTCTTCGATTTGCTGCTTCACCCATTGCTGCAGTTGGTCAATTTCACCCTTGGCACCATCCACGCCCTTGTTGGTCACATCCAACAGCTGCGCCTTGCGATCAATGCGCTTGCCCAGATCGGCAAAGCGACGATCCAACGACTTCATTTGCTCCTCCACCTGTTGCCCATCCAGATTGCTGATAACCTCAGCCACCTGCGCGGCCTTGCCCTTGAGCTCCTGTATCTTGGGATGGCCCTGTAGCTCGTATTCGTTCTTTATCTCATTGATGGCTGCCATTTTCTGGGCACAATTGAGGCCAGAGCCGCGATCCAGCACATCCATGCGCTTGATCAACGTATCAAACCAGTTCTGCACATCCTGCATGCCCTGGCGATAGCCATCGATGACATTTTGGCCCGCCTGCTTCTTGGCAATCGCGTCCATGAGCTCCGATTCCAGCTTGTCAATGTTGTCATCCAGATCCGTATCCTCATCTCCCACTATCGAAAAAGAAACGTAAAGTTTTTCATTTTTTGCTTATGCTTGCAATACAATCAATTAATTATATATTCAGCAATAGGCTGAAAATTTATTTAGGAAGTGGCTACTTCATATATTTTTATGTAGAACTATTCGCTTTTACAAGTTTTTGCAGATACTTACGTGATCCTGTCATTTCGAGCATCAGCTGCGAGCGCTTGTCACCAATGGAATTCAATAGATCATTCATGGCAACCAGTTCCTGCTGTGCGGCCTCTGGACGCAGCTTGCATGGTCGCATTAGCCAATCAGAGACAGAGCTCTGTTGCCGCTTGACCCAATCCTGCAGCTCGGCGCGCTGCTTCTGCTGTTGCTCCAGTTCGCCAACGGATGCAGTCAAACCACCCAAGTGGGATTGCACCTGTAAAATAGCCGCTCGATTAGCCAAGGATTTTTGGTGGGCAGTTCGGGTTCGCAATTGATATTAGATTTAAAATTTGAGTTTAAAGCCAAGCCGCCACCATTTCAAGTGGAGTTTCCAGACCCGCTTACCTTAGCGACGAGTGCATTCAGCTTGCTCACGTGTGCACTATTCAGGCGTACTATGCGACGATAGTTGCTAATACGCTCGTGAGCAATTGGATCCAACAGCGCCTCATTCACATCGCTGAGCTCAACGTCGAGATCGTTCTCAGCGTCGTCGTCGGTTGAGCTCTGAGTATTTGGCGGCGGTTGCTTTTTAGTGGCAAGGTCAAGCATAGCATTCGCAGGCGGTAGCAAAGTGGGCGTGGTAGTGCATTTTTTTTTTGTTTTGGTTTTTTTTTTACAATAACAACAACAATAGTTACGGTGCGGCAAATCAACAAAAGTTAGAGCGGTGTTTGGTTGGGGTAGTTTGTGGTTCAGTTGGTAGAGTTGATAAAGTTGGTGTAGTTGGAGGGTATTAGGAATAAAAGTAAATTAAATCAAATTACAAAAGATGCATTGGTTAGCAAATTAAAAATTAAACTGGTTACCCTTCGAGTTTTGTAAACGTAGAAATAGGCGAATAGATGAGAACCATTGGGCGCATTTAGATGAAAATTCTAATTAAAAGTGGCTGATATATTTATGATGATTTTTATCATCTGGTAATCAAATCTCTAATTAATAGCAGGAAAATCATGTATCATCAATCAGAAACAATAATTGAATTTAATGAATTATTTACATAAACAGCAACATTTGCAACTGCAATCCGATTATTTCTCCTAAATGCAGCCTTAGCTTTTCATCATATTCTTCACTTCGCCTATTTCTACTTCAGTTAATATTTTTAGCTAGATAAACAACAACTACAAATGCACTACAAAAACTATGTGAAGAATATTCATTCTATTAAATAACCCACCTGATCCAGCAGATCTTCCAGCTTGGCGCGCACGATCAGTTCGCGTTCGGGTATGGCATGCATAGCTGTCTCCAGGGGGGAGCTTGGTCGGCTTATGGATGCTGTGGCTGCTTCACATGCCTGGACGGCTGCTGCCAGCCTAGACTTTTCATTGTTCAGTTTATTTTGCATATCCTGGGCACACTTGAGCTGATTCTGCGCCAACTCCAAGCTCGTGGCTGGTGCGTCCAGTTCAGTTTGTATGATTGGCTCATAGGCCTCCAGATTGCGCATGATGTTGTCCAGCGTGTCCTCGTACTCCTGGAACTTGGCCAGCGACTCGAGCAGGCGATTCTTGATTTGTACAGATGTCTGCAGCAGCGAATTGTAGCTGTCCTGTATGTTCTTTAGCTGTGACTCCACGGTTGGCCGTATGCCAGGCGTTGTCGGCTCATAGCGTTTAATTTGTGCCTGACCCTTGGCATTCAGGTCATCCAAATTGGTCTGATACTTTTGGATCTCGCCCAGCAGCGCCTCGTGCTGTTTAATTTGCTCTTGCGTTTGTTCACGATTTGAAATGAAGAGCGAATTGTGGGCCATCAGCTGGAACGAGATTTGCAGCAGCCATTTCTCCACATCCTGCAGGCTCTGATGATATGCATTATAGTCGAGCATCTCCTGCTCCAGATCTCTGATATAGCCGGCGCAGTCGTTCTTCAGCTTATCACAACGCGACTGCAAACGGTTGACGGCATCCACCTCGGTGCCCAGATCGCGTGCCTCCGACATAAGCTGCTCCAGATCGTTGCCCTTCTGCTTGAGCTCATTGGCGAGCGTCTTGTAGCGCTCCAACAGGGTCTTCATCTCGCTCAGCTCACCCTTGGTCTCGGGCGCTGTCTTGAGCGTCTTCTCTGTTTCGATCAGCCATTTATCGAGCTTATCCTTGTTGGCTGCGAAATCGTTCCAACGATTTTGTGCCTGCTTCAAGTCAGTTAGCTTCTGCTTGACAGCCAGACCCAATGCATCCCAGTCCTCGCGTACCGTGGTCATCAACTCACGCAGCTTCTCCTGCTTATCTTCGGGCGTAATATTCGAGGCCTTCGAGTAGGCATCCTGCACCATGGCCAGCAAATGCTGGCCCTCGGGCAAGTGGGAGGCCAATGACTGGAAAAAAAATTATTTTGTTATATAGAGTAAATAACTAGCATTAACCCCTATGGCCATTTTCCCACATATTTTTTGACTTTGTAAGTGGAATTTCCAAAATAGGCGAAACAAGCAAATTCTTTTTCTAATCAATAAGATAATATTGCCGAAATCAGTGGAATACGCCTTCAGTTATTTTTCCCCAGATCTATAAACATGAATTTAGAATGAAATAGAGATAAGAACGAACATCTTTCACCCATCTTCCACCCTTGTGAGTGTAAATGTACAAATTTCCGTTCTACGGTCTATTTACTACTTGGCTCCCAGATCTTTAATTATTGTGTGTATTTTATTTAACAGCTATTACTTACATTGACGGTCTCCAATTTTTGTGCAATAACTGAAGCATCACCATCGATGCTGCAATCGTTGAGTACTTGCTGAGCCTTTTCTATCCAGGCATCCATTTCCTTCTTGTAATTGAGGAACTCGGTGTGATCCGACAGATTCTTTTCGATCTTGGCAACCAGACCCTGGGCAGAAGTCAGCAGTTTTGTGTAATTGGCCTGAGTCTCAATGGTTTGATCGCGTATGCGAGTGCAGGCGCTTTGCTCCATGAGCAGCTCACAGTTGTCATTGAGATCCTCGACATTTTCTCGCTCGGCCAGAACCTCATCGAGTAGTTTCTAAGGGAAAGATCAATATTAGATTAAATGATCTAACCAAAATAGTTGTATTTAAAGGCACATAAAGCGTTTTAGGCGTTAGACAGTGTCTGTGTATAAATGATTAACTGCAATAGTGAGTGTGTTTAAGTGATTAGCTGAAAAGTTAGCAATTTTGATTAGTTGTTTAGTATGTGAATCAGTTTATATATATATATATATATATATATAAATATATATATACATAGTGTATATACATCAATTTTACTACGGGGTGCACTCTCTCGAGCAATTTTTAGTATATTTTTTTTTTTTTGTTAGCGTTGCGTGCGACAGTTGCTTGAGATTTGACGAGATATTTGTTGCTTACCTTGGCATTGACCAAATCTTCGGTGGTTTTATTGTCGGCTTCCTGTGATTTGGCAACGCGCTTGCTCATTGTTACAATCCACAAATTGATCTTGTTGAACTTTTGCAGGAATGTCTGCCAAGCGGCGAGACAGCTTTCAAGATCGCTGCGCGCATCTCGGGACAGAGCCTGCAGCGTTTCCCATTCACCATTCAGGTGCTTGATCTCTTGGGCCACATTGTCTTGGCCCTCGCTGCCGCTGGTGGCTATGACCGCCTGGCTGAGCTCCTCGCAAGCTTCCAGCAGCGATTTGCCCTCAATGGAGGCGGACTGTATGTCGCCAAGACGATTGAGACGATCCTCCACTTGATCCTTTTCGCCATGGCAATCAGCGCACTGCTCCACCTCGATGCGTGTGCGACGCAGCCAATCTTGTAGCTCATTATAGGCCTGCTTGTATTTCTCGTGATTGTTAACCTGATTCTCCAGCGACTCAATGATCTTGTTCACTTGACCTTGCAGATCATCGAATTTGCTTAGACCGGGCGCAAAATCGTTTTTATCCAAGCTATTGTCCTCACGCAAGCGTACATTAATCTTCTCCACAATATCGTTGTGTCCATTGATGTCGCGTTGTGTGACACGGAATTTCTCCAGTGCAGCACGCTTTTCGCTCAAGTCATTCAAATACTCCTCGCTGGCCTTAACACTGGGCTCAATATCCTCCAGCCATTCAAGCAGAATCTTGTACAGCTTGAAAATCTCCTCCAGCTGAGCCAGACGATTCGCCAATTTCTGACGCACATCATTAAGATCCACAAGCAGCTTGTCAAAGTCCTGTTTCAGGCCCTCGGTGTCCTCTTGTATTTTGGCTGCGCCATTCTGTTCGGTATTCATAATCACCTTCTCCTTTAGTTCCAGAAGATAGCGCAGCTTGTTCTGTCCAGTTTCAAAGCCTTGACGCAAATTCTTAACAGTATTCAGTTTAATTTGCACCTCGTTCAACGTGCCGGGTATTTGTTCGCATTCGGCTAGCTTCTCACGTGTCTTTTCGATCCACGACTGGCACTCCTCGTAGAGCGTATGATGCTGCTGATGCTCCTGGTAGTGCATCTCCAGGCGTCGCATGACCTCCTTGGCCAGCGTCAACAGCGCGTTGTATTTGGTGGTCATCTGCATGATGGCATTGCTGATGCGCGTATCAGAGCATGTCTCCAGCAGCACCTGAGCCTTCATGTTCAGGTGATCCAGTGTCTTCTGCCAATCGAATAGCGTTTGCAGATGTCCCTGGAATTCCTCAAGCACCACCTTCTTTTGCGTAAGACTATCCTGGAGCTTGTTGTAGGACTGCACGAGTGCTTCGGTCTTGGTCAACCACTCGAGCGCCTCGGTGTACTGATCCTGGTAGTCAGACCACTTGACAATGCCCACCTCCAGATAATCCTTGGCCTTGTTGAGCGCCTCCACATAAGCATCAAACTCCTCCTGTAAAAGTGCGACTTCCTCTTCAATGATCGCACAATCCTCGGGCTCAGCGGTGCGACAGGCAATCTCACCCTGGGCCAAGGCATTTTGCAGCTTTGTTGAGCCCTCGGGAACTTCACCTTGCAGAATCTTAAGCTGGTGAGTCTTCTCTGCCAGCGCTTGCTTATCACCCGTTGGCTCGGAGCACTTGCTCAACCTTTCCTTGGCGTTGCGCAGCCAAGAGGCAAAGTCGTTACCTGCATCGATCAGCGCCTGGTAGCTGTCAATAGTGTTCTTTTGTTTGGCATAAAGATCCTTGGCCTGCTTGGTAAGGTTCTCGTATTTGTCGGAGATTTCTGTGGCCGGTGCACCCTGCTGCAAGTCGGATGCCTTCGAGGTTACCGATTGGATCATGGGCTCAAACGAGACAATATCCTGGACAATGTTGTTGGTCTGGCGCAGATTAGCCTTGCGCTCGCTCAGACCGCTACTGAGACCCGGCTGTCCCCTCTGGGATTTAACAATCTTTTGCTCGCACGCCTGCTGCAGCTTGGCCTCCCTGTCGGTAATCCATTGCTGCAACTGTGTGTAACTGGAGCTGTAATCGGCCCATTGCAGCAGATTTGTCTCCAACTGCACCTTGGCTGTGGACATTTTCTTGACAAGTCGATCCCAATCGGTCTGCAGCTCCTTCATTTCATTATTAATGGCATCGCGTCCATCGGAGCGCGTATTGCGTATAATCTTCTCGCCATTGTTGATGGCTGTGTGAACGAGATTTTGGCCCAGTTCACGATTGCGTATAAGATCCTGTATTTGCTCCAGGCGACGTTGCAGGGCCTCCTTGGAGCCTGCACCCTCGCCAGCGGACTGAATGGTTTGCTTAGCATTCGATATCCATTCCCTAGCCGCCTTCATATTGGCATCGTATTCGCGATGCTGATCGCGATTAGTCTCTACCTTCTTTAGCACATCCTTCGCCAAATTAACCTGTACCTGATACATGGAGCCCAAGTGTCTGAGCTGATTGTTGACATAGCTATCCAGATGCGATTTAAGTAGACCTGCCGCGGAGGCATTAAATTTATCGATATCATCCTTGCCCTTTTCCAGTCGCGACATGACCTCGCGCATATCGGCCACCTGTTTCTCCTTGTCGGGCAGATTGGGACAGAGGTTCAGCTTATGGTTCTTCACAAGTATATCGATCTGTTGCAGCCATTCCATGAGGCGTTCATACTCCTCTTTATATGCGCGCCATTGCACCATGGTAACTTCCAAGTTTTCTTTCTGCTGATTGATCTCGCGGAACAAACTTTCGAAGCTATCACGTAGTGCGCGTATATCATTGCGTATGATCTCTTGGCCCTGCGTCGAAGTACTTGCCAGAACCACCTCACCAGTGTGTACCAAATGCTCAACAAGTAGTTCACCCTGAGCCTGCTTATTGAGGAGGGCCTCGGTGGCCTGCACGGCATTCTCAATGGCCAGCTTGTCGCTTAGGCTGCTCTGTTTCAGCGCGGGGAATTTCTCGCGTGCACGACTTATCCAGCTAACGAGATCGTCATAGGCTTCCTTGAACAGGCGATGATCTCTGTACTGATCCTGGCGATCCGACAGCAATTTCTGTGTCTTGGCAAACAATTCATCGAAGGTATCCAGCACTTTTTGTGCCTGGAACGCAGCCTGGCTCTGTTGGCCGCTGGCTATCATTTCTTTAGCCTGTACCTTCAGTGAATCAACATCAATCTTCTCCACGCGTACCTTCTCCTCTGTGGACTTGACACGATCTAGCTGTGCGCGTTTCTCCGTCATGGTTGTCTGATGCTCGCCCAATTCCTTGAGCAAACCATCTAGCCATTCGTTAAACTTGCGCACGTTCTGCACCTGATCCAAGAAGCCAGACCATTGAGTAATGGAATCATCCAGGTTAGCCTTTACGTCCATAATGCGCAAAGCAATGCCGGACCAGAGATCCTGCAGTTCTGAGAGCTCCTTGTTTATGGCCTCGTGCCCAGCGGGTGCGGTATTTGCGAGCACATGTTGAGCCTGTTCTAGGATTTTAAGCACTCGCGCAGAACCCTCGTCTTTAAGTAGAATCACATCTTGAATGGTGGCCAACTTCTTGTCCAGTTCTTTCTGGCTCATCGAGGACATGTCTGAACAGTAGTCCAGCTTTTCCTTTATGCCATTAATCCACGATGCACACTCGGAGATGGAGTTATCAAAATCTTCGTGCGATGTAACGTATTGCTGCCAGCGATTGTTCAAATCCTTGACTTTGTGGAAGATTTGCTGATATTTAGTGACCAATTCGGGCCCAGATGATCGAGTCGAGGTGGGTCCCTTCAGCAATGTTTGTGCTTTTTCGGTAACATTATCGACTTCCAATTCCTTGGCACGGACATCGCCTTGCAGTGCCTTCAGCGTATCCAATTGCGCACGCTTCTTTGGCAGATCCTCTTTGAGATCAATGGCATGCAAGTCATTGTCGGTGTCACGGATCCAGGCCAAGCACTGATCGCGCAGCTGCTCATATTCGGACCATTGCTGCAGGCGTGCCTCAATGGCTTCGATGGTTGAGCCAATGGCAGCTAGCAGACCCTCCCATTCCTGTTGCGTTGTATCGATCTGAGATTTAATGTTCACCTGACCCACATCAATGGTACCGGGTATGACCTTCTCGCCCAGCGCACGCACTTGATCCACGCGTGGAAACTCATCCGCAAGGCTGGCCTTCAAGTTCTTCAGACGATCTAGATTAGTGTGCAGAGAAGTTTGCTCCAAATCAAGATCGCCCCAGTAGTGCACGGTGTTCAATGTGGCATCAATGAACTCCTGAGCATCCATAACGGCCTTGGAGTATTGTTGATGGGCACTCACAATGCCCTCGTAGCGTTCCGCGTAGCCCTGAGCGCGCTTTTGCAGTTTGCCAAAACGATCGGTTATATCCTTAAGAATATGATCCACATGCTCAGTCTTTTCAGGCAAATTGGCTGTAATCTCTTGCAGATTTCCAACCTCTACTTGATGATTGTTGATATCGTTGAGCACGTCACGATAGACCTGCAATTTATTGCGCTTCTCGTCCAACGTGGTCTTCAGCTCAATTTCAGCTGGCAACTCATGCTCCACATCATCCAGCCAGCTCTTAAGCTTGTCAGCAGTCTCATCAAAGCCGGACCACTTGGCAATCTTATCCTGTATCTTACGCGCAGTGCTGGCAACATTATCAAATAGTTGATCAAAGGTCAGATCATCTAATTGGCTGCGTATGGCCTCACGTCCTTCGGTGGCCGTTGAGCTGTAGCACTTCTCGCCCAATTCCACGGTGCTGTTCAGTAGCTGCGTAGCCGTGGGCTGCTGTGCCAGCAACTCCTGTATGACCAGCTGCTTCTTGAGGAGATCATCGCGTGATGCCACCGAGGACAAATCGCTGCAGTCATCGTAGCGTGCCTGAGCGTTAGCCAACCAATCGGCGCATTGCTTGTACTTTTCGTTGAAGTGGCCGTGATCCTGAACGGCTTGTTCGCATTTCTTGAGTATCTCCTTGGCCGTGGCTTGTATAGACTGGAAACGTGAGGAGACTTGTTGCACATTGACTGCGATTCTGGTCTCTCCTGAGCTTTGTACAAGTTCCGAGGTATCATCCTTCATTTTCTCAAAGTCGGCTTCGTTTTGACGCAGGCTTTGTGTCAATGACTGGAAACGATTCAGCTGCTCTTCCTTTTCCTCAAAGGAGTTTTTCAGATTGTAGTTTTTGAGCGCATTCTCAGCCTCGCCCAACCAGTTAATCAGGCGATCCAAGTCAACTTCATAGTCATTCCATTGCTGTAGACGGTTCTCCAGGCCGCTCTTAACATCGGTCAGTGAACCACCGAACTTTTCGAAATCAGCATGCAAATTGGCTAAATCGCGTGTCATGGCTTCCTTTGAGCGAGCTGGTATGCTGCTGGCATGCTTCTCAATGTGTTCCTCAAGAGCTTTAAGCTTGGAAACACCTTCAGGCAAAGCATCCTGGATTTCATTAATCTTCTGTAGACGCGCTTGCAATGCTGCCTTATTGCCCGAGTAGTCGGAGTAGCCGGTCAGACGATCCCACAGGTTCTTCTGAGAATCCTGCTGTGCTTTCTGCAGCTCACTGAACTGCTGATACACCTCGAAAGCGGCATCTAGATCAGCGACCAGCTTGCCGCAATCCTGTCCAACTTGCTCATAACGCTTGTTTACTTCAGCGACAGATTTGGCAATCTCATCAGCATTGGCAGGCGCAGCGCTAGTCAGGAGAGCTGCTGCCTTCTCATTGACAGCCTCCACAATGCGCTTGTGCGAGTTGATATCCTGGTTGGTGGCCTTGTATTTGTACAGCTTGGAACGAATTTCCTGTGCGCTTGTCCAGCTGGCTGGATTCTCATTGTGCAGTAATTTCTCCACCTGATCCAGCCAGTTGACCGTTTGACCTAGTATATCCTGGTAGCTGGAAAGCTGTACGGTTTGTGCTTCTTGGCGTTTTTCCAAATTTCGTATGCCCTCATCCAGCTTATCCCAACGATCGCGTATGTCACGAAGATCCTTGCGTATCTTTTCTCTACCCTGAGTGGATGTCTCCGGCAAGGCCTTTTCACCAGCTGCATTTAATGCACCAAATAAGCTCTCGGCCTGCTCCCTCTCGGAAAGCAAAACCTGTAGAATGTTTGAGCTCTGCGTGGGCTCATCCTTGAGCGCCTTCTCCAATTGCGTCTCAATGGGCTGCAGCCACAAGTCCACCTCGTTGTATTTGTCTTGGTAGAACTGATGATCGTCCACCAGATTGAACCAGCGGTTGACCACTTCTTTGCTCAACACCTGCAGCAGTTGATAACGATTTGTGATCTGCGTTGTCAACGTCTTCAGACGATCTGCACCGCAGTTGTTGAGCAAAGCGTGTGCCGTATCTCCAAATGCATCGATTTCCTTTTCCTTTTGCAGTATGAGTTCCCGCTGTATTTTATATTTGTCCATTTGCTCAACCTTTTCATGCAACGTCGACTTCAGCTGTTGCTCGCGGAATACGGCTTCCGCATTGCGACACCACTTGGTGAGTTCTTCCAGATTGTGCTCAAATTTATCCCACTGCGCCAGGACATCCTTTTGCTTGCCCTCAATGCCCTCAATGTCGTTGAAGTGACTCTTCATTGTAGTCTCCAGTTCATCGATTTCTTTCTCAAGCACTTCAATGCCCTTCTCCGAGGTGGCGGGTTTTACATTATCGAATTGTGCACGGATTTCGCTAATTAGATTCATGGCCGTTGGTTTATTTTGAGCCAATTGACCAAGGGTCTCAATTTTACGCTTTATATCTGCCTTTTCACCGTACGAATCATCGCATTCCAGCAGTTTGGCTTTCTCATTCGATATCCAGGCCTTGGCACCACTGAGCGCATTGTTTAGGTCGCTGTGCTTTTGCACACAATTCTCCAGGTTGTGCAGTATTTCATCGGACTTTTTCACAATATTCTGGAAGAGTTGCTTGATTGACTGAAGATAAACATTCAAGGAGTTGTCCTTTATTTGATCAACTAGTATTTGCGCCTTGTCGCACACATTGTCCACGAGCACATTGTGCGTGGTTATCTCCTGATGCAACAATTTGTGATTCTGCAGTTGTGCACGCTTCTCCTGGAGCGTCGTTTTCGGTTCGGTATGACTCTGCATGGCTTTGTCCACATCCTTCAGCCACTTGGTTAGCTGATCTTGAGCAATGCTAAACTCATTGAACTGCAGAAGACATTGATCAATCTTATGCGTAGCCGAGTTTAGGTCGTCCGTGTAGTTGTCCCACATGGTACGCAGGGAGCGCAGCTGTTGGCGTATAATCTCACGACCTTCAGGACTTGTGTGACCGTAGAGTTTCTCGCCGCGGTCAATCAAACTCTCAAAGACAGTGGAATCCACAATGCGCTTGTCAGACATTTCGCGCAATTTGTTTTGCTGATCCTGCAATACGCTCTGATCGCCGACAATTTCATTGGTCTTTGCCAGCTCATTGGCGCAGGTCTGCAAATTTTGCTTAAACTTTTCATAGTCCGTGTCAAAGCTGTCGTGATCCTTAACATAGTTGACATACTTGGCGATGGACTCCTTGCAAATATTCTTCAGTGTCTGATAGCGTGTATTCAAACGCGAGAGTTTCAGATTCAAATCGGTTTCACCTTCGATTTCACGACCCTGATCCATGAGCTCATTTATGGCTACGCCGCGACGCTCAATATCCTTGGCATTATCTTGGAGCTGCTTCAGATGAGCAGCCTTTGCTTCGGCGGTGCTCTTTAAGTTCTGGTTCTTTACCACAGCCTCGACGTTCTTCATCCAGTTGTCGAGCTCATCGATGACTGAGTCAAACTCATCCCACTTGGAGCAGAGCTGCTTCAGTTTCACCTGCGAGTCCTGGCAGAGCGACATGAACTCTTCCCATGCATTTTTCGGCTCCTCAAAGCCCTTCAGCAGCGCCGGATGACCGCTAGGATGGGTTTGTGTTAGAACCGTTTCCAAAAGCTTGTGGCACGTATCAAATATGGAATCACCCTCGGGCTTATGCTGCAACAAATTCTCCACAACAATCAGTTTCTCCTCGGCGCCCTCTTTTTCGAAGGTGGTTTCGTTCAAAATATCAATTGCCTCTGATTTGATGGTGTTCAACCAATCTTGTGCCTTCTCCAGCACCTGATCATAAGCCTCGTGTTTGACCACCTGATTGCCTACGGTATTGATGCGATCTGAAATCTTTTTGGATAGCGTATTGTACTCCTGTATGGACTCATCCGTTTTACGCTCGGACTCATCATCGCAAAGGGTGACCGCCTTGTCGTGCAGTTGCTTTAGAGCATTCTTATGCAATGTAATTTCCTGCAGCTGTGTTTTATAATTTTGTAGAGCTGCTTTCTTGGCCGCCAAAGTGGGATAGAGTTCGTCGCCAGCAGTGACCTTGGCCTTAGATTCGTTGAGGTAGTGCGACACTTGAGTGTAGCTCTCCTCAATGGATGTCTTTTGTATTAGCACGCCCTCAACCTGTTGCATCAGAGCATTGGCCTCATCGCGCAGATAATCATATTTCTCGCGCATTTGGCGTAGATCGGCGCGTATGCGTTCACGATTCTCAGGGGAAACCACTGGATAAAGCGCCTCACCAATATCCACAGCATTGTTCAGCAAGAGTTGACCATTGTCAAAGGTCTTCAGATAGTTTTTAATGGTCTGCAATTGCTGTGCGGTGGCCGACGAAGAGCCAGGGGATCCCATACGGGCCAGTTCCTGGAACTCGATCTTTGCATCGCCAAACCATTCATTAAAGTCTTTAGATGCCTTGGCAAAGTTCGCATTTGACGACTGAGCGCTGCGTATTTTATCAATGTGTCCGGCAAGGCTCTTGGCTACCGTCTGGTAACGCTGCACCAAATGCGTAACAAATTGTCCAATACGCGCCTCGGGATTCTTTTCAATCAATTGATGTGAGGTCTGCTCCAGGCCGCTGATGATAGGCTCATGTGCCAGCACATCCTGCTGCAGTATGGCCAATTCTTGTAGTTTCTGCGGCACCTCGGGCAAATTAACCTGACTGCTTGTCTCCGCTTTAACGCGACCTTCTACATCGCGCAGCCAGTTGGATATTTGCTCATTTGACTGTTCGTACTGTGACCAGAGATCAACATTCTCATCCAGTATGCCCTTGATGCGATCAAAGCTGTCCTGTAACGCCTGCATTTCCTTGCCCATAAGCTCGGCATCGCTGTTAAGCTCGGCGAGATTCTGTGGCGTTTCCACGGCCTTAAGCATTTCCAAGGATTTCAGCGTTTCCGCATGACGCGCTTTGCAGTCATCAATGCTCTTGCTGACCTCCTGTAGCGATGATTTTTTCACATCCAGGTTATACTTGTCGCTAGTGGACTCCGGCTGACACCAGGCCACCTTCTCGCGCTGTGTGACTATGATGCGCTTCAGCATGCCCACCTTATCCGCATGGAATTTTTTGAGGAACTGCAGCAGTGAGCTCTCGATCTTCTTGGCATATAGATCGACGCCCTCGTAGCGTTTCTGAACATTGTTCAGCTCCTTGGGTATGATGGACTCATTGAAAGTGGGATATAAATTACGCAGTTCGTCCACATTCTGTTTGATATTCTCAATTTCGTTCCCACTCTGTTCCAATTGAGCGCGCAGTGCACGACACTGCAGCAAGCGCTCCATGATCTTGTTGTTATCGCCGGACATGTCATCGCATTTGATCAGCTGTTCGCGCAGCTTACTCACCTGCTCGCCGGCAATCTTGGTGCGTTTGCGTAGCTCCTGCTCCTGGTCAGCAAAGGACGTGGTGACAGCGCTCAGACGCTCCGCATTGTTGCTCACCTCGGCAAATTGTTCGCCGAGAAGCTGATTAAGTGTGCTCAAGGCGGGTATTTCGACACCATTGTTTATCTTGACCAGGTCGTTGGTTTTCTCGAGGATTGTAGCCCTGAGCGCTTGGTAAGAAGGCAGTTCGTTGCGGTATTTGCTGAGACGCATGGGTCCGAATTCGATTTCAATTGAATTATCCGCCGCATCGCAGAGACCCTGGTTGGTTTCAGACAGCCAAGGCAGCAGATCCTTTTTGGCATCTTCGATTTGCGACCAAATAACCGCCTCCGTCTCGTAGATATGGGCATTTTTGGCCGTCTTATCATGCAGATCCTGCCAGTGCTGCTTGGCAACGGCAACTTCTTGGGGAACCTCTTGAGGCACCGGCTCACCAATGGCTGAAAACAATTTGGCAACATTGTTGCCGCGACGTTCGAGCTCATCGAGATTCATCTTGGACTTGCGCAACTGTTCCATAGTCTTGCGCGTCTTCTCAGAGGCCTGATGCAGCGCGGTCTCATCGCCCGGCTGTTGGGGTATGGCATTGAACAAATCTTCGGCTTTCTTTAGCTCCTTGGAGAACTTGTCCTTGGATTCGGCGTACTCCCTCAAGGCTTGACTGATAAGATTATATTTTTGTATACGATCCGATATTTCATTTTGCAGCGAATCGTAGTTCTTATCCAGCACCAGTAGACTCTCCTGTATGGCCGGCATGCTTGCAATATCCTCACGCATCAGTAGAGACCCTTCATCGTGTATGCGATTTTTAAGATCCGCCTGGTACTTAAGCGCATCATTTAACGCCACAAGATCAGCAATGATTTGATCTATGTTGTTCAGATTGGGATGTTGTTTAAGAATCTGATCAAGTTTTGCGCGATTCTCCTGCAGCGCCTGACCAAAGTTATGCTCCAGTGCATGGAATTTGTCTTTACGGACAGTCATCTGTTGCAGTTGTTGCTGCTGATTTTGCGAGCGAAGTTTCAGATTTTCCAACTTATTTTCCACATCGTTGACAATCTGTGTGGCTATCAGCGGACGGCGAGAGAGTGCATCGCGCAATTGTATAGCCGGATTCTCATCGATTTCCTTGGCTTGACCCTTCCAGTAGCTCAAACCCTGGCCCAGATGATCAATCTCATCGATGGCCTTCTTAAGCTCCTCGACAGCTGGTCCCTCGGGCTTTTCCAACTGGTGCTTCAAATAGTTCAAGTGCGATTCAGTATCATGCTTCCAGCCCAAAAGCTCGGTCCATTTTTCCAATGCGGCCTTCTTCTGCAGCATATTTGACTCCAGATTCTGATAGTTAACCACAAGGGCAGTGTACGCATCATTCAGTGCATTGGACTCTTCGGGTGTGGCACCCAGGGCCAGCTGCTTGACCTCATCGTAGATGGCATTAAAACTGGGCTTCTTATCGGCGTGCTCCTGCAGCAAGGCGTGTATGACATGCAAACTAGTCTCCACACGTTCCGGATTGATTTCCTCAACCTGGGTGACTTGATTGCGCAACTGTTCCATCCAGTTGGAGAAGTTGACCAATTTGGCATTGAAGTCCTGACGCGATATAATGGCATCGGAAACCTCATTGATGTTGCCACGTGTGGCCTCTGAAAGCTTCTGTAATTTAGCCTTCATGTTGTTCACGCGATCCTTGACAGCCACAGCGCCCTCTGGCGCCAAATGCAAGCTGATTTGATCGGCATTTTGGCCAAGGGCAACCAATTTGGCCTGCTGCTGAGATATCTCATTGTTGAAGGACTTTAGCTTGACCAGCTCTTTTTCGAGCTTGTCAATGTGCGGTGTATTCAGCACAGCCGGACGCTTACCCATCTGCTGTGCACCCTGATCAATCCAATCCTCCAGCTTGGCAGCATCACCGTCGAAGGATTTCCAATTGGCAACAAGCTTTTCGAGCTTACCGCTCGCCTGTTTGGCATTTTCATGGACCGCTGTCCAGCGGGAGTGCATGGCATCTAACTCATCGGGGGCATTGGTTTTGCATAACATTTTATGACTGATGTTTGATATGCCATGGAGCTTGTCCAATTGCTCCAGGCATTGTGTTTCAAATTGTTTGGCATTTTGTTGCATGGCAACGGCTTCTTCAAGTGTAATTGGTTTAGGAACTATATTATTTACCTTGACTTCGCTTTGCTCCACGGCGGGCTTGATTTGCTGTAATCCTGCCTGGAATTGCTGCCAGTTGACCAGATCCTCCTGCACAGCCTGCGACTGATGGTCCACATTGCGGTTAATGGCGCTGAGCACCTCCTGCAACTTGGAGATTTCACCCTTGAGACGCTTCGCTTCGGCAACGTTGCCCTCCTTGGGGGCCAGCTCAGATGCATCAGCGGCCAACAGATCCAGCTGCTTCATGCGCTCGCCCAGCACACGCTTGAAGGACTGCACCTTGACAACACGCTCCTCGGGTGTCAAATCCTCAGATTGTAGCGCTTCAATATTCTTGGGTGCCACTTTGTTGGCCCATTCCTGCAGCTCAGCTAGACGCGTCTTGTAGTTGTTCCACTTGGCACTGTAGTCCTCCAGGTAGCCCACACGATCTTTGACATGCTCCATGGTATTAAAGAACATCTTCTCTACCTCAGTCACTTCCTTCTCGAGTATCGGCCGCTTATCGGCGGCAGCCAGTGGCGCCAGCTCCGCTTTTAATGCATGTAGCTTGGGCAGCAATTGGTGGGATGCCTGCTGCAGCTGCACGTTCAGATCGCGCTTCGATTTCAGGTCTTGACTAACATTTTTGGCATCTGTCTGGAGTGGTGTGAGGGCGCGCAGCTCTGTCTCAGCTGTTTGCAGCATGGAGAAGATGTCGTTCTTCTGATCGACAAACTCGCTCCACACTGCTTGTGTGCCCTTGAGTGCTTGTAGTTTATCGGAGGTTTCGGTATAAGCCTGATTCCAGCCGGTCTCCAGATTCTTGACTTCGGTATTAACGAAAGCTGGTGCATGCACATCCTTGCTAAGATCGCGTCCACGTTGGAGCATGGACATAATATGTGGCCGCTGATGATCGAGCTGATTGATGGCATACTGTTGCTCCTCAATTAGGCGATTTACGCGTTCCAAACTTTCGGGTGCAGGGATATTGGCCGTCTGATCCTTGACCTTGGTCAACAGGCAAACAACCTCGTGCACCTCGCGACGATATGTGTAACACTTGGAGAACACCTCCGTTTTGACCATAGTTATCTCAATGGTGGGGATTAGGTTCTTGTAGCGTGCAATTAGATCTTCAAGTTTCTTTTGCTCCAGATTAGCCTCATCTTCGGTGGCATAGCTGAGCAGAGAATCCAGCGTTTTGACCAGCCACTTCATGTCCTCACGTTTGTTATCTGCATCCTGGCAGATTTTCTGCGAACAAAACAATATTGTTATTAATATAATTTTTCAGGAATATGTGTATTTGTTAGATTAGCAAAAGCAATTTAGTTACCACCAGTTCCCTTAGCTGCATGCAGGCGTAATAAATATTAGCAAGGAGTTTTTATATCAAGCTATTTTTGGGGGCGATAAGCATTCAACTCACCTGGAAAACAACCTTCTCCTTTTCAAACTCCTCCATGCTGTTGACCTCATTAACAATGTTCTTAAGGCTCTGATCTACGCTGTTCATCCAATTGATCATCTCATTGAATTTCAGATGATAGCCCTCCCATTGGGCAGGTATTTGCTGCAACGTCTGTCGCATATCGGCCAATCTGCTGGACATTATCTGCCACTGCGCGTTGGCGTTATCATAAGCCTGATCCAGGCTAATATCACCGGGCTGCTGTTGTTTGTGCGCTTGGGCCAGACGCTGCATATTCTGCAAGCACTTCTCCAAGCGTGGCACCGCGTCCTGTTGCAGCAGGAATTGCTGGTTACGTTGCAAAATGGAGTCCACATCTTCATTGCGATTGAGAGCCTGCTGCTCCAGCTGCAGCTCCTTCTCAACATCCTTCAACGATTGATAGAAGGCATTCTCGTCCAGACGGAACTCCAGCTTGAGCAGATGCAATGGCGCTTGGCCAAGCACATTCTTCCAGCGAGACTGCAGCTGCTCCACACTTTGCACCACAGCCGGTTGCTCCTGGCTGGGCAATGAATTCAGCAGCTGCTGTGCCGATTGCACCAGATCGTTCATCCAACGATCGTTGACCTGCTCGAAGAAGTACTTTTGGGTCTCAATTGTTGTCTTTGACTCAATGTGCTTCTCAATAAGCATGGACTCGGCCCGTGTGAGCCATTCGTTAACGACGCGTTCGTTATCCTTAAAATTACTCCAACCGCCAGCTGCATCGCCCAAACGATGCTCCCATTTGCCTGCATTCTGTATGACATAATTGAAGCGTTCGTTCAGCTGCTGCATCTGCTGTGCTGCTGGAGCCGTATCGATCTTATCATCGGCCGCCACAGCTTTGACCAAATTCTGGAACACCTTGTTCTTGCTCTCCAGCATGGAGCGATAATAGACGGTGCGCGAAAAGTAGGTCTTATGCTTGTGCAGTTGCTCATTGATTGATTCACGTCCGCCGGCCAGATTGTGGGTGCCTAGCAGCTGCTCGGCTTCGGTCAGCCATTGATGAATTTCCTTTTGGCCCGCCTCAAGTGACTCCTGTTGAATTTGCAGCTGATGGAACAGATGCAGCTTGGCGGGCATTTGGGCGCGTATGCGCACCAGCGACTCCTTCTCCTGCTTAAGCAGCTTCATCATTTTGTCGACCTCATCGCGTGACAGATCCTGTATGAGCGACTGGAAGGTGCGACTGATGGTCTTGAACAACTCCTCGTTGTCATCGATTTCGCTGGCAAGCTGCTGCAGTTGCTCGCCATAGCGACGTATCTGCTCGCTGTTGCCCAGCACTTGGCGCTGATCTAGCACGCTCTCCGCGCCACGCAGCCACCTGGACAGCTTCTCGATGCCAGACTTGTACTCCTGGCGCGAGCGTATAATATCGCCAGCATGCATGTATTGCTTCGTATTGGCGAAAAGACGCTCGAAGCGCTCGGCTAGGGTGCCATGACGCTGACGCAGCTGCTGAGCAATGGGCTCCTCACAGGATGCAATCAGATAGTTAGCGGCATTGGCCAAGGCATCGAATTTATCCTTCCACACGGTGATGTCCTGGAAGAACTCTAAGCGATCGTCTTCGCTTTGGTTCAGTTTCTGCTCGGCCAACAGCAGCCATTCCTCGCAGCTGGGCGCCAATTGATTCCAGTTGCGCCAGCAATTCACCACCTCCTCGAGTGAGTTTTGGCAGCATTTCAGCTCCATCGAGACACGCTTCCAGCGCTCCTCGGTGTCATACATAAAGCGATCAATTTCGTTGATGTCCTTGCGCGCAACATTGCCCTCACGCTTATACTCCTCGACCACCTGTTGCATGTCAACGAATGCCTTTTGGAACTCTTGGAAGATCTTGTTGCGCGATACAAAGTTCTTATACTGCTCCAGCTGTTGGGCTACCTTCTCCTCGTGACCGTACTTGCCAGTCCAGCCACGCATTTTGTTCTCCACCAGATTGAGGAAGGCAATCAGGCAGCATTTGTGCTCAAGGAATTTTAAGCGGATTCTACGCTCAGCGGCCTTGGGTCCAACCTCTTGCAGACGTCGTTCCATGTTGCGCAGCTGCTCCAAGGGCACCTGATGGGCCTGGGGCGAGCGCTTGGCATTGTCAAACATGGCCACAATGCGCGGCAGATCGGCAAAGAACAGCTTATGCTCCTCCAGCTTTCTACTGATCACAGCGGCTGTCTCCTCATTCATCGCATTGGGTATATCGTTGTCCATGAGCAATTTCTCGGCATCGGCGAGCCATTTGCCTACAGTGCCGAAATCGCCAGGCAGCTCGGCGTCCAATAGCCAGAGCCAGTACATCATCTGGTATTGAAGACGCTGCCACAGCTCATTGATCTCATCCCACGCCTGGCGTGAGACCTGCAGAAAACCGCTCTGACTCTCAATCAGTTGCTTGAGGCGGTTGTAAGCAGGCAAATGTGCATCGACTTCAGAACGTGCCAGCAGATATTCACCAAAATCACGTGGAAACGAACTCATCATCACCATCGGTTCGTATTCGGTGGTCTTTTCCAAAAGGAAACGACGCAATTCGTCCACTTCTTGTTGCACATGCGACTCGTCGCGGGATGCACCCTAAAATAAAATACATTTAAATCGGTTAGAATGTATTTTGAAAATCTGTTAGTATATGCAGTTATTAGGGGAGGTTTTTTTTTTTTACATTTATGTTTAAATCTTGACTCTTTTTCAGCCATGTTCACACATTTCACCAATTTTTGCAACATGTCTGCAATTAACTTTCTTGAAAAGGAAAGTTAAGATTAATTGGATAAGGATTTATATTTTGCATTTATATTCCCCCCATAAATGGAATTTTTTATTGAATGTTTTCGGCGATAAATGAAGCTGTTTTTACGGTTTAGTCTGCGTCACTTGGTCAGTTGGTCAGTCAATCAGTCAGCACAAAAAGTTTTATATATTTAGATATGCATACCTTTGGTTCAGGATACTTGTGCAAGAATTGCGCCACATATGTCATTATGCTCTTCTCATCCGGCTTGGGTACGTCCACATCCTCAGCGTCCAATAGTTTGGCAATGCCCAATTTGCTTTCGGCCACATCGAAAGCTGTTTCCAAACGCTGACGATTGCTGGTCTTCTTTAGCTCAGCTAAATTGACCAGATTCGCTTTAATTGCATCGATAAGTGCGAGGAAGGCGACACCATCTCTCCAGCTGGCGCCGAAATCCTTAACCTCTACACCAATGTCTCTGCAAGAAATATATAAACGTTCATTATGAATCATAGTTAGATATTCTGTATATACTCACTTTGGCAAGGCATTTGTTACCCAGTTGAGTAGCGTTTTCTTGGCGCCTTGCTTCCATTTCTCAGCCCTAAGATCACTGCCAGCCTTGTGATTGCCAACACTGTCGAGGGAGCTAACCGAACCGCCAATACCATGACCCAAATATTCTAGGTTGCGGCTATTCTCCTCGATCTGTGAAAGTTGAAAGGTTCAAGATTAGAAATACATACTACAAAAGTCAATCAAAGACACTCAATGGTCAAATCATAAGTTTTTGGGTGCTTTAATAATTGGGACTACCAACTTAAGAATTGAACTACCGAAAAGAAAAATATGAAAGTATGTAGGACAACACCAACAACTCTTTACAACGATCTCAACCTACCTGTGGCGCATAATTTATAACTACAACTAAGTTTTTCCGCCTCTTTTTACGAAGCTTGTTTTTGTTATTAGTTAGATTTAGTTTTTTTTTATTTTTTTTTTTAAATTATTTTTAAATAAAGTACAAAAAAGAAGATATAGAGGGTTAATTACATTTATAATTGGCATTGTGAATAGCTATTTGGTGATTCATAAGTTGGTGGTCTAAAATCAGGGTGACAAAAAGTGTACCGCTAGCAACCAATTTATTTTGTTCTAGTGCTTCAATTTTCGGTGAGAAACTGTGCACTGTGTGTTTGTTAAATATAGCTGATAGTTTGTTTAGGATTCAAGCTCACCTGGAAGTACAATATGATCGTCCATATTAGACCCAACACAACTGGTGGTCTCCCATCCACCAGATCTGCGGGATTAATATTGACCAACTTGATGCGTTTGCTGGCTAAAAATTGTAGGGCCGTATTCGCATTGCTGAGGAAATGTGGACGTCTCAAGACGCGTCCCTTCTCCACGGGCAATCGTTCGCCGGACAGCACTTCGAGCAGTGCAATGAGTTTCGTACCATCACGTAAATCATTGATTAAATCATCAATACGAAGCGGTGGAACACGCTGAAAAGGAACAATCAGTATGTTTATTTCAAATTTTATCATTTCAAAGTATAAGTGAGATTAGAAATTTAATTGATACATTTTACTAGTACATTTGTGCTTATTCTTAACTAAGCCCCATACTAAGACATTCTTTATAAACTGTGTATAAGAATGACATATAAATGTGTGTAAGAACCAAAGCGCAGAGTTATGTATCTTAAAGTGCGTTTCTGGTTATAAAGTTTGGGTGGAATGGGGGAAGGTTTTGAAAAGATATATATATTTTGTTTTGTAATTGCAATAGTACGCGAGAAATAACATACCATATTAGGACTGACTCTCAGAGATATACTCAAAAACCCAATCCTAAACTCGAGTCTTATCGACAGCTTGATGTCGGTACGAATTATTTACTTCAAATAGGGGTCCTACGTTCCGAATTTTAGTTCCCTAAATCTTAAAGATTCCGAGCTTATGCGGACGTAGAAGCGGACATACCAACAGACTAAGGGATATGAGCAAATTAAACCAGTTGTTGGCCTGACCAATATTTTCTTTCTAGGATCGAAGAAGCCTCCCACTGCTTGTTGCATAACACTTATACAAAACAAGCATACCCATTTCCGACCATTTTCAATGAGTATATAAATGTTTTACATACGAATAACAAGAATCAGAGTAAAATAAAAATGCATGGAAATTTATGAATAAGATTGGATTATGGTAAAAATGATTGAAAATGTATTGGTATATACATACATATATATATATATATATATATTTATGTGTTTACACACATGTGCATGATTTAATGAGCACTAAAGCCAAATGACCAGACGTCGACACCGACTTTGAAGTGCCTTTTGTTGCAGCATTTAATGGGCTTTTTATGAGCACATTAAGTATGTGCATAATGAATATGCCAACATATATATGTATGTATACACATTTATATATAGTTAATGCAAGTATATGTACGGCACATGTTGTGCAGTCAAAAGTGCAATGCATAACTCAATCAATGTAATTTATGAAGCGTGAATACTGAAACGATTTCGTCAATGCGTCTAATTAATCAAATCGAACACGGACGAATTTGTCGAGAAACGATTTCGCATTTGTCGCCAGGAGACGACAGAAAAGCAGATAAATAATTAACGTAAAATGCATTTAATTCATTTAAATAGTTGATATGGTTAGGCTTTGCGTTAATTTGTTTAGCTGCCTTGCTAGACAAATTGTCGAGTGGCACGCGCCGGCATTTAAGCCGGATTCACCGCAAAGATTGCAATTTAAGTTAATGACATTACGGCGGAAATGGCACCGACCGACGAAAACAAAAGCAATTCGAGCCCAGCCAGGCACTATAATTTGAGTGTACAATTTAATTGAGCCTTGCCCGTTTGGTTGAGCAAACATCAAGGCAAATAGTTTGTGAATACTTGGCCTCAACTGTTGCGGACATGCAAATGTCGGGCAAAGTTTTTGTCTGTTTCGAGTCGCAAAAGTTGTTGGTTTTCTTTAGTTTTAATGCAACTTTTCAAGAAACTATGCTACTTACAATGCGAATTCAATTTCTGTATTTCCGCTTGTTTCTCGGCAAACGCCTCAATTTCCACAACTCTGCACAACTCATGGTGTTGTCTGGCAATTGTGTCAAACTTTTATAACAGCTTTTTGTCTTGTCATGTTTGTTTCTTGTTTATTTTCCACACTGGCGCTTACAATTTTTCTTTTTATGTTTGATTCCTTATCTTAACACTATGTCTGTGAAATTGTTCCTCCTTTAAGTTTCTTTGCAGTATAATTTTTTTCTGTTCTCTATGTAGCTACATTGAAAAATCAGTTTCCTAAACAATGATTGTATTTAAGAAAGTTCCATACTTGTATGTGGAAAGTAGATGAAAAGTTGTTAAAGAAATCAATTGTTGTTTATTCATTCAATCAGTAAAAAATACTTTTTCAAAGATCTCTGCACTTATTAAAGACATATTCCGCATATATATTAAAAGAAAATATTTTTCATTGGATAGCTTTTGGAAGTTTAACAAATTCACGAGTGGAAAAAGAGTGGAAAGCTAAGAGAATTTTAAAAAATATACCTAATGCGCAAAATGATGAGTTATGCCAGATAGAATTTTGTTGTTGAAAACTCATATATTTTTTCTGAGGTTGATTGAGCTACGCACCTACTTATTCAGCGTGAACACGGCTAGGTTTTGCCTTCCTAAACCTCTATAGAATATAAATAGATATCATTTAGCGCATAGAGTCAAGAACTTTGCATTATTTGAGCGGTAAGCAAACATTTATCATGCCATCGTCATATGGTATTGGTAGACAAGCCAACTCTTTGCAATTGTCTACTGTGCGTTGGTTCTAAGAATAACCTTTAAGTCAACTGTTGGGCACGCACCCGAGACGTCCATGGAATTTGCCAATGCGAGAAATTCCACAAGCCGCTTGCAACATGGACCCACTCTGGCGCAAAGCATGCAAAATGTTAAACAAAAGAAAAAAAATAGAAACGTGCAAGCCAAGTTCATAGCCAGACATGCGTTGGCCTATAAAAATGTGTTCGGAGCATAGTCAGGCAACAATGCTGCATTAATGACAGCAACAGTTCCGTTGCATGTGTGGCCCGGACAGTCTTGGCCCGGATCGAAGTGGCAGCGGCAGCGTCAGATGCCATTAACCCGCACAAGCCCCAACCGACAATCCGCAGCCCACGCAAACAATATGCAACGCCCACTGACTTACTTTTAGCCCGAACGTTGATTTAATGCACTTTTCCTTAGAGCACTCGACATTTTCGTTTTGGCGTCTAATATGTTATCTTTTAATACAACTTCAATCTGCAGACGTGAGCCGGCATTTCTTGTATATCTTTGGCCCGAGCATATGTACAAAATTTTTGCCGGCCGGCCATAAAACCAGTTCCACAGGCTTTGAATGCCATGGCGGGCAATGCAACTCGATAAGCCAGCCAAACAGAGAGAACCAAAGTCGTAAAGCGTTCATTCGACAAAGTGACTGGCAATAAAAGGAGTTGCAGATACATACGGCCAGTGTTGAGCAATGCGCCTTTTTTTCCCATAGGAATTTGAAGTTAAGAAAAAGCTAAAAGCGGTATTGCCAAATTGTGGGAGTGTGACAGGCAGAGATACAGAATATAATATACATATAGTCTAGAGACTTTCAAGGTTAAATTTCCCCTAGTATTATATGTATATCAAAAAAGTTTTTCTAATAATCTTAACAGGCTGTATGTGAGGGCAATATGTGACTGTCGCTTCGATGCATTTGGGTAATTTATAAAAATATTTACAGCATAACATTGGCATTACTATGGTAATGAGTAGGTGCAAAAAATATTACTGCAATCATAAATTAACAACAATTTGTTATTGTGGGAACAAAAATTATAAATTGCTAATGCAATATTTCATATTTTACTAAGAGCAAAGGAAAAGACGCTTGATGTACCTCAAATTTAGCTTTAAAAAAAACTTTTAGCTTTTTTTGGCTTCTCGCGAGCTGACAGCGCTGAAATTTATTGCAGACGTGCCGAGGAAATGGAGAACCTTTAATAAAAAGCGTGGGCAGGTCATGAGATCATTGATTGAAGTCATATTTTTCGCCAACTGCAGAACTGTAGCCCGTTATGCAATATGCAAATGAGTCATTTAGTATGCAAAATGACAACAGCAATTTGTTCAATACTTTTTCTTTTTCGCAATTGCACAACACTTCATTAGCACATTTTCATCGCAGGAAATATATGAGCTTGTCGATACACATGAGAAGAATGTTGCCTGTGCGACGGTGCTAACTAAATGTAATTTATTATTTTTTTAAATTTATATTTGTTTATTGAGCATCCGCCAATTTGCGCCTTGAGTGCCAACACCTAACAGCGTGTGTATCTAACAGATATTAGTACATATTCTTTCATACAATTTGTAGCTGGATACATTTGACAGTGCGTCAAAAAAGGTGGACCAAAAACAAGAAAAATTCAAGTTTTGTCTAACTATTTCAGTTCAAGGTGAACCAGTTACGTCACGCACTCGCTCTTTCAGTTGGCGACCCGAATACAGGCTGTGGTCATTGTTCACAGAATTTGATTAAAATTTATTAACTAATTTAGGCGCTCAAGCCAACAATAACAATGACAATAACAATAGCAACATCACACGCCTGCCACATTGTCGCTTGCCGAATTTTTCGGCATGTTTCTCTCGCCATGTGCCCTCCGGCTGACAACTCAATGCCCGACACGAGCATGACTCGCTTTGACTGAATTTTGTGGGTGTGTACACTGTACAGTGAGTACCCGCTTTCATGAGCACGCCTTTTACTTGAAATTTATTATGGATCTACTAAAGTCGAAATAAATCAATGTTGCTCTCTAATTAAGATTTTTAGAATCAACCAGTCGGCATCTCCTGACTGCGAAATGCTCCGTTTCAGGTGTAATAATTGCTATGAACAGGTGGAAAAAGTGCTCCCAATTTCGACTGTTCGAAGTGGGAGTGGTAATAATATCTTAAATCCCTACATTTTTTAAGAAGTTTTCAGCGAATAAATCAAATAATTATACTCTGTAGATTTCGTACGCGATTTGTAGGTGTGGCACAAATTGTATATTCGGTATACTATAAGGTTTTTGTTCAAATATATTAAAGAGGCTGGAGAAAGTATCTACGAACACATACATTACATACAGATAAGTTTGATCAGGATGAAAAGTTGGGTCGGTCTGTCCGCATGTGCGATCTGTGTTGGCATCGCTAATTTCGTTAGTCTTTGGATTTAAAAAACTCACAATTTGAAAGCAAAGTATTCCATAAAATGTAGAAATGAATGAAATATGCAAAAGGTAGTATCTCTCCGTCTACATAAAATATACTAAGTATCGGTCGGTCTGTGTGAACGCGTTGATCTCAATAACTACAAAAGCTTTTCCTTAAAGTTTACAAACCTAATATTCTATTATAACACATATTAAAAATTTACCATAAGTCTATCTGTTCGGTTCCCTGCAAATTGGTCTCTTAGTTTTAAAGAAAATTTAATAAAATTGCATAGTTTGGAATTTGTATCCCATCGCATGGCATAAGGTAATAAAACAGCCAGAGCATATAAAGTACATATATACATCTGTTCAAATAACGTATACATATATAATTTTTTTATATTTGATCTAGAGGAACAGGTGATTCGGTTTGTCCGTTTGTGTAAGCACGTTGATCTCGATAACTACAAAAAATGGTCTTCAGATTTAAAAATTAAATATTGCAGTACAGAAACGTTTATTATTTCTTTATATATCTCCTTCCATACTATAATATCGATCTATGTCGTTTTTAAGATTTGACTTAATGTTTGTTAAGCTAGCTTGGCTGTGGGTACCCTGCATCTCCTAGATGGCTATTTCCACGTAGATAATTTCTCTTATACTATTATGTCATATGCCTCGTATGGCCAGCTTAATTTCCATACACAATTTTAATATAATTTGTACACTTGTCTGGCCATGATCCAGTCCTGTCACCGAGCTGGCGGCGCCTCAGTTGACAGCTGTATGTCTGGCAATTTATAAAGTGAATGGATAAACGCAAAATTGGCGCTGTGAGGTGTTTAAATTAGAAAGGATATGGCCAGGTGAAAGTGGGCTAGAAGACGGTCGCTTGTCAGCTGCAAATCTAACTGAACTTGGCATTGACAATTGCCAATTGCCAGTTGGGTGCACGCAAAAGTATCTTGGCCATCTCACAAGGCAGCGGGCCAATTTTAATAAAATTATATAATTTATTAATGCAAAATGTTTAACGCTGAAATATAAACGGGGCAGAGACACCCCTTCTCCCCTTCTCGCCGTCTCAACAAATAACTTTCATGGCCGCGCGCAATTCCCGAATTCGCACGTTTTGTTTTTAGCTGATATGCAAATCGACATGCAAATTTCAATGCCAGAGAATGTAGATAACAAAATAAATTGAGCTTCGCATCGATTAAACTGATGCAAAGACATTGAAAAGACAAATAACTCACCTTCAATAGGTATGAATTAATCCAATTAGTGAATGTCTTCTTCTGCACACGTTCTTGCTCCTCTGCAATGAAATTGAAAAAAAGAGAATGCCGAAAGGAAAACATAAGAAAATTGTGTATACAGTTTCGATGTTATTCTATGTAATTAAACGTAAGACAAGCGAAAATTGCCAAGAGTCGCCGAAGACGGCGGCATTGATAGGCGACGCCCACAAACAAGACACCGTCTAAAGACAAGCGATAAGATACATTTCCCAGTAAGTGGATACCCAGGTCAGAAAGTTGCCGACACATGTAGCTAATGTTTGCATTAATTGAATTATCAGTAATTTAGAGTGTGTATTAACTGAAATTAACACAACGATGACATCATGTTGGCCCCAAATGCCAACAGCTGAGATACGCTGTGAAATTGAACTTTTAAAACTCAACTTTGTAATAATTAATATAAAATGTTATTAACCTTTTCCCTTGTGCGTCAAGCAAGAGGCGCGCAATTTGTTAACATAAACATTTACTCATTTTCAACAGATTTTCTTGATTACCTTCATTTAATTCTTAGCACACCAAATTGAAAGCATAAACAATGCATTAAAAAACAGCAATTCGTAAATAATTAACAAATCGAAATGGACAAAGAACAATAAATATATGTACATATACATTTGCATACGTTTGTGATTCAGTTTTGGGCAAGAGTGCAGCTCTAATGGCTAGCCGAATGGCTTCTTGGCTGTCGTAAAGCGGCAGCTGTCTGAGCATACCCATCATGCCCCATCAAAATTGTACCCCGAAATCCCTGTTTCGGCACAAAACAAATATGACATAGTGCGTGGTGTTTCTCTCAAATCTGGCGGCTGGCCAAACGCATGTCTATAATATGCAACGAAAATAGATTTCCCGCAACAAAATACCAACATTTTTCAAAATGGAAAATTTTCTGCAATTTGTACAAATCAAATTATGGAGAATCAAGCAAACAAAGAAACAAATTCTCACGTAATTTGACAGACTTGTGCTGCATTCGTCGAATGTCAACAATTTATAGTTAATTTGGTTGCCGCAATTTACAATTCATGGCAAATTCGATTACGCATTCAAATAAATGATAATTAGAAAAATTTGTTTTTTCTTGAAATTTTCAAATAAATTGTGTGTTCAAGCTGCGCGTGTGACGCAATTTTTTGCAGATGAAAAGTTGACAAAAGATTATTTAAATAGAAATTAGTTCAAGGTTGAGCAATTTGCAAGAAACTGAAAGTCACATAAGCATCGTATATATTAGGCTTTATATATACGGATAGCTATATCTCATGTTGAACAAAATTTAAGCAATGAAATTGCAACATTTTGCAGACTTGTCTTAATAAATCTCACACCCAAGCAAAGTAAAACAAATGAAGAAAGTAAACTTGAATTTTGTGTGACAATTTATGTGCAATAAACTTAAGAGGTTTCTAATAGCTTGTAAGTATTTCCTGTACTATGTTCTATACCAAATACATAATATTTAATGGGGCAAGTTTATTATCACCTAGAAAAACATTCTAAAATCGTTAGTTCTCAATTCTGAAAGCTGAATACGTGAATTTTGTCTGGTTTTACTCGTACGTCACCTGTTTATTGATATATAATTTTCAAAAACAAGATTTGAAATAAGTTCTTACATAAGCTTATTAAAAACACTAACAAAGGAATATTCTGAATGAAAAATTGTTCTCTAATTCTCTAAATTATCTTAAGGCCAAAAATGAATTTTGTCCAGCTTCCACACACATGTGTGTATATTTATTTTGATGGTCAGAAATTTGAAATTTGTTGTCCAAAATAAAGCTGTTATGGCCAAAATTGTTGCCTGGCTACCTACTCGTCTTGCAAATTAATTAAACCTGAATTTGGTGTTCCAAAAACCGACGCAATGGGAATAAATTAAAGGCAGCCAAAAGCAGTTTTAGCTTTATCGGCATTTACTTGTTTATTTATTTTTTTTTCGTTTGATTTGAAAACTAGTTAACAATTAAGTATACATATGTACGTATACATACGTATATGTGTACGCATATCTATATAAGTATGGTGTGATTCCAAAAATAAATGTATACCCAAAAATGTTGATAAGTTCTTATTTAGCTTTGTTCATTGTTCTGTAAAATCACAATTCGTGTGTGCATTATAAATGTTTCTAATCAACAAATACTTTCGCTAATTGTTGCAAAGATAAGAAAGAAGAATGCACTTGAAACCGAATACCAGATAACACAAATTAAGCCTACATACAATACAAAATAAATAAAAATAAACAAGAAACGCGAAAGAAGGAAATGCCGAGGATCTAATACCCTTGTATACATTTGCCGTACGACTTTGCAGATATGCGAGCATAGTCAAGCATAGTCAATATTTTGACATACAAGAACCTACTATTCGACCGATCGTCCCTATAGCATCTGTATGATATAGTTGTCCGATCTGTTAGTTCCGACATATGTACAGCCCGCGATAAAGGAGCGGACTTCGTATTAAAACAGGCGGACGAACCGACAGACGTATAGGCAGACGGACATGGCTATATAAACTATTTCCAATTAATTTTTAAGTATGTAAGTCACAACTTCGGAATTCCAATATATATTTTTTTAAATTTATTAACAACAATTTACACTAGCTATTGCCCACAACTTTTGTGAGGCGTGCCTGTAGGCATAGTAAATAAATAAAAAGAACTACTTATTATCCCAAAAATTTAAATTTCAAGCTGTGAACTTATGCAAGAATTGCATTCGTTCGTAAATAAACTAAGTACACCGAAGATTTAGGCCAGGCGGAAATAACCTATAATTAAAGATAAAGGCAATTATAATTGTTTAGTTTCAGAACACCTTAAACAATTGGGGAACTAATTCAAATGGAAATAAAAAGTAAAAGCTAGGAAATATTCGATATTTACACACGATCAAGCCACACACAAAGCATGGCGAAATGCCAAGAACAATTAACAGATAAATGTAGGCTAAGGTTGATTGACTTTTGGGTATCTTGTAAATTTCCATTTCCAACCATGTAAAAAACCGATCGACAAGGCAAAGCAACAAATAAGCTGAAAATGATCAAGAATACAGTAAGTGTGCTCTAGATGGGAGTGCCCGACTAGGGGATACCCTGAACCTTCTACTACCAATACCAAATGCAGCTCTAAGTAAAGGGTGGGGGGGTTGCCGATAGCTATAAAATGGAAGAAACTTGACCTTTTTATTCTATTCGACAAGCATTTAGGAGGACCTACGTTAGCAGTCTCTAGCCCTTATTGGTTGTAAGATCCTTGTGTACTGGCTAGATCGAGTTGGTTTTAGAGTCTGATCGAGAACATATATACTTTATGGCCTCTGAGATGCTTTTACGTCCTTTAACATACACTTGCACAAAAACATTATACCCCTGTTAGCCATTTTGAATGGATCTAGGGTATAATAACCCACGGGCAAAGCTAAAGACCAACCAGCACAAATTATTCAAAGAACGACCAAAAAGAAAACAAACAATAACAAAAAACAAAAAAAAAGACGAACCGCTGTCTTTTGTATACAGATATTTTTCAATGGTTCACTCAGTCAGTAAGTTAATGAACATAATTATAATGATGCGGCGGCAGCTGATTATTATTTACGCTCTTTTTTTTCGGCTGCTCTAATGAGCTCTGCGCAGTTAAATTGTGCTTCACTGAAAAGAAATACATCTATATTTAAACTTTTAACGATTTATGTATATTTTTTAACAATTTTATTGGGCGTGAAAAACTTTTTTAAGCACTTACTCAAGACAGCAGAAGAGTAAAAGTTGCAGAAACAGTTAGTAAAAGTTTGAAGCTGTCTAAGAAGTTGGCCTAGTTGCACACACACACAAACACACACACACACACGAATAGAAAAGCAATTACAAACTTTAAAAATGTGCAAATAATGTGTAAAAATAGTTTATTTACGTTTATGCAAAGCACAATTGTTTGGGTTTCCCCCACAAAGCCACAAAATTGTTCGCATTTGCATAAACAAAATACCGTCGAGCATGTTGTAAATGCGTCTGTCTGAAGAGTTGCGAGCCCAAGGGTTACTGCGGGGGGATGAAAATGGTATTTGGAAGATATTAACCATATGCTAACGGAAATATGCCGTATGTAGAAGTGTGCAGCATTTCCGTGGCTATAATTAATTGTTTATTTGCTTTAAAATGCTGCAGCGGCCAGTGTTTGCCGAGTTTGAAGCACATCAAGAAGCTTTACAATCTTTTAGATTTATGTTAATCGCACATAATTACCAAAAGTATTTTTGTACTAGAGTGCATTAAAATTGTTTCAAGAAATGTGACGGAGAGATCTCCGACCCCATGAAATATATGTATTTTAGATCAGCATCTGCAGCCAAATTCATATATCCATGTCCGTCTGTCCATTCGATCATCTGTCTGTTTCTATGCGAACTTTTCTCTCAGTTTTAAACACAAGGACACCTTTTGCAGGAACGATCGATCGAAAAGTAGGTTGTGGTATGTTGTTTCGCTTATATATACATATATGGCAAAAGAATTATTATATATGTACGAAAATATGTAATAAAAATAATTTCCTAAAAATTACATTACGTTGAGTAGAAAAAGTTTTCTTAATAATGCCATTGCCTTTTGAGCAGCTCTTTAAATTATGCCCAAGTATATGAAATCGATTTCCTAAATTTTAGTAATGTCATTTAATGTTTATACTCTTGAAAATTCAGTGCACATTTAAAAACAAACTTGTTTTAAATAGAGCTATTTTAAAAATTATTATATCAAGTGTTTAAATTCGTTGTTAAGCTTTATTTACGGTGAGGTGTGTTCCCGCGAGCTTACACCTGTGGGCGACAAGTGATCGGCAAATTAAGAATTTATGTGATTAAAGATATGTTCGTTGCAATTCGCTGAGCACACCTCATATGAAATATTTGACGCTTGAATGCATTTCCACAGGTTGCCAGCTTCACTCACACACATCGGCAACATGGCCAATGGCATGTCATAAATTGTCTCTCAG